TTGGGGTCACCTCCAACTCTACAATTATATGATTCTAAGTAGAAGTAAAAATAGAATGCATGGTTGGAACAAAATGTGTGAAACAGACAGGAAACCAGGAAGAAACTGGAAAAAAAGATATGGGAGAAAATAGGCCATTGTTAGCTATATGGAAGATATGGATGCTGGGTCTTTAATTTTCTAGTTAGTTCAGTAGCACTAAGCAGAATATTTATCCAAGACAAATAACATGTCAAAACTGTTAGTTCTGTACTAACCATGGAAAAATGCTTGTTCTGAGAGCTTGCTTTCTTGATCATGCAAAACAAAGTTTTGTTCTGCAAAATAAAGGTGTCTGCTAAGAGGCATCTTTAGCCAATCTCAAATGCCCTACCTGCGGCTGCTTTAAATTCCATTCAGTCAGTTGTGCAGTGTGCTTTGACATTTCCTGATTTTTTTTCCTTCAAAAAATGTCCTTATGAAATATTTCTGTGCTTCAGAATTGCAGTGGTAGCTTTTATGTAACACACCTTTAAAAACATTTTAATCGTGTGCTGTTTGAACTCTTCTTTGTTAAAGGTCAGGCAGAGTTACAATAACAACATACTTGAGCTCCTTGGATCATAACTTCTAGTCTCGTTTGTAGCAAAACAGTGCTTCTGCTGCAGGGGAAAAAATAAGCCTTCCAGTCAGCAGCTGTTGTAAAACTTCCCTGTGGGGATTTACTACTTCTGAGTGCTTTATCACTTGTGTATGGTTTAAACAAATGCTTATTTCCTTATTTTTTTTCCCCTTATTCAGATTTCATAAACCACATTGTTTATAAAAGTGGTTTTCTTGCTAAGTTTCCAAATGCTTCTAATTGCCGACATGGTTTTTTACCATGTGTTGTAAGGGTTCAATTCAATGCCTTTCATTTCCCACCCTCCTCTGTTTCTCTGCATAATATTGTAAATCAACATGTGTGAGGCATTTTTCACTGTTTCTCAAGTTTATCCAGATTGTTCTCATTTCTGAAAATCTAATTTTATGCAATCCCCTTGTGTAAAATTTGGCTGATAACTTGAGGAGGAAACAGTGTGAAGTTGAGGGGGTCAGTGCTGCTAACTTGATTGCCCAATGGAGTTAAAAGACTGTCAAACAAATAAGTAAGTAGGTTAGAAAATGTATATGCGTTTGCAATTATTGTACTTTTTAAAAACAGGAACTCCTTTTAAATTGGCTGTGTGCATTTTTTTTAAATAATGGAAACCATATACGTTGGAAGTTTGGGGTAAAAAATTCCAATATCCACAGTGCAGTTGTATTTGAATATGATGCATATTGAATATGGGCCCCTACAGCATTTTAAATGGAAATGTAACAGTTAATATCCATAATATCAATTTTATTTTCACTGGAATATTTTCAGTGGCTATCCCTAGACTTTGAAATTCCCTGCCCAGAGTAATCTGTCTTGCTCCTGTCTTGTTGGTCTTCTATCAAGTGTGAAAACCTTCCTTCTGGGAAAATATTTGGTTATTAGTGAACTTTAGCTGAAGGGCTTTTGATACAGTACTTAAGATGTTTTTCCTGGCTTATGTTTCTCTTTAATAGTAATGATTTTATGTGTTTTATTCTATTTTTATTAGCCACTTTGAACCGTTTTTTTTTAAAAAAGCTGTGATATAAACTTTTTTACAATAAATATATTGCTACACAGTTTAACTGCACTCTAACATACTAGACAAATTGTTGCTGTGTACAGGTTGGATGTCAGTGGCTGAACATAGTAAAGCTTGATACATTATAGTGATTATATGAAGAATTCAGCAAAATGGCAAGGTATTTTAATTGAGTTATGAAGTAGACAGAAGTTGACCTTCCTAAGGAGACATGTTAATTTGTTATGGAAGATATGTTCTCAACTCAGAGTATATGATTAACTTAAAAAGTGACACAATTTCAGTCTTCAGTTGTGAAGAGAATTCTGCTTATGAGAGATTAGGGTATAAGCTTTTCAGAAGCCATTGGCACATTGAGAGACAATGGCCTGCAATTAAAGCAGGAAGCCTTGAACTGAGGTTAATAGAAGAGGTACAGGAAGTGGCAGCACCTCCCTGAAGGTTACTTCCTCCTTTTGCCTTAAGTGTGAATGCCACCAGGGTTGCAAGGAAATGTGCTTCCTCCTCTCCCAACTATCCCTATCCCCTGTGAGAGGAGTTGATGGCCCAGAGCTTCAGAATTGGCCAGGATCTAAGGCAAGGTCAGGACCCTGGACAAGGATCAAGGTGCTAATTCAGAGTTCAGGAGGTTCAGGACCACGGTTAGCACTCCTGCAGCTGAGGCAAATGGAGGAGGCTGTCTTGACACTGACCTAAGGAACTGCCAAAGCTTTTTAACATGTGTATGTTGAATTTTAAATTATACCATGTTGTTAGCTGCAGCACTTTATAGCAATCTGTAATGTGTGTTGCTCAGTTTATCTGTGTACTGTATTCCAATTTGCTTTTGCTTTTCACTAATTAGACTTGGTCCTGCAGTGTGCCTAGGCATGCTGTTGTTGCAGACAGTAGAAATCCCATGGAGGAAAAGACCTGAATTCTGCAGTCTATTGCATATTATTCAATCTGTTAATTATTTCCTCACTTCATTTGTGTATGCCCAGTAGTGGGGGAAAAAAAGATTTAATGGAAGATGGAAATATAATAGTCCCTATGCAAAGCATCTCTTGAATTATCACTACAATTGAAATAATTTGATATATAAAATTTAAAATGTCTGGTGTAGATAGTAAAGTTTAATGCCCCCACACTGAATGCTGTATCTGGACAGTTAATGGATCAGTGCTTTTTTATGCAACTGTTGACTTCTTCTAGGCAACAAGGTTTCAAGCTATGGGGATTTATTTGGTCTTTACTAATACTCCAAGGAGTCGATGGTCCAGTCATTTGAAGCTACCTAACAAAGGGTGGCGCTGTGGCGGGTGGCGCTGTGGGTTGCAGGTGGTGCTGTGGGTTAAACCACAGAGCCTAGGACTTGCCAATCAGAAGGTCGCGGTTCGAATCCCCGTGACGGGGTGAGCTCCCATTGCTCGGTCCCTGCGCCTGCCAACCTAGCAGTTCGAAAGCACGTCAAAGTGCAAGTAGATAAATCCGGTGGAAAGGTAAACGGTGTTTCCGTGCGCTGCTCTGGTTCGCCAGAAGCGGCTTAGTCATGCTGGCCACATGACCCGGAAGCTGTACGCCGGCTCCCTCAGCCAATAAAGCGAGATGAGCACCGCAACCCCAGAGTTGGTCACGACTGGACCTAATGGTCAGGGGTCCCTTTACCTTTACCTTTACCTAACAAAGGGTACCTCCTTGGTGTATAGGGGATGAAGTGCTGATTCTGGAATCTGTATACAGTATGAGAATTTCTGTTCTGGGACCACAACATCAGTTAATGGACTGCTTATTTTTAAATGCTGCTATTCTTACTTGATTGTTGTGACTGACAGTATCTATCCTCAATTCCTAAGGAATAATCTTACAGCAGTAGAAGTTCAATGCTAGATTATCCTTCTGTGCTAGGTTAAATCCCTATATCCTGCATACCTGAAGAAGTACCTTCTGCATATTCCACACCAGCCACTGAAGCTGGATAGGATGACTTTGTTTTGGATCCTGTATTTTCAGGAAGTTACAACAGTGAGGGCTTAGAGCAAGGCCTTCTTTATCGTTGCACTGATGTTGTGAAACTCCCTGATAAGGGAGAACAGCTTGGCACCTCCCTTTATTTCTATTTTTTTAGGGCAAGTGAAGACCTGGGCTCATTTGTCCTGGGCTATGGTGGCAGTTACATGTAATATCTGTAATTTGAATTACTTGCTACGAGTATCTTTAAAATGTTTACTGTGTTCATCATTTATGACTGATTTGTGTGTATTTAGATTGTTGTACAGTAATTAGGATACTATTAAAGGTATTGTGTTTGTAAGTAATTTAATTTTTTAAAAAGCCTGTTTGCTTCAAAGAATTAAAAACATTGATTTCTCTCACTTTTAAGTGTTGAAAACTCCAGACACCATAAACTGATGCATATAACACAAAGTTAATGCATGTATAATCAATGACAGAATGCAAATCTGGAAACAGAAGCTACATATGCTCCTTTTACTGACATGATACCCTTAAATCCTGCTACAATGAAAAATGAAATGATTGAAACTATTTGTATCTGTAATGTTTTTTGAGATGGATGATGCAGTATCTTTTCTGATATATAATGGCATCACATTTTGAGTCATTCCCCATATTTTTCCACAGGTACAAGCATGCTAATAAATACTGATGGTTTAGGTAGTCTGTCATACTGTTATACATATATATTCAGTGTAATGATATGTTCTGCTAATATATTCATAATTTTGCTTTCCATGGTACATTATTTTTCACCAGGAGAAAAACTAGTGAACATTTAACATAATGAGCACATTGAACATGTTAAGAAAATGCCTACTCTACTTATATGTCTGATACAATTAGTATAGATGAAGTGAATAATTTATTTAATGGTTTGCTGTAATAAATTCATTTATTAATCACCATACACTATTTTGTTGTGAATTCCATGCTGTGAATTTTTTCTTAAAAGTTATGGCTGGGATAATGAAAGGGACTGAAAAATATATTGTGTTGGATATCTTCAGTCTGAAAACTCCACTGTTTGTGCATAGTATGGCCCTCTGAGTGGATTGTTCATTGTGCAAAACCAAAACCACTAGAGGTGTGTATTTCAGTGTGCCTACAGTAAATGGATTATTGGTTTGTGAACAGGAAATACAAATCCCAATCTCCAGTAAGCTCTGAGGTCTACTGGATGACTTGGACTAAGTCACTATCTGTTTTCCTAGCATAACTCACACGAAGATTGTGAGAATAAACCTAGGAAGTATTGAAAAACTCATAGCACACAGAAAAATGCTATATTCCTGTGAACCTGCTGCCTAGTGGGATTGATTTTAAACACAATACTAAATAGGTGCATGCTTTGTTTTTCAGCGATGTGCATATTGCAAGCACCTTGGAGCCACTATCAAATGCTGTGAAGAGAAATGCACCCAGATGTACCATTATCCATGTGCTGCTGGAGCAGGCACTTTTCAGGACTTTAATCATTTTTCCCTTCTTTGCCCAGACCACATTGACCAGGCTCCACAAAGATGTAAGTAGCAGTAGTGAGCTAAAGCTGCAGTTCATACCTATTGATGATCAGTACAAAATTCCTTTTTTTGTTACTGGATCCAGATCAATTCTTTATTGCTTACCTTTTATTCAACTATAATAAAAGGGAATTGGGGAAGAGAGTTATGTCCCAGCCTTTCCCAACTTCCAGTCTTTAATTCTAGCTGCTCTGAGTAAGGTGAAGGGTTGCAGTCAGGAAAGTGGCAGGAAATCCATTTCCCTCCTTTCCCAATCTTTAGCTCTTCAAACAAACTCATGAGAAACAAGGGAAGGAAGCTAGGCTGTCTACCATTGGCTTACTTGTGGCCGCTCACCCACCCACTCTGTAATCATCACTCTTAATATATTAGTAAATAATTGTTCCCACTATGCTGCTTGTCTTTTAAAAGTATTAGAGGACAAATTTTCCAATACTAGTTTCATTTTTAAAGGATGTAACCTGTGTGAAGCAGTTTGCTATGCAAAGTGTCATTATGCACAGTCTGCTTTCATATGCACTTAAACGTCTGATTTCTTACATATTCTTCAGTTGTATTTTGCCAGCTTATGTAATTCTTATGTAGCGTTGGAATAATGGGATAAAAATATTTGTATAATGTAAAGCTTTATGACGACTCCTTCTAAAATGATGCAAAATTCATCTTTTAATTTACAGCAAAGGAAGAAGCAAATTGTGCAGTGTGTGATAGCCCTGGCGACCTCTTAGATCAGCTTTTTTGTACTACCTGTGGCCAGCATTACCATGGAATGTGCCTGGATATACAAGTGACACCTATAAAACGGGCAGGTTGGCAGTGTCCCGATTGCAAAGTGTGCCAGAACTGCAAGTAAGCAAAAGTAGACTGTGGTTTTATTGTGTTTAGAACTGCAGGGAGTTGTGAAACTCAATCCCGTCCTGTGACAGTTCTGTAGTCACCAGAATCTGATAATGGAGACAAGGTGCTTTGGTAGTTGGAAGAGGAAATTACCATAAAATTGTATTATTTAAAATGGGAGAGGGTGCTCTCTGAGGCAGAAATTGAGAGGTGAGGCAGACTTGGAAATCTGTTTTAATGTATTGACCATGGTTATAAAAGGTGTAGGAGAATTTAACTAAAGACTGTAACCTCCTACTTTTCTTCTTCTGTGGAACTTGAAGATAAGCACTTGGACAGGTTTATGGGACTGGTCCCTGATTTCCACTTTGCATAACCAAACCTGATTTGCTTACCAAAATGTTGGATATGGCTTCTTCACTCGTGAGTGAAGAGTGAAGAAAACATTCCATTAGGAATATTTGCTCTTGGTGCTGGAGGCCCACAATGGATTGTGGATTCTGTTTGTTTACTGGCCCAAAGCACGGCACAACAGAGCCCTAGTTGAGTTGGTTTCAAGGAGGGTATTGAGACTATTGCAAAGAAAAGACCCCTCCCACCTACTCACTTCCCCTGTATCATTCACTTCTGTTTGTTTCTGGATTCTGTTTGTTTACTGGCCCAAAGCACGGCACAACAGAGCCCTAGTTGAGTTGGTTTCAAGGAGGGTATTGAGACTATTGCAAAGAAAAGACCCCTCCCACCTACTCACTTCCCCTGTATCATTCACTTCTCACATTATCTGCATCAACTTTAGCATATATGGCAAGGCTTTGATTGGTATTTCATTACTTCCATGACAATTAAGAGTTGTTAGACTTTTTAATTCTCCCTTTCTACTATTTGTTATTAATATTTGTGAGTGCATAATTATGATTTGAAGTGTTGCACTGGTGGAGTAGCATGACATTTAATAGAGACAAGTAATGAAACTGAAGTATTGGCTCTATATTATTAGATGTGACTTCAGGCTTCAGCATTGGATCATCTAACTTATTTTATAGTTGGTGCTTTGCTGTTTAGTGCTTAGCTACCTTGCTGCAAAGTGCTATTGTGTTTTTTAAAAGTATTTTCTTTCCTATCCAGCAAGCATAACCTTCTAACCTCTTTCCTAGGCATTCTGGAGAAGACAACAAGATGCTTGTGTGTGATACATGTGACAAAGGGTATCATACTTTTTGTTTACAACCAGTTATGGACTCTGTACCAACAAATGGCTGGAAATGCAAAGTGAGTTTACATTTTGAAATTGGAAGTTGATTACATAAGAAGCCTGCTTTTATGTTCTTTTGGCCCGCTGAACTCACTTCAGCTAATGAATAGCAACACACAGAATCTCTGGTTAATCTCATGTTGATTTTCAAGTGACCTTTACTTCTGCCAATCACAATCTTTTGAAATGTGCAAAAAAGAGGTATCTGAAGAAGTGTTCATGCACACGAAAGCTCATACCAGTAACTAACTTAGTTGGTCTCTTAAGGTGCTACTGGAAGGAATTTTTTTATTTTGTTTCGACTACGGCAGACCAACACGGCTCCCTACCTGTGCAAAAAAGAGGGATAAGTATGCCAAATATACAACTATTATGGGGCTTTTCAGCTGAGACATATTCTTAAATTACTTCATAATAAAGCGGAAAATCAGTGGATTAATATTGAAACAAAGGGGTTGACCAAGTATAGGGTTCAAGGTTTACCTTTTATACCAATTTAAAGTACGAAGAAGCTATAGTGTGGAGGAAATGGCAGAGTAAACACTCTCCAAGTCTCTCTCTGCTTACTACCTTTTTAATACACCTATGGTTTGTCAATAGGGACAAAATTCAATATTTTAACCAGTGGAAAAATTGATATAGTTTCCATATGTGATCTGTTTGCAGTAGTGACTTCCAAATCAAGTCTTCAGCTGAAAGAAGAGTTGGGCATGGTATCAATAACCTGGTTCTAATAACACCCAAGTTCTTTTCTATAACTGAAATCAAGATATCAAGAGTTGAGTTGTTCATGCTTGTGAGTGATTCCATAATAAAAGGGATAGAATTTTTATTTATTTTTTTACAAAATTTTGATAGTTGAGACAAATTGGATCAATCCAAAGTTTAAATGAAACATGAGGATGATATTTTAAAGAAATAATAGAGGATTGAAATATTAATTGGCTTGGAAAGCCATTATATTCAATCTTCGCAAAAATACAGGAAAATCCTCTGAAAGTTTTTCTCTGCTGGTATATGACTCCAACTACCCTTAGTCATATTTATGGTTCTACATCACCTGATTTATGGGATGGGAAGCATGGGGAACATATTTCCACATTGTTGGGTGTACCAATATGTGCATGGCTTTTGGAAGTTATCTTGAATGTAGTCTTACAGTAAAGTAGGAAATGCAGATGGATCCAAAGGCGTCACTCTTCAGTGGCCAAAATGTCAAAATAGCATATAAGAAAATGTTTATTTTGTTTGTTTGTAGCATCACATTTATTAGTTAATAAGTTGTTAATAATAGTTATGTAATGCTGGAAGAATTCTAAAGTTTGGTCATTAGAAGCATGGTATAACAAAGTATGAACAATTGTTATATTGGTGGAAAAAACAACTGGACAAGTTTGGGCAAAAAGAGAACAAAGGAAATCGATTAATTTTATGCAGCTTGGTCTGCTTTTCTTGATTTTATTAATAAACAGGATGAAAAGGAACCCACCAAAAACTTGTGGAGAATTGTACAAGGAGATGTTTTAATAATATATTAACAGTATGGATTCAATAATATTCAATAATATAAATAATTGTCAAACCTTTCATAAATATGTTTTGGTGGAGTATTTTATTGTTACTGCTGTCTGTAACCCCCTTTGATATATTTTAAAATGTTTTTAAAGAGGTTTTTAAAAAAGTGTAGGAATATAAATAGATCAAAATGAACAATCCAAACTAGACTTTTGTCAATATAGGAACATATAATTACAAAATTTGAACAATGTGTATTTTCTGAGATTTAACACCTATGGCTAGTTAAAGTAGACTGATACTTAAGGCTGTTGGTTGCACTAACAGATGTAAGCTTTATTTAAAAAAATGTTTCTTTTCATATAAAAGCCATTTCTTTGAGATGCATTAGTTATTTCCTTCCCAAATATTCTGTAATTTTTATTGCCTTCTGGATGGGGAATTTATTGCGCTCCAGCCAGATGCTTGTGATGTTATATAGAATTTCTGCCTGCCAGATTCCTGGAGTCTCATAGCTTGTAATAACTAAATTCCTATTTAAATAATAATAATTAGTAGGTAGCTATACTTAACTGTCAATAAAAATATACGGTACTTACTACATTTCCAAACTGGTTTACTTTGAGAGGATACATTTACAATTGCATAATGCTTTTAAAATAAATTTACGTCTTCAGTGTAGGATCTTCTTTACTTTTGTAAAGGAGAACCTTCTAAGGATGAAAACAAGAGGCTTGATTCATATGCAATGTAGTACAGTGAGGAGAGGGAAGGACAAGAAGAGAAGCTGAACTTGTTCCCCTTTTGCTCTCCTAGCATAAGCATATTGTCATGTTAAGAGGCAGTAGCAACCAGGCAATTATGTCAGGGTGGATTAATTTAAATCAGGGTAGCTAACCTGTGGCTCTTCAGATGTTGTTAGGCTACAGTTCTCATAACCCTGACTGTTGACCATGTTGGTTTGGGACAGCTGAGAGATGGGAGTCCAGCAGTACCTCAGTTCTTTCTCAGTTGCCATGGATAGTAGCAGTACTTGGAATATAGGAAACTGCCTGATACTGAGTCACACCACTGCTCTGTCTAGTTCAGTATTCTTTAACAATGACTGGCAACAGCTCTTCAGGATTTCAGACAGGATTGTCTTTCAGCTCTTCCTGGGGATGCAGGGGGTTAACCTGTTACCCTTGTCATAGAAAGCAGATGCTCTGCCACTGAGCTGTGGTTCCTCCCACATAAACTAAGTATATGACACAATATTCTTTCTTATCTCACATACTTAATTTACTAACTGTTTAGTACAGATTTAGAAATCATGAGATCAGTTTCTCACCCCTTTGCAATTGACATTTACAAGGAAAACGAAGTCCCAACGTACAACAGAGGAGCAGATATTTATTCAGATTATATTTACATTGTCAAGAGTCAGGAGGAAGAAAGGATGCTTTTCATTTTATTTTCTGTCTCTCAAAGGCTAATAATCCTTTTGATCGTGTCTGCATGGAGACTTAAGTTTCTACTGGCAAGAGAACTATGTCCCATTAAAGACATCCTTGTCAAAGACTTTCTTGTCTAGTGGAAGTGCAGTGTGAAAATTTACCCTTAGGCTGCGTTTTGAATAGATTATGGACTACTAGTTTTGATTGTTAAACTTTAAAGTTCCTCTTCCTGTCAATGTAGAACATGCTTGCCAGTGATTGTTTTTGATGCAATAGCATAGTATCGTAAACAGGAAAGACTTCCTTTTCTCATATTTTCAGAACTGCAGGGTATGTGCAGAATGTGGCACACGGACCAGTAGTCAGTGGCATCACAACTGTCTTATGTGTGATAGTTGTTACCGTCAGCAAGACAATTTGCCTTGTCCTTTCTGTGAAAAATCCTCCAATCCAGACTTGCAAAAAGACAAGTTGCGTTGTCACATGTGCAAAAGGTAGGAAACCTAACTATCATTTTAAACGATTGGATAACTCTGCTACTTCTTAATGGCCCTCAGACCTTTTTGTTAAAGTGGCCCCATGTTGCGTCCAGCTTTGATCTCTTGAAGACACTTCATTTTCTGCAATATAATATGCGTATCAACTACTGTTCATCATGACACTTGCCACAAGGTTCTCAGAATCTTCTAATAATTTCTGTCCCCATATAGGGTTAACTGTTCAGTGTATGGTTGGCTTCTTCAAGTTTTAAATAGATCTGGAACTAAGTCTTGTAGGGTTATTGTAGTTATGTATATGTACACGAAACAATTACTCATTAGTGAATGTAGCACATTAGATCAGTTCTGCAAGTAAAGTGGATTCAGATGCTTTTATGAATCCCTTTTAGGTATTGGTTTGATTTGAGGTGCCCCAAAATCCAGAAAATACAGAGTTTTAAAATATATATATATATATTTTTACAATGAAGATAGGATTTCAGTGGGACATTTTAAATAAATTAATTAATGTGAATTTTTGACTAATGATTCCCTTAGGTGGATTCACATAGAATGTGACAAATTTCCCGATAACGAACTGGATACTCACTTAAAAGAATACACCTGCAGTCTTTGCAAATACTTAGAAGCAGAAGAGGAACATGCACAGGCATGTGATGTGATGGATACTGCCCAACTTCTTCCTGAAACTGGTACAGGTAAAAGACACTCTTTCTCCTTTCATATTTTCCATGCCCTCTGCTTGTCTTTCATTTGATATTTGGGGAGCACTTCCCATATAATATTATGGCTGCCAACATTGCAGCCAAAAAGCACTGAGTGGGGGGGATACAATAATCTTTTAAAAATCTTCACACTACTGTACATCATTGAGATTCCAGCTCCAAAGGCTCTCAGGACAAAGCCAGAAAACCTTTAACACTAAAACATCTTCCAGAAATTGAATATCGAATTTTATAGCACCATTCTCGGCTTTTTTAAAAAGGGGAAACATGCTGCCAAGCAGAAGACTATTTTATTGAATAGGTTTTGCCATGGTTTGTACTTGAAGAAAAATTGTGGAATATATTCTTGTCTCACAGCAAGAGTGGCAATGTCATTTTAACAACAAAGAAAAATATGAAGGTATTATAGGAGATGGGTTGTTTCATTCCATACTCCCAAGAGATTACTTTTGTACAATAATTTCAGATTTGAAACCAATGTAAATGATCATTTCCTCATACTGAAGTTTTCACTTTAATGATGTCAGTCTCCAAGACGAACAGATTAGTTACTGAATTCAGCAGCACTCCAAATTGTTCTGCCATTTTGAACTTTGCTAGGCTTTTTCACATAAAAAGACATATTCATATGCCTTTTAACAGTAATATTCTCTGTGGATCTCCTTTTTAGGAGCTAAGAGTTTAATATTCTTGTAGAGGTCGTCTCCATGCTCCTGCTTGCTTTTGTGCATTTTAATGAGTTTTACTAGTATGAAAGCATGTTACTGTTCTGGCTTTTTAAAAGTAGATTTCAGGTTAGGATACACTACAGAGAGTTTGTGACCAAAAGATAGGTTATTAATTTGAAATGTTGGCATTTCACAGCTTTTACAAGTTTTACAATCCAAGTTCAGCATTTCTTCTTTGTTTTCATTGAATCATGGACATAGAATAAAACTTTCCTATTTTACACTTTGATAAAGTCTGTGGAAGTCACTGAGGTTCAAGCTATTTCCAGGATCAGTCTTAAATGGCAGTGTTAATTTGTACAAGAATGTTAATACTTGTGCTACAATTCTGCCAAATTTAAAGCAGTACAAGCTTTAGGACACTTTATCCTGACCGAAGTGCATATGGTATCCTAGTTGATTATGAAACTCATTCCCATAACTTATGAATAAGATATTCTCTAATACCCAAATTTTGTACTTATCATCTAACTCATTCAGATCATGCTGACAGCATTCAGGCATAACAGTAAACCATAGTTAACGGTTTACTGTGTGTGAATTTATCCCGCTTGCTTCACTCTTCCCATCTACTACTGGGATGAAACATACCACAAATTTTGGCATAGCATTATGCCTGAACCAAGGATTATGGCTTGTTTTATCGAAACAAACCATGATTAGTAAAAGAAAGAACAAATTTTGGCTACAGATCATGGTTTGATCAAAGCATGTACTGCTAAACCAGGGATTATGGCTTGTTTCTCCCCAGTTCTGGTGTTGAAGAGTAATGTGGGTGCATTAGCTTGTGCATAGTAAACCATTAACTGTGTGTGCTCACTGTTAAAATATTATTTTGTGGAAGCAAAATAATATATTATTATTTTGTGGAAGCAAAAAGGCCAAGCTCCAAAATAAGTTAATGATGGTGAGTAATACAATAAATGCTGCATGAAGATTTTTAAAAGTGTTTGCTGCTTAAGTTTGTGCAGATGAAATGGAAACAGAAGAAGGAGGAGATGTAGCCAACAAGGACCAACTAGTAATGGATAGCAGCCTTGCTCAAGAATCAACGGTTAAGTGTGGCACAGATGGTAAGAGCATTTTTCTTTTGATGTGACACAATACACCCATATACACATAAATACTGTATGTGGAATTTATTTTCAAAAATCTACATCCAAAAGCATTTGGAGAATTAAGATGTTCTTTTTTTTCTTTTTCTTTTTTGAGGATGTGCCATTGGAACAGTACAAAGTATTGTTAAGGTCTTCAAAACAAATGCACAATATAAAAGTACAAAATAATTTCTATAATAAGCAGTGGTGTTAATAGTTGATTACTGGACTTTTCTTGCCAAGGCTGGGATGCCTCTATGCATCCTGCTAACTTGAGCAGTAGAATGAGGAAAGTCTATTATTCATTCCCAATGGTAGGGAAGAATTGAAAGATTTTTGTGAATGCCAATTTAGAAGGCAGTGGAAAAAAGCAGGAGAAGCTAGATATTTTTTTTTAAATTATGCAAATGCCACTGGGGGTGAAAGTCAGCATATGGAGAAAATGCCAGTTGGAAAAGTCATAGGGGGAAAACTAAGTTAGGGATCACAGAGGTTAAAAAAAATGAACATAAGGGTCTCATGTGCAGCTTTTGCCTAAAGCAAAAAATAAAAATAAATATTGCATCTTTCAATCTTAACCATAAGCTCCAGAGATCAGGGTATAGATTCAGTTTAATAGTTCTGTATGACATTCATATGATGATGATTGATTAGATTTATATAGCAATTAATCTATAAACATTTCCTGGGTGGCCTACAACAAAATATTAAAAACGAAATATATAATAGTAATAAACCAGCAAGTCAGGAGAAAGCATCTATTGCCAATGGTTATGCCATAGATTTCCTTGCACCACCTCCATTTTAAAAGCCTGGTTGTGTAAAAGGGTCTTGTTTTTGTTTTAAAAAACTTGCTTTTGAAAAATAACATAAAGAAGGGGCCAAGTGCTCTTCTCTGGAGAGCCTGTTCTGGAGCCAAGATGCCCCTATCAAAAAGGCTCTGTTTCTACCTCACTTCACTTCACTGGGGCACCGAAGAACACTTAAAGTTCAAATAGGCATTATGAATTTGCATTGTTATGTGCTAAATTATACTTTGTTTGGAATGATGATAGACTAAGCAGACCCAAAGGCATGTATTTATTTATTTCACATTTATATACTACTTTGTTGTAAACAAACCTTAAAACAGTCTACAAAAAGAATAGATCAATAAAATTAGCAGTGAATAAAACCAAGTATTCAAAACATTAAAAAAAATTAAAATCAACGATTAGCTAAAAACGATATTAAAATACATGACAGTGTCTACATTTCTGGATAGGCTTGCCTAAACCAATTTTTTTTTAGCAGGCACCCACCTCATATCCATAGATAGGGAGTTCCAACGTGCTGCCACACTAAAACATTGATTTCCTTCAAGTGAAGAATGAGTATTATGTGGCTTGTGCATATATAGTACCTCACTATGCAGGAGATATTCTGATGTTTAAGGTGAAGAAAATGATAAGGGATTATTTAGTGATGTTGAAATTAGTACTGGATAATAGATATTCTAGACTTCATTGCATTTTAGTGGTGGGTAGTTCAATGAAAACAAAAACTCAGTGTGTAGCTCTCTGGCTTAGCCATCTTGTCAATTGAAAACAAAGTAGCGAAAGGAATTGATTTTGCTGATGTGATTTCAAAATTTGCAGAGAACAAAGTTAGGAAAAAAGTTTTTAAGTGCTTATGCTCACTCATAAACCAGAAAATAACACTTGCAACTGTAAGTATCTTATTTTTCCTTCTTTTAGTCATTTCAATGGGGGGGGGGGACACAATAAATTTTCTGCACCGGGTACCACCTGACCTTGCTACGTCACTGACACGGGGTAGAGTTTTGGTTACTGTACATAAAGAAGGAAATTGCAGAGCTGGGAAATGAACAGAAAAGGGCAGTCAGCATGACTGGGGGCTTTGTGCATCTTCCCTGTAAGGGAAGGCTAAAGTGTTCTCAGGATTAAGTTTCAAACTATGGGCCACCTAATTGAATTGATTAACAGTTGAATCAGGACAAACAAACAAGAACTATTTTTTCATACTTTATTTGCTCAAGAGCTAGACAAACCATGGAAGCTGGTTCTGCCGATGGCTATTAGCTATGATTGCTAAATGGAACCCATATGGTTTGATCACATGATACAAAATGATAATAGAATATCTTCAGAATTTCAAAATGTGAGACTAGCAGTACAGGCCACACACACTTGTAACTCTTCACATATTTTTCACATATTTCACAAATGTTCACATATTTTTTAAAATACACTTTTACACTAGAGATACTCTAATTTCAGACTCAAATGAAATGTTCTAATTTTTTTCAGGCTTCTCATTAAATGAAAATAATGGTGAACTGGAAACAGAGGCTCCTGACCATTTTGGTAAAAGTGAAATTGAAACATCTCTTAAAAAGACTCCTGCATCTGATCTTAATCATGCTGATAAAAAGATAGAAATGACAGGAAATATTTCAAATACAATGCAGCAAGTCTTAGACAAGCAAACTGAGGAAACAAAACAATCACAGGAAAGCACTGAGGTATTTGAAATGTCCACAGAGGAATCTCAGCTTCCACCAGAGATACCTGAGGATGTAGCAAAGATATCGGAAACCTTCAGTTTGGTCAATAGCGAGAGCAGCTCCTGTAAGAAGGAAGAGCAAGTAGAAACAACGATGGCGTCAGAAGCTGCAGAAGGAGATGACACTCCTGAAAATTATGAAACGTCATCTCTTCCTGCAAATGAAAGTTGTGCAACTGACAGTTCACCATTGGAAGATAAATCTTTAAAGTCACCAGCTGAAACACAGTCTTTATTTTCATCATCTGTTGAATTAAACAAGTCCAGTGTGTCTTCCTCACCAACAGCCTCACTAGAGTTAGGCTCTTCGCATGACACGATGCGTAGTCAGATGTCACCACTAGAATCCTCTATAACTCTTCCAACAACATACGTATCGCTCACTCCAAAAATTGGAATGGGAAAACCAGCTATCACCAAAAGAAAGTTTTCTCCTGGGAGACCAAGGTCAAGACAGGTGAGCATGTTTTACTGAAATCAGTTACAAAAAGCATTTTAGTTGTATTGCTTACCCGAATCATTACTTTGGCTATGACATCAAGAGAGGTATTTGTTTTGCCTTCCTGTCTGAAACTGAGACTACAGAGTCTGTTGTTAGCTTCTTAGTACACTTCTTTACCAACAATTTACTGTGGAGAACTGATTTCATGAGTAAATGTTTGTACAGATTTTGTCAGAAAGAAAGAAAAAGAAGTAATTATGTTTCCTGTGGTTTTTCTGAAAGGTTTGTATTCTGGAATTAATTCAGGGTAAAGCATATTTTCCAATATTACTAATTTAGCTAGAGATGTCCAGACCAAACATTTATTACTTGTAGGTGGTGAAAAACAATGCTGTTCAAAGATTTGCTGTGCAAGTCTCATTTAATCCTCTTTAGAACCCACACATTACTTAGATAATTTATTTCACTGCTGATTTAATGAACTTCTTTATAGTTTCCCCCTCTATTCGTAGTCTACATATATATTCTAAATGAAATAATATTAATTGGTAAAAAGAGAATAAAATGTTCTGATAAAATGGCTGATTTAGATTTCTAATTATTATAAATTATTCCTAGGTGCAGGAACCTTAAAAAACAAATGGATTTTCCTATGAAAGTTGTTTTTCATTTAGACAGGTTCCACACCCCCCCCCCGAAGAGTAAAATAATTAATGTTTTATTGTTTTATTTAATGTTCATGCTATGCTTAATACTGAATACATAATTAGCCACGTCTGCTTTAGCCCACACAATTTTCGGTACAGCAATGGGTTTCACTGACTTCTACTAAATTATAATCCATTTTATATTTTCTTTGCAACCTGTCTTTAACAATAATGCATATACAGTGGAACCTCAGAAGCAGAACGCCTTTGAACTCGAACCTTTCAGCTCCCAAGTGATCAAAACCCGGAAGTGATTGTTCCAATTTTTGGAAGCCGAAAGTCCAGCGTGGCTTCCGATTGGCTGCAGGATGCTCCTGCAACCAATCAGAAGCCACACATTGGGAGTTGAACGCTTTGGTTCTACTTCCAAGGTACAACTGTATAGTTATGGGTGCAATCGTATGTTCATTGGAAGATCTGCCCTCAGAAGTCTCTTCCTTAGCAAAGAAGGTGGGCTGCCATCGCACCTCTGGCTTTACTGATGCTCTAATGGTGGAAAAGGCAAAAGGAGGCATGTAAGGGACTGATTGGGAGAGGACTTCTAGTCCCCTGACACACAGTGGCAGCACTAGAAAAAATGGCCAGAGGCACAGAAGAGAAATATATGTCTAGGTGGACAAGTTGTTACAGTCTCTGAAAGAAAATTAACAGTATATGTTAATGTAGAGTCCAGCAACTGGGCATGCATTGAAGGGCAGCATTCTAAGTTTTACTCAGAGCAGATCCATTTTTGGCTCTCCCAAAAAATCTCAACAACTTCTGAGGTTGCAGTCTCTTGGAAGTTGGACATGCCTGGTATAATGTATTAATTGCCTAGTCTTTTAATTGAGAGTCTGAGAACCAACTGCATGAGAATCAATAGAAACTGTAATCTAGAAAAAGACCAATTATATAGGTAAACAGTTTTGCTTTTGGGAAATGAAGAAGCAAAATAAGACCCACTTGCGTGAGCAGTATGTCAAACTTTAAGCGTTTGTATCTCAAAATTGCCTCTTATCTAGCTGCCAAGAATAGATTTTGGGTGCAATTCAGGTAAAATGGAACATACCTAATGTACAAAACCTGCTTCCTTCCTTCCTCAATTATTGGGGGAGGTGCCAGGTTAGCACTTGGAAGGTCATTCTAGGCAAGCCATTAGAAACAAATTGTGTTATAAGCAAATATCTTATGCTTTTGACTGCTATCAGTTCAGTCTTTTGTTTTCATTTCTCTGGTTACTATATTGGTGCTAGAATGTAACCTTTAAAGTTGTATTTTTAATCTTTTGTTATCCTTGCCCCTAAATCATGTGCTAGACATATATAGGATTTTGTGTATTTCATCTGGCAAAGGACAATTGGCTTTCATACTACTAATTAGGAATTAGTTTGTGGGGAAATGGGTCTCTTGCATTTGCGTTTTTAAATCTTGCCTGTTGGAAACGTTGCCTGACTGCAAAAAGGTAAGTAATGGGAGTACTTACCCCCACTAATTTGGATGGCATTTGGATGGTATACTTGTGTAGGCCTTAATGCTTTTGTAGACAGGTAGCTGGCAGAATAAGAAATTCTCTTCAAGAAAGATGACAATGTTAGAAAATGAAGAGATTCAGGACCACTGGTCTGCTTTTCAAAGCCTATGTTAGCCATGCAACTTAGCTATTAAGAAATTGGTAAAAGTGTATCAGTGACTGGCAGCACTTCCTGCTCTGCCTAAATAAATGTACTGTGAGAGTGCCTCTTCTTACCACCTATGTTCCAGAAGTCCAAAACTTTCCATAAGTACATCTGAGATTTGAGAAGATGTTGTGGGCACCATCATGAATGGCTGCCATGGACACATGATCCATTACAGAAATGCTGCTGTTGAGTGGACACTGCCTGTTAAAAAAAGTTGGGAGCCACAGAAGAAATCCAAGATGTATTCGCCTCCCCTGCAACCTTCCTGCATCTTTAAACACAATTTTGATTTGTCCCATGCATGCTTATTTCCAGAAAATATGGCATGCTGCCAAAGATATTTGAGGAATTACATGAGTACTGTTTCAGTTTACATAAATATCCTAACACAGACCATGGGAAGTTCTGATGATTTACAACAGAAGTTGATGTAGGGACATAATTATATAAATTATGACCACACTAGGTTTAACTTGTAGGTTTCATTTAAGAGAATGTTGGAGGTTTAGATAGAAATAAAGCAAACATGCTGCCATTTTGAAGGCAGTTGTGGCAAAGCAACATTATGCACATTTACCAGCCAGCATGCCTTACGTCTCAGTAAAAATAATTACCACTACCGACACTGACCAATATGCATGCAAAGGCTCACTGGATAGATGCAGCTTAGTTTTTTGTTTTAATGGTGCTGCTCAGGAGCCTTTTGAAAAAGGAAGCTGCACTACTACGAAGACACAGAATTTGATAGTTCTAGCAGGACCTTGGAGTTTCCAGTGGTGGATATCATTGGTGTGTCCTGCTTCTTCTTCATTCTGATTGGTTAGAGTTGTGCAGGAGTTGGTTTCCGTCAGGGTCACACTCCCTGATAGCACAGTTAATAATAGATAATCCACTTCTGCATGATCAACCAGAAAAAATAGAGGTAGGACACATCTGTAATATCAGACTGGAACTTGCTTGCTGTTGAACTGCTGCCTCTTCCTGCTACTTGCTGGCTGTGCCCCACCTTGGCTTTGTTCTTGTTCATTATAGGCAAGTAGGAATGGACTTTCCATTGGGCAGTGTAGTTGTTATTAACTTTTTTCTTAAACTCTTGATCTGTGTTGTTGATGCTGTGTGTTTCTTTATTAATGAATATCAATTCTAAGGAAATGGCAGTTTGTTTCAGAGTGCACACCAATTACTACTTTTTGTTTTATTTTTGTTTTAAGTAAATGAGCTTTCTCCTGAGTTGTGCTTTCATGGACATTAATCAAACGCCTGAGTGCTCTTCCTGTTTTTGAGAATCTCTTTTGAAGATAATGGTCTTATTTAGACATGGCACCAGATTATGATTTGGGTAGTTAGCGAATTAATCTTCTGATGATGCACTCATTCACATGTGCTAATTGCTTTCATTATTTCCTGATTCTTGACAAACCATATTTTGCTATTTTGTCTGTATACATAACACTAGTGTGTCAGCTGACACCTTCAAGAAGCTAGCTGCACACACAAATGTAGAAATATTCTTATGTTTAGTATATTTAGGATGAAATTTCATAGAATCATATTTTAGTACTTTTATTAAGTTATGAAAGTGGAGTTTTAGTGCTACAAGACTTCTTAGCGCTAGAGTAGTCTAAAAGATTTTGTTGTACAACTGTCTGTTTGATAAAACAACTGTATTTCTGAGGGTACCTAAAGTTTAGAGACTTCTTCCAGTTATGAGAGGGAAGAGGAAGCTGTTATCCTCCGGAGACATTGTGGGACTCCATCAGTACTAGCCAGCACAGGATGATAGAAGTTGCAGTTCAGTCACATTTGGAGGGCCACAGTATCTCCAGTCCTGAAATTTGAGGAACCCTATTCCTAAATATTTTTTTGTGTGGAAACTGAGAGCATTACTGATACTGTTCAAAGAAACAGCCACCTGATACACTTACTGTAGATGCATAGCAAAAGTGAAATAAAGATTAGCAAGGATTGGGGGTGGAGAGTACTGCAAATGCAGTTCTGGGATCCTTACAGATGACGTTTGATCCCCAGTCTCCATCTAGGGATTGTATTCCTATACATAAAGACTTATGTACAAGTATAGAAAACTCATATGTGCAATTCAGCTCATGGAAATTGCCTTGGTGAATTCAATCTTAGTCCATTTTTGGACTCTACAGAATACAATATAATAGGCACTTATAAACATGATTGCTTGCTAATTTTATTTGATATAAGAATTTCAGGGTTTTTTTAAATAGTGCTTGGGTGGTATAGCTTCAGCTCATGGATATTTTAACTGTTCGTTTATTTTTCATTTTCATATTATACCTTTTATTTTAATCCATTTTTGTCTGCTATGCTTCTTAGCTTTTCTGGTTTGTAATTTTTTAAAAATTTATTTTAACAGTCACACAACATAGCCCAAGTCAGTTGCCTTCTCCAAGATGCAGACTGAAATACAGAAATAATATTGCCATAAAAATACAGCCATGATCCCAAATAGGTGTATCTTGGTTTAAGTTATAACTGAGTCACAGTCACACTTCATCTGTTCCTCATGCCAAGCAATCTTTTGTTTTCCGGCAGTGCTTCTCTTTTATATTTATTATTTAATCAACATTTTATTCACACTTGAAGTCTGATGCTCATCCTGTATAAATGTGAGTGCTAGGTTGAAATTTATCCCAGTAAATCCATGTGTTTGTTAAACCAAGTATTTGTGTGCCTGCATGTGCTTTGCTTTCAGAACTTTTTATTTGCGTTCTTTATTTTTATTTTATTTGGCTGAGTTTTATACATCTATTTTCTCACCTGACATATCCTAGGGGGCTTGGAGTAGCCATAATACAGTGAGCCCACCTTCCTGGTCCCCAGACATTTCAGAAGGTCGGGAAACTTTTAAGTCCAGACCGCTACCTGGCAGTGCCATATGGAGCATCAAAGTGGTAATTAATTTGTATTTATATTCTTGTTATCCTTTGCTATCTCTCTGCTGTTCTCCATTATAAAAAGATACTAATGAAAACCCTTCTGAAGCATAGCTAAATTAATATGCTACTTAAACCCAGTTTTTAAACAGCTGTATAACTTGCTTTTTAAAAATCCCTACATTCTCTCTCAGTGCATGCAGAATGAACATTGAGTCAATTTCTAATTCAGCTGTATGCGGTGCTTAACGCCCACAGGGTGTATTCTGTACACTGTAACTGGGCCATGTTGTATGTTATGAGTTACTGCTATCATCTGGATGGAGTCTGAAATAAAACATAGGTGGGAGACCAATGTATATGGTGTCTGAAACCTCCAGTGGCCAGTGCATACTTTAGAGGTTGCTGTAAAACTAATTTTCTCTGCTCCTCCTCCAGGTCTCACACAAAGGGCTGCAGATTATTATTTCCATACAAAGAGTTTTATGGCAGCTTGTTACTAACATAAAAAGTAAAGGTAGCTGTGTGGCTCCACAAAAGTCAAAAATCCATATTAGGACAGTACATTTATTAAGTCAACCGAAATATCACAAAATAGTATGCAAGGTTCTGAATTTTCCAGAATTCTTCACCAGAATCTAGCCTAACTAAGAATTTTTTAAATCTCAAAAGCTGAAATACTAAATGTGCCCTGAAAGATTATCAGCATAATATAGATACAGTACAGATAAAATCAATATTTTTATTTTTGCAGTATTTTTGTGAAGGTTATTGTATTACCTCTTGTTTACTAGGTGCTGCTGCTTTTTGTTGTGCTTCCTGTTTCAAAATAACGTTTAGTTGTATACATTATTAGAAGAGATGAACTCTGTATCTAGAGTAACCACCCTAAGACCTGAGCAAGCTGAAAAGAATTTTTCTTCTCATGAGACTTAGAATTGTTCATTTGTATTCTCATTTTCAGCACACCCACATTTGATTGATATGTTTGTATCAGTAATTGTACTATTAATTTAATATTAAGTTTCATGAAAACGTGTCCTTTCTTTCTGTATCATTTACAAATTTTATTAGTGATGTAAGCTAATGGTGTGTTGGTACTTTCAGTTGATAACATCCTTCTAGGACTATCTGTGCAGCTAGAGTGAATATTGTTGTGAATTTTCTCTTAGCAAGCAATAGTTTTACTCCCCCTCCCCATTTTCTCAAGTCATCAATGTCTATTACATACCTTGTGAATAGTGTGTACAGTGTTAGGCATGCCTTTGATGAGATTGATGGGAAGCTACTCTTAAGCCAATGCAGGATATAAGCATAGAGTGGAATCTAGTTGGTGCTTCTTGCACTGCTGTATCAGCAGAGGTGCCTGCTAATTGGAGAGAAGGGAAAACATTATTTGCCAGGCGACCTTTCAGGACAGATTATTGGGTAGCAAAAACTTCCTCTCCTCCTCTTCTGCTAGCAAATGACTCCCACTAAATCAAAAACCCCACCTGGATCAAAATTCATAATAAGATACTTGACAAAGGTTCATAGGCCGCAACCCTCACTATATGCTGTGTATCAAGATTTCTTCATATCTGCAAGCCCTGCTGTGGGACATGCTCATGTGAAAAATCCTGTTGTGTTGCAAAATACAAAATCCTGTTGTATTCTTACAAAGTCTGCTTTATAAGGAACATTTCTATGAAGCATTGCTTAGTTCCATCTAAATGTTTTAATTTGCTTTAAATAGGGTCGTGGCTCAGGGTTTCCTGGGAAGCGGAGACCACGTGGTGCAGGCCTTTCTGGAAGAGGTGGACGGGGGAGATCAAAACTTAAAAATGGAATTGGATCTTTTCTTTCTCCAGGGGTAAGAATCTCTAGCATATTATTTGAGCAGGCAGAAGTCTTGATTCGTGTCTCTGCTCACAATGATCTGCTTTTACTGCCAGAAAACTGTTAAGTTTTTGTTTTCTTTTATTTGTAGGTCACAGATATGGACATTTCATCTAACAAAGACGAGGAAGAAAACTCAATGCACAATACTGTTGTTCTGTTTTCTAGCAGTGATAAGTTTACTTTGCATCAGGTTGCAATATTAATTCATATTTTATTATTTTCTAATGTCATTGGCTATTTCCCAATTTCTAAGCCTCAGATGAAAAGTGTAGGCAATATTTAATGGTATTGTTTATTCTAGCTGTCCACTTCTGGTGACATCCAACCTCTTCCTAGCAAGACATTTGACGATAGTTAATTTATCTATAGGTGTTTAATCTAGATAATTTATAACATTACTTGGTGAACCATAAAACAAGTAATAAGCCTGTTAGTGTTTTGTTAAATTTAGGGATTAACTATTCTGTATATGGGCTACTATAGTAGAGAAAACAGAATACCATTTGTTGGGAGGCTGCAGTTATTGCATTGTGTGGCTACTGTCCTCTTAAGTTTTGAGGGCAGGTAATAGCATTGCTTCATCACTTGTTATTACACTGGCTGCTATGTAGCTTCTGGCCATAATTCTAGTGGTCTTTAAAGCTAGAGGTGAGTTAGATCTAAAGCTGAGCTGATATTTTTGGTCCATCTCTCTTTGGACATTTGCAATGAGCTTCTAATATATTTTGGAAATTCTTGTAGATGTTTAAAATTGTTTTAAGACTTTAACTACCTGTCCTTACAAAAATGTTCAAGATAGTTTTACTAGTATTACTAATTTTTGCTGTATACATAGGGTATATTAATGATAATAATGAGAAGACTGTATACACCTGAAATTTTGAAAGAGAACAAAGTTTGCTAAAAATGGATTAAAGGTGTATGTATATTTCTTCCATGTTTTAATTACCTAGTACTAGTTGTTTACCTGAAAATGTTTCTTTGATATTCTAGGATATGTGTGTAGTTTGTGGGAGTTTTGGCAAAGGTGCAGAAGGACGATTGCTTGCCTGCTCTCAGTGTGGTCAGTGTTACCATCCATACTGTGTCAGTATTAAGGTGAGCACTTTGAAATTATTGTCAGCATATTGTCCCTGCATACACCGCATTGATTCCAGTTTTTACATTATTAAGGAGTGTTTTAGCTTGTAAAATATTCCTCTGGGAATGTGACCATTATTTGTATGCAACTGACAAAGCACTTTAATTAAATGACATTTTATAAATGCAAGAGAAGTTAACCTTTCTGTAATTTTTCAGCTATAAATAGCACCGTTTATCTTGCAGATGGTTAAAAGAAAGTATTGAGATAACAGCTCAGTATTGAGCTAGATATAGCCTAAATATTAAGATATGAAGCAGTATAGTGTGTTTTGTTTTGTTTAAGGCTGGTTTCCTAAAAAAATATAGTTCATTTTCATTTATGACCACAGTAAGATTTGGTTAATTCACTTTGTCTGTTGGCTATCAGAATTTTCCTAAACTGGAGTAGTTAATTTCTTACATTCATTAAGCTAGGAGAGAATGTGCAAAAAGTTAAATTTGGATAGTTATGGGAAGACATGCACAGATAATAAGCTATTTGCTTCAGCATATAAATAATGAATCTTTTAAGTGCAGTTATTTAAAAAGGGAATATTCTTTTAATGTATTAAATCACATGCACTTTTATGAAAGGGTTGTACTGAAGCTATAACACACTCTAGACAGCTTTTGTTCTCACAGAATGATTAGTGTAGTAGGTGGGGTAAACTTTTGAACACTCCATAAAAGTAGCCATTTTAATCCTCATGAATTGCTTTGAAGAAAATTTAGGTTGATTACTCCAACAGAAAATGTGACTTAAGCATGTTTTGAAGCAAAGTTTAAAACGCATTTCAAACCCTGATTATGAAGGGAATCGGATAACTATTTCCAAGCCTATCTCCTTTTATTTACACCACTGTCTTACACCACTGTGTTGTCTTACACTAGTGAATGAAAAAAGAAAACATTCAGGAGTGGTAGAGCTGGTTCATACATTACACTCTTAATGATCACAACAAAACCAACACTGATTTGATTGCTTAAAATCCTGAACCTACAAACACCTTTCCTTACCAGTGTTTGCCTGCCCCTTGACTTTTCCTGTACTCTTGTGAAGGAGACAGTTCCAGCCCTCTCATACTTAGCATGTCAGGAGCAACTCTCTTTTGTTTTCTCCCCCCCGCCAAGAAAGATGGAAGATTCAACTGTCTAAGAAAGAACTAGCGTATTTTTCGCTCTATGGGACGCACTTTTCCCCCTCCAAAAATTAAGGGGAAATGTGTGTGCGTCCTATGGAGTGAATGCAGGCTCCTTGGCTTCAGCGATAGCAACGTGAAGCCTCCAAAGAGCAGAGGGAGCGCTCCCTCCGCTCTCCCTTCACGCTCCAGAGGCTTCGCATTGCTTTCGCTGAAGCCTGGAGAGCGAGAGGGGTTGGCATGGAACTTGTGCTGTGCTCCGAAGGCTTCGGGTTCCTTTTGCTGAAGCCGGGAGAGCAAGACTCTCCTGGCTTCAGCAGAGAGGGAGAGGGGCGCTGAGCAGAGAGGGGGAGAATTTTTTTTCTTGTTCTCCCCCTCTAAAACAAGGTGCGTCCTATGGTCGGGTGCGTCCTATAGAGCGAAAAATACAGTGGTACCTCGGGTTACATACGCTTCAGGTTACATACGCATCAGGTTACACACTCCGCTAACCCAGAAATAGTGCTTCAGGTTAAGAACTTTGCTTCAGGATGAGAACAGAAATCGGGCTCCGGCGGCGCAGCAGCAGCAGCATGAGGCCCCATTAGCTAAAGTAGTCTTCAGGTTAAGAACATTTTCAGGTTAAGAACGGACCTCCGGAACGAATTAAGTACTTAACCCGAGGTACAACTGTATATGACATAACTGGAGCACACTCGCTCTTTTCACAGAGCATGAACACTTCATATTTCCCCAACCATCTCTGCTAATGGGAGAGAATCTCTAGGGTTCTAAATAAGCAATGTGAGGTTGGTATTCACATGATCACTTTGCAACAGAGTGATATGTAAACTGGCTTTTGCACTGTGACATACGGTGGTAAAGACTGATTCAGAGGTTTGGAACATTGTGCTTTGCTTCTGTCAGGTACCATGATGAACCTTTTCGAAAAACTTCTTTTTTCAAGTTTCGATGTATGTTTCTAAACTATAGCCATATTTAAGATTAGGAAAGTAATATTTGGCACTACTGTACTTTTGCTTAAATGCCATAATGGGGAGGAGATGCCAAATAGATTTGTAAATCAAGAGCAAACTGTATTTCTCCAGATTTTGGAACTATGTTATCTTTTAATTTCAGTAAATGTGAATCTTGATTTTGATATTTGCAATAACTGAGAGTACGCTGAATCCTTACACTTGGGCCATTTTATTTTTTTAAAAACCTAAAACAAATTTTCATCTATAGTCTTGGAGAGCACAATGTTCATTGCTATTGAATGCAAGGATATTTTTGACTTCTAAAAAAATTAAGACTTCCCTCTAAAACAAAAAGGAGAGCATAAACATTTTAAAAATACAATTTCCAAATGATAGAAGCAAGTTTATTGAGAATATAAGTCTGTAAATCAACTGAGGTTATCTGGCTTCCATAAATAATTACCTGCTGACTTCCACTATGCAGATAACAAAAGTGGTGCTCCACAAAGGTTGGAGATGTCTGGAATGCACTGTGTGTGAAGCCTGTGGGAAGGCTACAGATCCGGGAAGACTGCTCCTTTGCGATGATTGTGATATCAGCTATCACACTTACTGCCTAGATCCGCCACTGCAGACAGTTCCTAAAGGAGGGTGGAAATGCAAATGGTATGTGTAACTTCGTTTCTCCCCCCCCCCCCCCGCTTTTAATGTTTTCTTTTAATCTGACTATATTTTCTTTTAATTAATATAATACAGCAAGGCTGATTTGGAAAATTACATTTTGCTGTAATTTAAAGATAATAAAATTTTAAGGTGAAAATACCGTATTTTTCGCCCTATAGGACGCACTTTTTCCCCTCCAAAAATGAAGGGGAAATCTGTGTGCGTCCTATGGGGCGAATGCAGGCTTTCGCTGAAGCTTGGAGAGCGAGAGGGGTCGGTGCGCACCAAACCCTCTTGCTCTCCAGGCTTCAGGAAGCTATCAGCAAGCCTGGGGAGCCCGCGGGAGTTCCCGCAGGGCTCCCTAGGTTGCGGATAGCAGCCTGCTTCCCGGAGCGCAGAGCACGCTGAAGCAGAACGCCCCACGCTTTGGGCAGATATCCGCAGCCTGTTTCCCGGAGCGCGCTGAAGCAGAGCGCCCCACGCTTCGGGCAGACATCCACAGCCTGGGGAGCCCTGTGGGAGTTCCCGCAGGGCTCCCTAGGCTGCGGATAGCAGCCTGCTTCCCGGAGCACGCTGAAGCAGAGCACCCCACGCTTCGGAAAGATACCCGCAGCCTCCTGCCCGGAGTGCGGGGCACGCTGAAGCAGAGCGCCCCGCGCTTCGGCCAGATATCCTTTTCTCCTCTAAAAACTACGGTAGGTGCTTTTAAAAAGCTCTGGCTTCCCCCGTGGCTGGGGGGTGGGTAATTTCCCCCCTTTATTTCTCCCCCCCCCAAAAAACTAGGTGCGTCCTATGGGCCGGTGCGTCCTATAGGGCGAAAAATACGGTAGGTATTTTAATAAAGTGAAGCAGTGAATCTTGCCATGAGCCCATGTTAAGAAAGATATTGTTTTGTGTTTTACAGGTGTGTTTGGTGCAGACATTGTGGTGCTACGTCTCCTGGTCTTAGATGTGAATGGCAAAATAATTACACACAGTGTGCTCCCTGTGCAAGTTTATCTACCTGCCCAGTCTGCTGTTGCAATTACAGAGAAGAAGAGCTTATTCTGCAATGCAGACAGTGTGACAGGTCAGAGTTTCTGCTACACAGTGAATTATATATTTTCATACGTCAATAATTTGCTCATAGTGTAATGTTGATTAAAGATTGTTTTAATTTATCATATGGAATTTACTTTCTCTCCCTTATCAGAGTCGCTTTCCAATAAGAGAGAGCCTCTTTCAAAGAAAAAGCTGTAGCTAATATCAGAAAGAAGAAAACCACCATGGTTATCTCTTCATCCTGAGTTGAGAAATGGCACTCTGACTTGGTTCATACATCACGTTATACTATAGTTTAAAACCTAGTATATTTGAATGTGGACATGCAACTCGCTGGTGTCCAGTGATTAAACATTCTTGCTCTATTTCTCCCCTTTTACTGCTTGGAAACAAGCCATAGTCTGGTTCATCATAATGTCTGAACCCAGGCTCATGATTTGTTTTTGTCCAAACAAACCATGGATGCCAATCAAGGTTTGTTCTTGGCTTACTGCTCATGGTTTGTTTGAGGGAAACTACAAGCCTGGCTTGTTACATTGCAGCACGGCAGCATTAGGAGCAGGGGTGGAGCAGAGAGTGAGAAATGTTGGGCAGCATGCACCAGCACGATGTTTGTTCATAGTTTGTTTTTAACTGTGATGATTTTAACTGTGATGTAATACGACATTCAAGCCAGGCCTCTGATGCAACATTTAGAGGTGCAAGTTGCTTCTGTATTGCAAAGAGCACTCCCGAAGTGCAGCCTGTTGCTTGGGGAGAGTATAATCCCATCTAGCAGAGAGTGAACACTGCTCCCTTGGGTGGACAAACCATCTACCCAAAGTACCCCTGTCTTATCTGACCATTTTAACAACTATCTTCTGGTTCTAAAGCAGACTTCCTCTGGGGTCTTCATATCATTGCCTCTTTACAGGGAAACTTTTAAAGCAGTAGACGTGTTCTGTGCTTCTTTCAATCTAAAGAGAGTCTGAATGGTGTTTTGGCATAAAATGGTATACGTTTCATTTTCTCCTTTTTAACTTAACTTCCAGATGGATGCACACAATCTGTCAAAACTTAAACACAGACGAGGAAGTTGCAAGCACGGCTGACAGTGGCTTTGACTGTACCATGTGTCAGCCATACATACCACCAGCAAATGGTAAGGAATTTCTTAATTGGGTATCTAGCAGCGTAGCACTAGCTTTGGAAACAACTTCTTTTGGTCTGTCTCCTGATTGGCAGATGCTGAATTGATTTCAGAGGCAGTACTTGAGGGAAATAATTTCTTTTGTCTTGCTTTTAGCACTGCAAGATTATTAATGAGGAAAAAAACAATTTAGAGTAGAAAGCTGGGTAAATCTCTTCCCAGAGGATTTGTAAGTCTGCTTAAAATTATAATAGCAGCAAGAGGGTGTGTGTGCCCACAAGTGAGAGAAAGACTGCACTCAGAGCACCATGATTTTGAGCAGATGAAGTTCATTATTTAACAATAATCTTGAATACTTTGCTCCCAGTGTGAGATAGACTTCTCTTAACTCAAGATTCTCAGGATTATTTTTTTCATAAGTTGCATTAATAGCAGCAGACATGTAAAAATATGTGTTGTTTTTTACTCTTAAGTCAGTGGTTCTCAATTAGCTAATTACTGAGGACCCCCTATTTTTCAAAAGCCAAGCCACGGACCCTCTACTTTTGAAAATTTTGATAAGTCTATGGTAGTTACCTCTGCAAAGCAATTTTTTGAACAAAATGTGGGATAGCAAAGGATTTTAGGTATACTAAAAACACACCAGGGCTGAGCGATATCTGGTTTTCAACATTGTTTTCAACAGCTAAACTTCACAATATTCTGATATATCACAATGTCTGAAATTGGAAATCAGGCATTGGGATGAGGGAAGGAACAGTCATGGAAATCATGCAAGGCGTGACAATGAGGGAAGGCTCAGCTGTGGAGATCGGCTGTGTGGTTGGAGTTGAGGAAGCGGAGTCACCTCCACCTTGTGGTTTGAGTGGGAGGGGGTAGGGATGGGGGGTGCATGAAGTCGCTGTCAGTGGAGCAGCCAGCGAAGATGCACATCTACTGTGGCTGCTTTCCTGCTGACTGAGAAAAGCTGCTCTGCCTCAGTGCCTTGATGTGAGGGTAATCAGCTGCCCTGCTCTCCGTCAGCATGAGCGGAAGGCAGCACCTTGCAATCGGCTGCCCTGCTTTCCTTCATGTGAGGAGCAATATGTGGCTGCGTACTGCCGGGTCAAAATCATTATTGAGGTTTGATTTCAAAACCAATTTTGGCCAATATCTTGAAAAACCGCACAGCGCTAAAACAGACCATAAAATTGGTGATTTTACCATGCAAAAATGACAAAAATTTATCTGGGGGGAAGCAAGGGATGGGGCTGTGGACTCCCTGGATGTGTTCCATGGACCGCCAGGGGTCCCTGGACCCCTAATTGGGAACCACTGCTCTAAGAAATGATGATGGCAGTCAGAATTACTGTACCATCTCTCCCTGTCAAATCTCAACTCTTTTCCTAACTGGCAGCCACCTAGACCAATTAGAATAAATTTACCTGATCCAGGCCCTATATAATAAATTCTCAAGGTGATTGACTCTCTCTTACCTCTCACTAAGCTGCTGATGCCAGACAGGCTTTTGACATAATAGCAATATAAGGCACCTTTGCCAGTCAAAGATGACACAGAATATTCCCCTCCCCCCCACACACAATAAAACACACAGAGAAAACCTTCTAGGCAAACAAACATATATACCGCATTCCTCTACATCATATCAAACACATGGATAGCTATTCCTATCAATAGTTTATATTAACAATATCCTGTAATAACTTCCAGTTTTTTATTGTTTCTTAATACCAGAAACACATTTCCATATTTTTCTCTTTTCTCACACCCATCCTTATATATATATAAAGAGGGGGGGGCATTGTCACAAGATTTATCCTCAGTTCAATCATTATTGTTCCATATATTATGGAAGCTGAGGCGCTATCCACAAATGAAGCACAACTGCTACTCTGACTTCATTTCTCTTTCTTTTGTGTCATATCACGTTCAAAGGTGAGCAGTTTCTTGTTGCTTCCCACCATTAAGGAATTCCAAATAGCAAAACTAATCTTATTTCAGAACACTATAAAACCATGGTTTATATTAGATTGCATCCAACTTTCTTACTATATTTGATAAAGGAAATGCCATTCATCATAAAATTACCTTGTTATTGTCTCCCCCACTTTGAATCTGATGTATCATATTAATTCAGCCATTGAAGCAAACTTCCATATTTTACCAATCCATTCTTCAATAGGTGGTGTCATTGATAATCTCCACTCTCACCTTCCTGCATGTAAAATTCCAGCAGCTATAAAATTCTAGTGGTGGTTACTGTATTAGAAACCATTTGGTAAATTAATTCTTTTTGATCTTACTTCACTGTGTCTTCCACACAATGCAGAAAAAGGGTAAAAACAACAACACTGGGTCTAAAAGACTTTCATATCCTGAAACCCTTCTTAGTGGGCTGCTAATGGTTTTCCAATAACCTTTGGATACATGGAAGGTTTTGGGAAATGACTGTGATAGCAGAATGGCAGACTTCCGTCTATTTCAAAGGGTCTTGCACCAGAGTCCTTCATGGAGGTTGACCACTTGGCAGATTGTGTCATTGATCTTTAAACTAACTTATATTTCTTGTTTTCTTCGTATGTTAATCTGCCAGCTGCCACATCCAAATCACGGTCTGTCCATACTATTTCTTGCTAGTTAATTCTGAAATTATCATGCTTTGTCTTAATTAGCTATTTCTAAGTCAAATGGGACTGCTGCCTCTTTGGCTTCCCAAATGTGCTTCTGCCTTTCCATCCCCCTGTCTCTCAAATTATCCAGGCTTTAACCTCTATGGAATGTTGTTTCCCACACCATTAAAAAATAAACTTGTTCAGGTTTACATCAAATTAGATTTTCATTTTATTTTAAAGGCATTATTTACATTTTTTTTAAATTAATTGATACCTGCCTAGATTTTTCAAGATGGAGCAGGCTGTGCATACAAAGAAATAAAATAAATGAATGCTATTGTTGAAAGGGACAAATGGTACATTGTGCTTTCTCTCACAACCCAGAGAAAGGCTTGATTTAAGGGAGCAATCTTAAAGCCAGCCAAAGGCCAACTGAGGGTCCTTTGGAAGTTGAGTAAGTGCCACTCTACCAGCAGAGAGGAAGACCTACCAGAGAGTAAGCAGTTATGCTGCCAGAGATCATCTGGTATATCAGTAAGAAATTGTGTGCATAGGTGCCTTGGCAGAGTGTTCTGGTGCTGTGGGTAAAAACAGGTCAGGAAAAAAAAATAACTTGCAGGTATGCACGAATGGAGTTAGGCTGTAAGCTTTACTGCTTTCGGTGAGAGCTGTTATGGAATTAATGTTCTTTAGGTTGTGCCTAGTGCTTCCAGAAATATAAACATTTCTTCAACACACTATTAGCACATAGTTGTTTTTAATTTGTATATTCAGCCTTCCACTGTATTCCTGGTAACAGTGAATGTCAACTGAAATTTATTAGCCTAAAAAAATTCAATTGTTCAAAAATTTAAAAATGCACTTCTGACATACCTGAAGTAATGAGCACAAGAGACTTGCAGAACATTAGAAATGATACCAACATCAAAAACTATAGTTATAGAGGATTATATATTTTAATACAAGCATCATCATCATCATTATTCATTTCATTTCTATACTGCTTTATATTTTTAAGGGAAAAAATCTTAAAGCAGTTTACAGTACATCAAATAACATCAAAGAAAGCAATCTATAATAAAATGTTACTGAAGAAAGTCATTTATAGGATACACAGCCAAAGCAATTTAAATAACAGGAAACTACAGTATTATCTTAAAAGATTTCAAAATAAAACATTACTAAAGGAAATCCAATATGAAACGCACATTTAAAGTAGCATAGTTTACAAGAGAATAAAATACTATTATAAGCATAGAACATATCTAGTGTTGTTGCTGCCAGTCCTGCCAATGGTGCTTTATGGCAGGTGGTGGCAGCTGTGGAAGCTCAGACTTGATGACCTGGGTCTGCACTGAGGCAGACCAGATGATATCCGGCTTCCTGAGCAGCCTCAGCTTTTGTAGCTGGAGTCAATAAGGGCACTGCCATGTGGAAAAGGCCTGCAAGGCAGGGAGCAGGTCTTCCAGGACTCACAGCCAATTTCAATTTTTATCTTTCAGTGCCTTCCTCTGAATGCTGTGAACCATCGGTTGCCACTCAAATTATAACAAAAGCAAAGGAATTTGGTAACTTTCAAAATTCTTTATTTCTTCCCCCTAACATGGTTACTGCTTAACCTAGAAATAAGTTCTACAGTGTATCAATACGTTTCTTAGCTCTTTTTATCTTTTGTCATCATATTGCCTCTTACTAAAAGTTTTGTTTTTTAAACATGCATCTGCTCTTCAAAATTTATGGAACAGGCAGATTTTTTGTTTAAGTAAATCCCTAAAGTGAGCCAAAAACAGGGCTGAAATGGGACATTTTAGTGGGTGTTTTTTTTCTGGATTTCATTAATTTGTTACCTTTTCTCCCTTAACATGAGCACTGCTATAAATTGCTTATGGAACAGCCTTTATGGGTTTTTCCTTGGACTCAGTTTGAGTAGAACCTTTGCAGGGTCAAAGTAGTTATGCTATGGTTATAGCAGGAATAAATATCTGCAGGACGCAATCAAGAAAACGGTAAAGAAACAATGGTCTGGTTTGCATTTCATGCTGATCCAAATTTAGGCTTAGCAAGACCATGTAGGCTTCCAGGGAGGAGCTCATTGCTGCTTCACCCCTGGTAATTCACTCACCACACTTTAGTGAAACCATAGTTTGGCTTAGTGTGCCATCTGAACCCAGGCTGTCCTGGAAAAAGCCATAAACCACAGGACAAACCTTGGTTAGCGCCCATGGTTAGTCTGGAAAAAGCAAAACTTGAAGCCCAGATTCAGATGTCGTGGCTTGGTTCAGCATAGTGCAGCAGTAAAACAATCAGAGAGGATTGTTCCTAGACTCTGGGAACCCACACACTTTTGCTAAACCATGGTTGAGTTTAGCATGACATGTGAACCAGTCATTTGTTCTTTCTATCAGATTGGAATAAATAATATATCAATGGAAAAGCTTTGTATTATTTTGAAGCAATGTTGATTTACCTCAGAAATAGTTCTGCTCATTTATTTATTTTTGCTCTGATGTTACAATGGATAATTGTTAGTATGTTAATTGCAAGTTCCTTAAAGTTGGGGGGGGGATAGAGTTACACAATGCTTGTAAGCTAAGGTTATTAAAGTTGTGTATTCCTGTTATGGTTCATGCAAATTTCATAGACCCACCGAAGACATACACTCAGGATGGAGTCTGTCTGACAGAAACAGGGATGTCTCAGTTACAGAGCCTCAGTGCTGTTGTACCAAGAAGAAAACGGACAAAGCCAAAGCTCAAGTTGAAGATTATAAACCAGAATAGTGTGGCTGTACTCCAGACCCTGCCTGACATCCAGTCAGAACATTCGAGGGATGGCGAGATGGATGACAGTAGAGGTAATTGTTGCTTTGTGCTGTATGTCGTTGTTAACAATAGAAGCAGTTTACAGAAGGACATGGGTTGTAGGAGGATATTGAGGCAGTTGGGATTTTCAGTAGTTCAGGTCTTCCAGAAGAGAACCAGAAATTTTGCCCTTTAGTAGGCAGAATGTTATAGATCTACATATAGCAGAGGTTTGGACTAGATTATCTCCAAAAAACCTTCCAACTATATATAACTCTTTGGTTGCCTGCTCTGCCTATCAGTGGCTTTAGCAACCTTTTGCATGCAAAACACTCCACCAACTGCATCTGTTGGTGTACGTGCTATGACATAAGCAATTAATTCCCAGTACCTTTATTAGCAAAGGGATGTTAGACTATCACAATGGTGATGTTATATAAGGAGATACATAGGTCATGAATGGATTTTAACTTTAATGAGAAATACCTGACTAGTACAATACTTACTGACACATAGTAGAAAGACGACTTGCATAATAAAACCCATGTAATAAAATACCCAGCAATATTGCTATTCATTAGTATGATAAGTGCCTGCTTATGAGTACAGGTGTATTAGGTGCTGTTTAATTATTATTATTATTATTATTATTATTATTATTATTATTATTATCATCATCATCATCATCATCATCATTACCCCCACCCATCTAGATGGTTTCCCCAGCCACTCTGGGCAGCTCCCAACAGAATATTAAAAACATGATAAAATATCAAACATTAAAAACTCCCCTAAACAGGATGCCCAGCTGTCTTCCATACCTTCAGTACCTTTTAGCAACTTTTACTGATTGCCAGCTGCTACTCAGGTTGAAGAAATGGGACCTGGGCACAAGTACACATGTCCTAATGACATTCAGGCCGGATGAACCTTAGATGACCCAGGACCAGCAGACTTAGAAGAACTACTTGAACTTGGAAGCTCTGCTCAGTGCACCCCCCATCCCACCATCAGAGGTGCATTGGGTGGCAAACAGGGCCTTTTCAGTTATGGCACCCTGCCTCTGAAATTCCGCACCTTTCTCTGCATGTCATTCACCATCCCTAGTAGCATTTATACCTTCTGTCTTTTCCCGGCATTTGATTTTAGCAGAGTCCGTTTTTACTACTACTACCTCAGTGTGCTGTCATTTAAAATTGTGTGTGATTTTATTATGCTCATTATTTTATATATGCCATTACATACCTTAGGAAGCTTTCCCCTGAGAATTCTGTAAGAGAAAATGACAACTTCCTATGAATTTTACTTTATAATTGTTTTATGTGTTTGTGTGTGTTTAAATTCAGAAGGAGATCTCATGGACTGTGAGGGAAAATCTGATACAAGCCCTGAACGGGAGCCTGCAGATGATGATCCTAAAGGAGTAGAAGGAACTGAGGGGATTAAAAAGAGAAAGAGAAAACCATACAGACCTGGTAGAGTACATGCTCCAGATTTGCATATTCATTAGGTTTATATTTATTATCTATATGTAAATAATCTTTTAACTTACAAACTTGAGTGACTAAATAAGATTTTGCTGAGAATTATCACTTCCCTGTTTGTTGTATATTACAGCTTCCTCTAATTGAGTTACAATTCATTTCCTTTCTGATTCTAAAGAATGGTGTTCCAATGTTGCGAAACAGGAGAACTACCGTATCATTCTCTTAAGTACTAATTTTGTATTGAAACTTGCCATTGGATCATTAAACCTGATAGGTGGCCTGCTGTTCTGAGTGGTTTGCTTCCACTGTATAAGACAGGAAAATGTATATGTGAGCACACACTATCTCCCCATAACACTATCATGGCGGTGCTGTTAGAGCACCTTTCATTAAAGCAAATAACTACCATAGCAGTTAAAAGAAATTTCTTTTCTGCCCCAGTGCATGTGCAAAGTATAATAACTCTAGACAGTCTGTATCAGGAAGGGGGACACTAGCTTTGAAAGTGAAGTTGGAATATTGTTTTCCTTGTCACAACAACATAATCCAAACGTTTCAGATTAGACTCTTTTTCTATACATGTAGGATGGGGGAATTTTGCATGTTCCACAAGGATCAGTAGGTCTAAACATCAGTAGGTCTAATCAGTTTGTTCCTAACTCTCCCAACGTCTGTACTTTGTCTGTACTTCTACCTAATGTCTTACCCAGTAAATTATCCTCTCAGCAAGAATGAAAGGACATTCTATTTCACCCTTCCATATTCCATCTGGTTAAGTTTGCTAGATAGACATCATATTCTCCTGTGCTGGGCTATAGTCATTGGGTTTTTGGCAGATGCTTTCCATTCTAATTCTTTTCTGATGGGAAACTCTGTAGCAGTTAGTTGATTCTTGAAAGCTTATTGTCACTGCTGATTGGCACTGACAGCAAGCCTCCCTTGCCAGAGAATACCGTAATTGGAAACACTTTAAGACTCTCACCTGATATTACATATGACATCAGGAGGGGGGCAGTTGGCCATGGCTTGCTGCCCACAGATCAAGGGTTCACTATCCCTGCTATAGTATGTGAGGCACTGGTGCATCATTTTCATTACATATACATCTCGGGACCATCCATCTGGATCACTCAAAGCTCCTGGACACATGTTCTGGTAGCATAAAGTAAGTTGCATGACCACCTCTTGTATTTTGATGTAGAGCCAGGTGCTTACTAAATATGTACTGTGTATCCACTTCCAGTTTTATACTTAAAGTGGACTTTAGTGTTTGTGAATCTACAAAAAGGTGAAATCCAAGTATGTTTTCCTAATTCAAATAAATTCAAGGTGTATTATGTGTGTGTGTTTTTACAGGCATTGGTGGATTTATGGTACGTCAGCGGAGTCGTACAGGACAGGGAAAAACAAAACGATCTCTTTCAAGGAAGGACTCCTCTGGCTCTGTATCTGAGCAGATACCCAGCAGAGATGAAAGTGGGTACTAATTATGTGAATCAACCACTTAAATGTGACACTGATAGTTATGTTAAATTATCTGTCACTATAGCAACATGTACTCCAATATAGGAGCATTATATTGTTAAGATTCATTATAATGCAATTTTAAAAAAATTAACTACTGGTTTTCTCCACATCTGTATTTTCAGCACTTCCCATAGCACATACTTATTCCTGAAGCATCATTTTAAAAGTGCCTGTCCTGAGCAGTTCATATTAATTTTGCATGTGTTTATTCTTAAGCCTGTTCCATACCATTTGTGCATTAATCTGTGGATTAAAAAAAATGAAAATTGTTATTTAATTCTTTATTTAAATATTTTTTGCAGTATTTTACTGCAAAATACATATTGAAATAAATATTTTCTTTCAATGTATGCATTTCTATAAATATTTTATCCTAAATTACATACTTCAGTATGTTTTTAAGCAAAAAAAACTGTATTGTGAAATTCAGAGGAAGGATCACTGCATTCTGATCTTTGTGAATTAGGTCAGTTTACTTAAATTATGGGCCAAATAAAACTCTTCTCCACCTCACCTGCAACTGCTTGCTCACCCACCCATCTCACCTTGTTTCTGCCATCTGTTCACACTGTCTCATGCTGCCCATTTATACTCAGAATTGCCTGTCAGGAGGTGGCTACAGGTAATGTAGTAGTGTTGAGGGAAAACCGACAAATGGGTTTCTTGCAGTACAGCCTTTTAAAAAATTGTAGTGATAGCATCTGCTCTTGATAAATTACCGGTACTTTAACCTGGTTAAATGCCTCCTTACTTAACATGTACACAAACTCCAATACCTTTAATGCTCTGATTAGAACCAGGGATTTTACCATAATCAATAATTTGGGGTTTGGGTCTTGTTGTCTCAATAGATTGTATCATTAAGAAGGCAATGTTAATGAAATGCTATGTTAGCATAGCTTTGTTTTAGGAATGGACAGTAACTGCAGAGTGGATGATACTTCAGTTGGATTCATTATATTGATTTACCCATAACTGACTTGTTCAGTTACCTAATAATGCTCATCAAAAGTAGGAATTCCCCTCAATCTTTTAGAAATCTCTCCTGATGCTTTAAGTGTCACTTCAGTAGCTGAATAACTGTGCACAGTATCATTTGGGTGACAAGAGAAAAATAACAATCCTGCTAATATAAAATAATATAATGAGAATTAATGAAAGTACCTAAATGAAACATCCTTTTAAGAGGTTTAATTCAGTAATAAATTTTATTTGTTTAAAAATAGCATTTGTCACTTATGAGACTTTGTTACTAAAATGTATACAAATACAGATATGCAATCTACAGTATATAGCAGGGATATCCAACAGGTTGATTGGGATCAACTGGTCGATCCGTGGGAGGTTCGGGCCAATCATGGGATACTCCCCTCTAAAAAAAGCTGAACTCCCCACCCCCAAAAAGGGGTAGATCACTGCCAGTTTTTTATTCTGTGAGTAGATCACAGTCTCTTGGGAGTTGGACGTCCCTGGTATACAGTATTCAACAATCATTTTCTGTTGAAGAAAAACCATTCCCTATCTTCCTTGAATGCAATTATTTCACAGTTATCTCAATTCAGCCCAGAAATAATTTTGTTGATTTTGTTTTATTTCACTTTACATCTCTGAATACCTTAAGAAAACATTATGCATCATTTGCTAAATTGGTCCATCTCTGCAGTTCTGCATTATTGTAATTTTTATAATATTGCTGTTTTAAACTAAGATGTACAGATGCTAAACAGAGTGGGGCAGTACCTCAAGAGTGGGCAAGAGTTATAAGTAAATTTGTTATTATGCATGATTGTCATTGTTAGGTTGGAGTGAACAGCTACTAGATACACCCGTTGATGAAACTACTCCTGTTTCAGAGAATACAGAAAAAATTAAAAAGCGTTACAGGAAGAAGAAAAACAAGCTTGAAGAAATCTTCCCAGCGTACTTGCAGGTATAGTCATTGCTATGCGTAGTGTGCTGCTTAAGATTAGCATTTGCATATATTGAATAAACTGTTAATCGGTGTAAAACACAAACATTTGCTTTCCAGTTGTGTAATTCATTATCACTCTAAGTTGATTTTGCATAAAGAGTGATCGTTTCAACAGCCTCCTTTTGCTATTAAGCATTAAAACATAAATTACACCTTTCCTTCTAATTTTCCTGTTTCATTTGTTTTCCAACAAAAACAATAGAATGTTATTCAGACATAACCCAAATGTCTGTATTAATGTTGATATAGATGCTTCAGTTGAAAATAGTTTGCCCTTGCTAGGAGGATTTAATTTTGTATACTGATTCTTAAAAACAGAGGCTATTTTTTCAGCAGTATGGAGCAATATGGAGAACTTAATTCTTTTCACCATATATTACCTAGCTTGTATGCTAAGATAGGTGAATTGAACCAAGTTTGCAGAAGAAAAGTTCCCCATCTACTCTTCTGTCTAGCAGCTGTCTGTGTGCTCCAAAAAGCTTATCCAAGGGGTCAGGGGGCTTCCTGAACAACCTTGGATGGGCAAGGGGAGCTGTTGAGTGAGGGAAGAATTGCCCCAAATTGGAAATGTTTCTTCTTTTTACATAGGGTACGAGTATTTGAATAGGAAGTAAAGGGCGATGAATTAACTTCAAGAACTTTACATTAAAAAATAGTCATTTGTGTTGAGTTTAATTTTACTATGTTCTAGCCACAAAGTTAACATTAGAATGAACTAAATTGGGTGAACAGTAGTTTTGTATGTAAAGAAATCAGTTTTTGGTTTTGTGTGCCAATGCTCAAATGTGGGGAATGTGTTTGTTTTTCCTTGTAGGAAGCCTTCTTTGGAAAAGACCTCCTAGATACCAGTAGACAAAGAAAACCAAGTTTAGATAATTTATGTGAAGAGAGCCTTAACATTTCTTGCAAAGCAAATTTGAACACAAATTTCCTAGATCCATCTTCAGATCCACTTCTTAGCTCAACTTCCACTCCAGCTCCATCAAAATCCGGAATACAAGGTACACCTGCTTGTATGTTTTTGTTTCTTTTGGTAAGGGGTACTTGAAGAGCAGAGTTCTTAAAAGCAGGAGTTTTGGGTGGATTGGTAGAAGGACAGTGGTTAGGGAAAGCATTTTGAATAATTTCATTAGCTATCTTATTAATTAGTATTCTCAGTAAGTGTGTTCTCTACTGCTGAGCTATGGCCCTTATGTCAGTTTACAGTTCCTATAGGTTTCCAACGCTGTTGGAAGGGGTGGAATTGTACTCAAACCTGATAGCTATATTGTCTTGTCAGCAGATGGCAGCAATTGGACAGTGGCTCTTGAGTATACTCTCTCATTATAGTGACAAGAATCCCCCTGATTTACCAAAGAGCTCATGTTTCTGAAGCAGTTCAGAAAATTGCTGGAGTGCAGATGGTATAAAACCAAAGATTATGAAGCCTGGGCCAGGACAGCAGTGGTTGACATTACAGTCTATGTTTATTATATGGGGAAGGTGTTATATGGATTCAAGCTGTTTCAACACAGGGGTGAGGAACATTGTTTAGCCGTAGGCCACTTTCTGGCACCTACATGCCAGTGGCGAGTAAGGCCAAAACAAAAGTGCATGGGCCTAAAGTACTGCAGGAGCTGGTGCGCCCACATAAATGTATTGCACACACCACATAATTATGCTGCACACACATACATATATGCAGGATCTCACTCTTTTTCACACATACACACAAATAGGCCTTATCAGTCTTAATTGCCAAAGAGGGTGATCCTCACAGAGATTGCATGGTTAACCCTTCCCTTCCTAGCTGCCCCCTTTGTGAAATCCATCCCCGCACCCATAGCAATTAGGCTTGAGTAAAGCCTTCCACTGGTACGGCTGTTTTCAAGCCTAATTACAGTGGAGGTTGTTTCCAGAAGAGGATCACAGCTGTGATTCCCTCCCCCCATGGCCCCCTGCACTGCAATTAAGCTTGGAAAAAGGATTCTATGGGCTCCAAATAGGAGGCTTTTTTTTCAAGCCTAAAATCTGTAGGGATAGCTGGGGAGGAGGTGGGGTGCTGTGGGTGGGCTGTATCCTACCCATGGCCTGCCAGTTTCTTGCTCTGATTTAAGTCATTGTAGGCCAATTCCCAAAGTGTTAAATGGTGTTTCAACTGTTTACTTAGATTTGAGCTTTCTGTTTACAAAGAAACATTCAAGCCTCTTTTTCGTAACGAGAAAATAAAAGAAAGGTATCTGATTGGAGAAACACATACTCAAAATAATACCTGTTTAAAAACCCTTGAGCTCAGAGCAAATGGATAAATAACATGGGGGATCACAGTTGTTATGATTAAGGGCTTTTCCACACTGACCTTTCTTCCACTCTTTCTAGGCAAGGACTGTGATATAAAGTGCTGTGTCCAAGTGCCCTCCATTTTTTATTGCTCCAGAGCTTTCCCCTGGGGTCAAAAACCCACTCTTTAAATTCCAATCAAAACAAATGTCAGTCCACTGAAAACCCAAATTGACATTTGCTCCAGTTTGGCTTTAAAGAAGGGTCATTGCGGGGAAAGCTCAGGGCAAAAAGACCAACCAAAACACACTCATATATGGAGCTTTAAAGCACAGACCTCTGCCTTGAAAGAGCAGAGTAAAAGGTAAATGTGGATAAGTTCATTGTGTAAAGTACCTGTTTTCTGTAGGTACCTCGGATGACCCATTAGCTGCCCTTGTGCTGAGCACTGATGATGACATACTTGGAATTCTTTCTGATGATTTAGTGAAATCTGGGGATCATTCAGGTACATGTATAAGTTCTTGTTGGTTTTGTGAAATTTGTCTTGATTTATAAAATCATCCTGTTCATGGTATTATGCAACTATTTATATATGTATTTGTTATACCATAAGTATGCTTCAGCAAGCAAAGGACTCTTTCTTATTTCTTGCTTTGATCAATAAATCTGCACTTTATTTTACTTTGCACTTTATTGATGTGGGGATAACTTTTAAAAATCTTGTTGGTGTCCGGCATTCCCATGTACTATTTTAGCATGCAGCTGTGTATACTTTTGGTTTATATTCTTTCTTGCTTTTTCAGCCTCTCCTTTTCTTTCTTTCTTGTTATAATCATCCATTTTATCTGGTTTGGATCTTGTAGGTCTTGATTTATGCACTTTCCAGGTTGAGAGCTCATCCTCCCCTTTTGGTAAGGAAATAAACAGTGGGTGATTCATGGTTAGAAGTAGTCATCTTTCCTAGTGGTTTCGGCTGATTTTTTATTTTTGCATGTGTAAATATATTCCATGTCACTAAAAATGCTTTCATCTTTCACTATCTCTGTGTGCAGAGTCTTGTGCAATGTTAAATACCTGCCTGTGCAGTGCACCTAGTAGTGTTTCAGAATTTTGTTTTAAAATGTTGTGAATAACTGGATTTGTGTGTGTGCCTTTCACAGTACAAAGTAACACGTTTCCTTCCTCCTGCACTATTTAAGTATGCTTTATAGAGCATCACAGTGATAGACTTGTTTTTAATTTAGTTTGTTGTATTATGAAAAGCATGAATAAAAAGTTAATATCAGTTTTTAATTTGGCCCTGGATAGACACTGCAACTTTGTCAAGCATAAAACACAAGGTTGGAGTCATTATTTTTAAAGATTATATAAGCTATTATGTCTTTAAGTATTACTTTTTGTAATGGCTTCAACACTGTATTTCCAAGTATTTAAATTCATATACTGCTAAATATTGTAGTTACTAAGTGGTAAGTGCTATAAGTTAAGTGTGTTTATGATACTAACCCTTTAAAGTAACATTTGTATGTAGAATTCCAAGAATTCTATCATTCTTAGACTGGAAATTCTCAGCCACCTCATTCTAATCTCCTACACAACCACCACTCCCAATGCCTATATCACCCATTAGGAGAAACCCACAAGAAGACAGAGAGGCCATAAATAATCTAGATAGCCTGGGCTTCAGATCCCCTTGAGACAAGTTGACTAAAACTCACTCAGGTGAGCTTCAGCAACCATGACCATGTGCTGCTTAGCAATATACTGTTCTCTGGTGTTCACTAGCCAATCCAACATGAGGAAATACTTAGTTCCACCTCTCATTGGTGTGATGTGATAACAGGAACAAGTCTAGTATAATTATTAATCATTCAACAGAGCTTTTCCAAGTGGTTTAGGCCTTCTGCAGTTTGGCACAGTAGGACATGTGAACAAATCCTCAAAAGCATGCCTTGACATATTTGCAAGGTTCTTCAAAGATAAGAGCCACTCACAACTGCCATGATTTGGATGCCACAGTTAATGCAGATCAGCCAAGGGAAGTGTCCAGGACACCTATTTGGTCCAGAGATAGCTTTGCTTTTTCCAGTGGGGAGGAAGGAAGTCCTGCGCAGGGGTAAATCATGTGGAAGGAGAAGAAGGTGGGAAACCCACCCTGTCCCACTCTATCTCCTCTCTCACACAACTTTGGGAGGCTCCAGTGGTCAGGGGTGTGTGGACTCTTTGGTGTGTACTGAGTAATATAAGCTGATCTCACAATGCTTCATCCTGTTCACTGGCTCTTAGTCCATTCCAGGCTCAATTCAAGATGACAATTTTGAACTTTAAGACCCTTCATAACTTAAAACCAGGGCTCCTGAATCTTTCTCCATCTAGACCTTACTCAAGTGCCCCTTACAAGTGAGATGGGCAAGTGGCTAACGGAGAGAGAGGCCTTTACAGTAGTAGCACCCCAGCTATGGATTGACCTCCCTAGGGACGCTCACCTACACTTGCCTTGGTGTCATTTTGGTGCCAGGCAAATATCTTTTTTTATTTTCCTATACTTTTTAATCTCTTTCAGCTTTCAGCTGTTTCTATTCTCAGCAACTGTTTTTATGCTGTATTTGTACTTTCATAGTATCATTGTTACTGAATGTTAAATTGTTTTATTTCCTGTTGTGAGCTACCCTGAGAATATTATTACAAGGTGACCTATATAAATACTGTGAATAAATAATGTAAGTAAAAAAACACACACAAAAAACAGACAGAATCCAGATTTAGATCAGTTATGGAATAGATGAAGTACTACAGGTTCTAATATAGAGAAAGCAGTTCAGAGAGGAGATGGAGATATATTTTGAAGAGCCTGGAGGGAAGTCTCTCTTTTACTGTAATTGATGACAGACACCTTTGCAGGAAGTTCAGAAGCAGGAAGTGACTTGTGACAAAAAACTACTACTGTGTAATATATAGGAGAAAAGGCCAAGCAGAATGTTGTTTTTTTGCTGAGCATCCCAGCGCCACCCCCAGAGCCAAAGGTGGAAAGAGACACAATAATGTTTCTGGCAAACCACACCTAACATCTAAGGATAGCGCCTTGGGCAGAAGCGCCCAGTGTATTCTTGGCTCTCTTTGGCAAATGTTCTTCTTCACTAGAAAAGGTAGTAAATTGCAGAATCTTACAAAGAGGGTAGAGTCATCCATTTCTGCAGGCTATTTTTGTGTCAACAGATTTAGACACCATATTAAGTTCTCTGTAAATGTATCTATATCAGTTCTAAAGAAAATATTTCCTCCTTCAACTATTCCAGAGACAGTTTTGTAGTGTCCATAGGTTAACTCCTACCTGCTGATGAATATTTGCAAAGAAGCCTCTAATGTTAAAATAATCCAATCACTTATTGGAATTGTTAAGTTCTTAATACCAGGAGAGGCTTATGATTCACGATAATATTCAGTCAGGTTTGCAAAACCTTTGTTTCTTAGACCAAACGAGTTTTTTAGTTGGGTGTGTTATAGAAAAATATGCTTCAAATATATTTTCCAAGCAGTTGTTAAACTAGGCACCTCAGCTTATTGCTGGTCTTTTAGTTAAAACCATACTTTTCCTTCCATCAGCTGGACTAGATATTGGACCGATATCGGATGATCCATCCTCTATACCTCCACAAAGCGTCAGTCAGAGTTCACGGCCACTGAGTGAAGAACAGTTAGATAGAATCCTGAGCCCTGAACTGGACAAGATGGTCACAGATGGTAAATGTTTCTCTTATATCATTGCCTCATGAAGGATCTTCTTTTTAGATTTACTTCCTGCTTGGTTTTAATTAGTTGCAATTACCACAGTTCACTGTACGTATATGTTTGCTAATGTTTCTGTTGATTTTACTTTGTTCAGGTGCAATTCTTGGCAAACTGTACAAGATTCCAGGTATGTTCTCTTGCTTTTTAATATCATTTTATGAAGCTTGCCAAATGCAACCATACCTTGTATACTCACATGCAGTGTTTTGCAGAGCTGGGAGGAAAGGATGTTGAAGACCTATTTACTGCTGTACTGAGCCCTTCAGCTACTCAGTCAACTCCTTTGCCACAACCCCCACCACCGCCACCTCCTCAACTCATGCATTTGCATAATCAAGGTTTGTTTATTATCTTTTTTTGAAAAATAAAAATGCAACTAAACAATTCACACACAATTTAGTCATTGTCACCCAGTCTTGTGAAAAGTGGAAGCTAGAGTATTGTTTTTGTAATTCTTTTTATCAATAAAATCATCCTATAAGGGTGGATATGTTTCTTTTGATACAGCCTGTCTCCTGTCTACCTAGGACAGTAGTGAACAACCTGTGGCCTGGCGGCTGCATCCAGTCCTCTAGTTAGACCAGGGCCACTCTTTCTTTCTCTACCAAGTTGTATGTGTATGTGTGAGAGAGAGGCAGAAAGGGGAAGAAAAGTGGCAGAGAACATTCTTCGGTGCTGCAAATTCCATCCACTTTTGTCTCTTCTCTTCCCTGCCCCACAGTCGCTCAGCTCCTGGCAAATTCTCCCTGAAGAAAGCCAGCCCTTGACAGATTCCCTGCCCCCGCTACTTCATTGGTTCCCATCCCTGTACTCAAGGATGCTTGGCCAACATCTTTTCAGCTCCTCCTGGCTCCAGCCAAGGAATAAGGATCATTATATGTTCCTGAAACCAAACATTGTCTCCTGTACAGCATCCCAGAACCCAGAAAACAATGCCAAAACAAGGCTTTAGTCTGCAAAATAGCATGATGTGAGAGGCTGAGTTATTTGAGCTTAGTCCCTGGATGTTATCTTTTTCAAGGTCTTCAAAACAGAGTAAAATTTTAGAGTAACCAAAATCCCTGGATGTTATCTTCTTTCAAAGTCTTCAGAACAGAGTAAATTTTTTGAATGTTTAATATTTGGTGTATGCAGAAAATGTCCCTTCAAATGGTTTAGTTTAGTACTGTGAAATAGTGAAGCAGAGTTTTAGTTTGCTTTTCACATGCAAAGTACTACTATTACATTTTATTTTTCCTGACATAGAGTATTGGCTTTTGGATAGTAATCAGTTTTTTAATTATGATATTTTAGATTGTTGAAGTTATTGTGCTTTATGGTATTGTGAGCCACCTTGGGTGGGCTATGTCCTAAAAGCCCATATGTAAATAAATTACTATAAATAAATATTATTTGTGTTTTCAACTTTTCTTTAAAGGAGAGAATGCATTTTCAAGAGTTCCACTTATAAATGGCCTAATTGGACCAAGCCCCCACCTCCCTCATACAACTTTGGTTCCAGGAGGAGGTATAGGCTCATTTTCTACAATAGCACAGCCACCATACACAGACACAAGGTGAGTCAAATTGAATAATTTGATATATCCCCTACTTCAGCATAGCTATTCATTGAACCTATCATGTTGCTAATGAGTTGGGCTCTCTGATTTCTCTTCTTCCCGGGTTTTAGAGTAACCAAAATTATTAATAATTTTGAGGTGTTGCTATTTGTGTGTGTTTGTTGGAACAATGTATTTCCGTATATTGAAATGAACAAATCCCTATTTTGCTTTGCTTTGCCAGGGATAAGAATACAGCATTTAATGCGGTGATGAATGATCCCACCAGTTCTTGGGTTCCTTCTGCTACACCACTGGATGGTGAAGGTGATACCATGTCTAACGCGCAGAGAAGCACTCTTAAGTGGGAAAAGGAAGAAGCACTTGGTGAAATGGCAACTGTAGCACCTGTTTTGTACACAAATATCAATTTTCCAAATCTAAAGGAGGAGTTCCCAGGTATGTTATAAATTGTAGAATCATAAAATTGGAAGGAACCTTAAAAATCTTATCTAATCCAACCTTCTTGCCAGTACAGGAAGTCCACTGGGTTAAACCTTGCATTACAAATCTGTTAGGCACCAATCTTATTTCATAAAGTTCAACTTTTCTGAATTCTGAAAAAGGCAACAGTTTCATGTTTACTGTTTACTGATGCATTGATGATATTCCAAATCAATGCAAAAATAACAAAATCTTACTCCTTTTTCTCCTCTGCATTCTCAGATTGGACTACAAGAGTGAAGCAAATTGCTAAATTGTGGAGGAAAGCAAGCTCACAAGAAAGAGCTCCATATGTGGTAATGAGTATTTGCCATTTTTGTTGAAACAGAAAAAAAATGTTATGCCTCTGATTTCCATTAATTAGTCTAAAAGTATTTTAAGTTTTAAAACTGCTATAAAGCACACTGCTTCTGCAAAGTGCATTTTACATACATGAATTTCAGTTAGTTTTCTTAATTTACTTTTTATGCATTTGGGGCCATACTTACTTTCTTCTGACTGCTGTTTTGCATCTCTAAAAACCTAGTGTTGAATTTGCACACTAAACTTTTAAAAAACTGACAGGATGATTTGATCCTCTGGAAAAGTAAAGATCATGAACATCACCCGGAAATTAATTCCTATAGCTGTTTTTAAATGGTTAAACTGATTATATTATTAACTGAAATGATGTCTGTTGTTTTTTAATTTCCCATTTGCTCTGTTTAGTGCTTACAGTGGTTAGCTTGATGTCGGATATTGTCCCAATTCTCTTCATATGTTTCATGAAATAGTGAAGCTGCTGTTGGTGCAAAACACATGGATAGGACTCTTTTTCTTGTACTGTTTTCAGTGTGTGTGTGTGTGTGTGTGTGTGTGTGTGTGTGTGTTTGTTTGTTTGTTTTGCTAACTGCACCTTTGATATGACATAGGTGCATTAACCTTACTTTGTGTGTCTAGGAAGATTAGTAGTTCACAGGTACCATAAGACTTTGTTTTTGCTACAAACATGGCTACCTTTCTGGAAATGTAACCGAGGGTGTCCTAGTTTCTTATTTCCTATGTGAAATTTATTCAAACCCCGTAAACTGTTTGTGGGTTTGTGTTGGTAATAAAGAATGGCATTACTTCCAATATCAGTCTAAACAAGTCTAAAAAATTACATGTGTGCTTGTTTTGCAGCAAAAAGCCCGAGATAATAGAGCTGCCTTACGGATCAACAAAGTGCAGATGTCTAATGATTCCATGAAAAGGCAGCAGCAGCAGGATAGCATTGATCCAAGCTCTCGTATCGACACTGAACTCTTTAAGGACCCATTAAAGCAGAGGGAATCAGAGCATGAGCAAGAGTGGAAATTTAGACAGGTGTGTTGCATTTGGTCTTTGATTCCCCCTTTTGTCTAGTACAGCTGTAGAAAGAGCTGCCCTTAATTAACATCAGATGCTAGGAAAGGAAGTAGTAGTTTATCATATACTTTGTATATGGGCTGTGTACAGCAAGTATAGGTAGCCTTTGAAGTGCTGTCTGCATAATCCTAGCACCTTAACTGAGAATTCTCAATTTAAAGTAACAAAAAGTGGAGCTAAAATTAAACTTCCTCCATTTGCTACCGTTTTGTGACTGGCTCCATCCCCGTACCTCCTCTATGTAGACTGGTAGGCCTCAGTAAGTTTTAGGCCCCTCAAATTGGACCTGTGGTTAGAAAGTTTAAGAAGCCCCGCCATAGTGCAAATGCCTGAAGAACTCAAAGCCATTTCATAGTTCATCTTCTCAGTGAGGCACCACATGTGTAGAAGGTAATTCTCAAGTCATGAGCATTTGTAGAGGCTACTCGTAGCTATTACAAATGCATGGAGGATTATTTCCACATGGTGTTTCACAAGAAAGTTAGCAGGTTTCCCCCACTCGTGAAATAAAATGTCATTTTGATAGTCAGTGCATTTAGCATATGTAGACCAATGTATTGTGAGCTCCATGCTATGTTAGCTCATGTGCCAAGCCACCATAGGGATAATTTTGTGTGACATAAGAAACTCAGAATAGGACCTTTAAAATAAAGTTCAGGAGCCTCTGGTACTTTCACCTTGGATGGAATGTCCAAGAAAGTTATACAGTGTCCCTGTATCTTTTAACAGAGGTTGTCTTTCTGCAAATTTAAGTATATATTCTCAGAGATCTGCACATTTGATATTAGTCATCTGGAAGCCTGCATAAATAATATACATATTAGAAATAATTGGCCCCATATCCTTAATTTGTTGGAACTTTTCAAATGACCTTAAAATGTGCTTATGAGTTCTTCACTATTGTTTGATTTCCTGATAGTTATAATGCAACCTGGTTTTTTCTTTCCTCAAAACAGCAAATGCGTCAGAAAAGTAAACAGCAAGCTAAAATTGAAGCAACTCAGAAACTTGAGCAAGTGAAAAATGAGCAGCAGCAACAGCAGCAACTGCAACAACAACTTGGGTCACAGCAGCTTTTGAACCAGTCAGGTTCAGATACACCTAGTAGTGGGATTCAAAGTCCTTTAACCCCTCAGACTGGCAATGGAAGTATGTCTCCTGCACAACAGACATTATATACAAAACAGGTTCCTGGTACCCCTACTTCTACACCTTCTGATGTTTTCTTAAAGCCACAGGCCCCACCTCCACCTGCGACACCAAATAGAATGCCTGTTCAAGATGCACATTGCCAGGCACCATCACAACAGATGTTTCCTCCTTGCTCCTCTACCAGACCACCTTCTCCTGTTGACCCTTATGCAAAAATGGTGGGAACTCCTAGGCCACCACCTGTTAACCAAAATCAAAACTTTGTCAGAATAAATTCTGTTACATCAGTAGATATCTGTCCACCCCCTTCACCCCTATCCAGGCCAGCTCAGGCATCTGAATCAACAGGAAGCAGGCCATCACCTGTCAGAGATTCATGTTCTTTGTCTCCAGTCAACAGTGACCCTTATGCAAAAGCTCCAGATACACCCAGGCCTACAATGGGAACGGAACCTTTCTCCAAACCTTTGGGGATATCAAGATCACCTTTAATTTGCAGAACAACCAGGGAAAGCATCTTTATCAGTGGCAAACAGCGACCCCTTTGCTAAACCGCCTCCAAGAACAGATGCGTTTCAAAGGCCCCGGATGTCTCCTGCTGACTCATATGCACGCCCACCATTGACTCCCATTCCTGTTGTTGAGGGAAGTCCTGGCCCATTTAAAACTCCAATGCGCCCAACTCAGTCCCCACAAGATCCGTATGCTTCAATGCCCCCAACCCCACGGCGCATGTCTGTGGACCCCTATGAACGGCCTGTTTTGACACCAAGGCCAGTAGATAGCTTTTCACACAATCCATCTAATGACCCATATAGTCAGCCTCCTCTGACTCCACACCCAGCAATAAAAGAGACTTTTGCTCACCCACAAAGAGTAGTGCGAAACCAGGGTGATTCTTTTTCTCAGTCTGGAACTATTTCAAGGGCAGTTGCTCAGGACCCCTACGCCCAGCTTCCGGGTACTCCTCGGCCTGTCTCAGATCCCTACGCCCAGCCTCCGGGTACCCCTCGGCCTGTCTCAGACCCCTACGCCCAGCCTCCGGGTACTCCTCGGCCTGTCGCAGACCCCTACGCCCAGCCTCCGGGTACCCCTCGGCCTGTCTCAGATCCCTACGCCCAGCCTCCGGGTACTCCTCGGCCTGTCGCAGACCCCTACGCCCAGCCTCCGGGTACTCCTCGGCCTGTCGCAGACCCCTACGCCCAGCCTCCGGGTACTCCTCGACCTGTCTCAGATCCCTACGCCCAGCCTCCGGGTACTCCTCGCCCCACTGCTGTTGACCCATACATGCATCAGCCACTCACACCAAGACCTTCACAGACTGGAGACTTATTTGCTCAGGTTTCAGCTAATCAAAGGCATTCTGATCCATATGCCCAACCGCCAGGTACACCAAGGCCGGTTAGTAGTGATCCATATTCTCAACCACCAGCAACACCAAGGCCTGGAATTCCAGAACCTTACAGTAGACCAGCCCTAATGTCAAATCGTGATCCTTATCTGCAGGCATCACAGAACAGGACCTTACCTGGGACATTTGTAAGGCCATCAGATCCGTGTTCTCAGCCTCCAAAGCTATTGGGACCTGCTGTGACAGATTCTTTTAGCCATGCTTCAACAGCACCACCTTGTGATCCTTATGATCAACCTCCAATGACTCCAAGACCTCAGCCAGAAACTTTTGGAACCGCTCAGCTTCCCCACGATGTTGCAGATCAGCCAAGATCTGGATCAGAGGGGAACTTGGGCTCATCTGCAAACTCTTCCATGAGCTTGCAGGGAAAACAGTTCCCCCAAGCTTCTCCTGGCCCAGTACCAACAGCTGGAGCAACAAATACGCAGACCACAATGTCTCAGGCAGATGCAGAAAAAATAAGACAAGTGAGTTTACTGTTGTTGAATAACGTGCTTGTGAAAACCATGAGATGCCAGAATTGATAGAACTTATCAATTGTGGCTGTGTTGTATCAGTAAATAATTTCTTTTATACTATAAGATGCAGGTATTTTGTATTCTGTGGCAGTAGTCTTATCATTAGTATCAGGCCTTTAACGCTGTCTGTATCCTAGTGAAACCACTTCAGGGTTTACTGGTGACTACAAAGCCCTGAACAACATAGAACCGAGATACCTGAAGGAACACGTATTCCTTTATTTTCCTTCCTCTGCTTTAAGAACTGCCAGGGAGGCCCTTCTGCTTGTCCCATCTCTTGAGGGGTACTCAGTTACACAAAATAGGATCTTCTCAGTGGTGACACCCCAATTGTAGAATAACCTCCCCCTCGAGATAATGGCTGGTGCGGACATTGTTTAGTGTTTTTAGCACCAGCTAAAAGCTCATCTCTTCCTTCAGGCTTCTGATGCAGAGAGGGGAACTGATTTTGTGATATTAGTACTGGAAGGAGATATGTGTTACTTATGTGCTTTTTCTATGTTCTCCTAATGTTTTATTTACTGTTTGTTCTGTTTTGATGTTTCATTATGTATATAACCTGTCCTGGGATTGCTTGCTGATAAAGGGTGGGATAAGAATGAAATAAATAAAAATGAGCTGAATTGTTTTTGTTCCCTGTCAGCGCCAGAAATTACGTGAGATTATTCTGCAGCAGCAGCAACAAAAGAAGAATGCAATCCGTCAAGAGAAAATGCCACAAGAGCCTACCACAGCACCTCATGCAGGATCTACTCAACCATGGCAGCAGCAAGAAAATCTGAACCAGATTTTTAACAGGCCTCCTCCTCCGTATCCTGGGAATATTAGGTCAGCCATTGTCCCTCCCAGCGGACTGAGGTTCACAGGTTTTCCCATCGATGGGCAGTTTAATAGACCCCAATTTCCAGGAGATATGGGTGGAATGGCAATGAGACCTCATGGAATTAGGTATACTTCTTGATTACTTCATCATAAAATATGTCATTGTTTAATAAATTTGTGGGTTCTTTATATGTTTTAAGTGTTGGTTATATTAAGTGACCCTTTAAAAATGTTCCGGTTTAAAATTATATCTGAATGTAATGCTGCAAACACAGTAAAGGCTACACTCAGTCACTTTAAATTGAATTCATGACCCTTTTATTGAACCTGCTGAACATTTGCTTTTCTGTGAAAAACACTGGAGCAGGGGCAAAAATATGTAACCTCTTCAAGTAAGTGATTTTGTTTAGTACCCTTAATTTCAAAATTGTTCTGCAAGTAGGTTTAAATTGTTTAGTGCAAAAGATATGACGGAACAAAGGCATGTTCTGGGCAGTAAAGAGGCTCTATTGAGACTGTAGGTTTAAGGGCAGACTATAAACAATATATTGCAAACTTGTATTTCCTTATCGCAGTAAATGCTTGTTTAGCCCAGATAATACATGGATTAGCCTGAAACTTGATTTTTTCACTTGTTTTTCTTGATTATTTCAGTAGTTATGTAAATTGCCTTAATTTAAACCAGTCCACTCTGTTTTGACACCTACTCTGGATTTCATCAAAATATGAAGATAAACATGTATTGCTACTTTAGATGTAATGAACATCTAGTCCAATAATTTGTTTCAGTAACAGCCAGTCAGAATGTAAATTGGCTGGCAAAGGTGTCACTTCAATTTATTCAAAAGATATAATATCCCACAAAATTGATTTGTTGTGTAAACTTTCTACAATGTGCAATCCAAGTCAACCAAACATTTCTCCCCCCCAGATTTGGCTTTTCTGGAGGTGGTCATGGTCCTCCACCATGTCAAGAACGTTTCCTTGGGCCTCCCCAGCAAATGCAACGTGCTGGAGTTCCACCACAACTCAGAAGATCAATTGACATGCCTAGACTCCCTAACAAGCCACAAATGGGCAACCCTATTGGACTCTCACAGCATTTCCCACCGCAAGGTATTCAGGTTCAACAGCACAACATCATGGGGCAGGCATTTATTGAGCTCTGTCACAGAGCACCTGAAGGCAGGCCAAGACTTCCTTTCAATTCCTCGTCATCTGTTACAAACACAGTCCCCCAGCATCAACAACATACAGGGTTTGTACCTAGACAGGACTGTCAAGGCCCAAGACACCTAGAGCCCACAAGACGTAATTCTCAAAGCCTAAACAATCCATTGCATGTGGCAACGGGTTTGGAGCATTTACCGCCAGGTCAGCAAGCTATAGTGAATCCCAACCACCCACCTGTATTAGTCATGTGTTCTTTAGGTCATCCACCAGTTAATGATGCTTTTTCAGGAGCTTCTTTGCCAACAACAACACCTACGGAGGCAGCAAGTGACTTACAGATTCCCAACCAACCCACTGATGGATTAGAAGAAAAGCTTGATCCTGATGACTCCTCTGTAAAAGATTTAGATGTCAAGGACCTTGAGGGTGTTGAGGTTAAAGATTTAGTTGACGAGGACCTTGAAAATCTAAATCTAGACCCAGAAGATGGCAAAGGAGATGAACTGGACACATTAGATAATCTTGAAACGAATGATCGCCACCTTGATTACCTCCTAAGATCAGGTGAATTTGACATAATTGCCTACACTGATCCAGACCACGATTTGGGTGACAAAAAAGGTATGTTTAGTGAGGAGCTAGATCTTAATGTCCCCATAGATGAAATACAAGGCAAAGCAGAAGATACTCAGCAAAAGCAGCAGGATGAGAAAGCTGCCACTCCTGCAGCAATGTCTCCTCAGAAAAAAACTGCTGAAGTCAGTGAAATTAAAACAGAAGTTATGTCCCCAAACACATTAGAAGAAACTAAATCTGAAAGTGAAAAAAGAGATGTAAGTGTGGCATCCTCCGGCGCTCAGTTTATGACTGAAACAGAGTTACATGATGGAGAGGCAACATCTGTGATGCCCCATAATGTGGAATTACCTGGCAAAACAAATATGAATGAGGAAATCACTGTTCCCAGCTCAGATACTGTTCCGGGCCCTGCTCCAACATCAGCTCAAGGTTCTTGCAATATCTCTGGATCCACTCCTGTTCTTACAAGTTTGTTAGCTAATGAGAATTCAGAAAACCCTGATGTCGGGCCTCTGGGCTCTCCGCCTAATCCACAGCCAGCAGCACAAATCAACCCTGTTTCAAGTATGCCGCAAACTTTAATGACATCTGCTGGTCAAACCATGGAAAATACTGTACCTAATGTGAACATGGTTCCACAAATAAGCCATAACTTCTCACAAGGGACGGTGGTAAATCCAGCCTTTATTCCTGGCCAGACAGCTAATAGCTTTGGGGCAGTGCAGCCTGGTAATCAAACTGTGCCTGCTGTAAATCGACCCGGCCCCAGTGGTATGCCTGGGCCACAGCCGATGATGATTCCACAAACATTAGCCCAGCAGCAAAATCGAGAGAGGCCTCTTCTGCTAGAAGAACAGCCTCTTCTGCTGCAAGATCTTTTGGATCAAGAAAGGCAAGAGCAGCAGCAGCAGCGACAGATGCAGGCCATGATTCGCCAGCGTTCAGAGCCATTTTTCCCCAACATTGGTATGTTTTTGTTTTTTCTTTGATAATGCTAAGTGCGATAGAAACCAACAACCATATACCGTATTTTTCAGTGTATAACACGCCCCCTATTTTGGGTGACTCAAAATTAAGAAAATACATTCGGCACTATACGTGTATAAGATGACCCCAATTTTTAAACATTATTTTAACATAAAAAACCCTAGTCTTACACATGGTAAAGTACGGTATTAATACTCGGAATGTCCACCATTCGATAAAATTTATTATCCCTATTGTGTTTTCTAATTTGTTTAATCTGTATGTAGAAAAAAAGAAAATAGAAATTGGAATAGGTCCGAGAGGTTTTCTGTTCCTGCAGGGAAAGCTGAAAGCGTGGATTATAGAATCTGAAATATTCATCTGGTGCCTAGCCTGAAACAATGCTGTCAACTTCAATTGAATTTTGGGGGTGGGGTGCTGCCAGTCCATTTTTACTGGCCCTCCTAGTATAGGAAGGAGGAATATGAGTGGGAATTTGAGTGAGAAGTAAAGGTGAAGGGAATAATTTGGGACAAGGTGCAGCATATTAGGTGTCTTCCACAAGGGGAAGAGCAAATAGGCTTCTTCATTCTGCCAAACTCTGTTCATGTTCTCTATTTGCATATGCATTCAAGTGTGTGTGTGTGTGTGTGTGTGTTTCTGTTCAAGTGGATTGGGCAAGCAGGTGCAGATCAGTTACACTGCCACTCCTTATAACCACATTCCCCACTGGTATATTCTGTTTCCAAACTCCAGTTAATATGTTAGTATTCTTATTGTCATTGTATATTCTTTGTTTTGGATTCAGAGCATGGTATAACATGCTCTGCAGGTGTGAGAATGGCAAAAACTTACTTTTGCTATTCTCATAAGGCCAAGAATGTTATGTTAGCAAGTCAGTTAGGGGGAGATCACTGCTCCAGCTCTCACTTCAGTTTATTGAAATTTGTATACTCAGTTGAAGCAAGCCAGTAAGAGGAAATCCTTGAGGAAAGACTCTGTCATGAAGGCGACAGGTAGAGTAAAAACCTCAAAGCAAATACATGGGTGGGTGAAAGCAATCTACACAGTCCATTACCAGGCATCCTTCCCTCTCTCCCTCCAGCACGATGGTTACTTCTCTTGCAAACAAGGTATTATGCTGCTGGCACCAGCTCAGGGCTGGTATAAAGAGGGGAAATGGCACCTAAGAGAACTGCTTCTGTCTAAAACATTCCCTATGATGCCTATCAGCATTCTAGCATCAATCTATTAGAGTCACCCTGTCTTAATGTAGTTTGAACCAATTATTAAGTGTGAATTTCTAAAAGACCTATAGTAACCACATTAAATTGTCTTTAAAAATAATTGAAACGTCAGTGGGCCAAGTTTTTCTGTCATAATTATGAAACTTTCAAAAATGGGCTTCAACAGGTTAGCAGTGGTGAACAAATGATATGCTTCTCCACACTGGCTATTTTATATAATGAATACTTATTCTTCTTAAATTTTGGTTTCATAGATTTTGATGCAATCACTGATCCTATAATGAAAGCGAAAATGGTGGCTCTGAAAGGGATCAATAAAGTAATGGCACAGAACAATATGGGCATGCCACAAATGGTCATGAACAGGTAGGCAAAGATTGTGACTATTTTAGCTTCTCTTAGATATCAGCATGAGTTTCCGCTCACTGAAATTTCAGGTTATTCTGATAGCTGTTACCTTCCTTGGGAGATTAGCAAAGTAAATTTTAGCATTAATTTTACCATTAATCATTACTTTTCCTATTTTGTGATTCATGTCATACACACAAACAGCTGTATTCCTCTGCACATAGCAATAACTCTGTGGTATGCAGAAAAGGGCAGGGGCTGGGAAGGTGAAGCAACAGACTGTGCATGCCCAGGAGCATACTGTTTCCCTTCTGAGATTAGTTTATATCAAAATCTCATATTATTAACACGTCATTAATTTTAGCTGTAAAACAAATCCAAAATGTGATTTTATTTACCCGTTACTAGATTTGCCTTTATGGGTCAAGCAGTGCCAGGAGTACCAAGTGGTGAAAGCCAGAATCTTGTCCAGCAAGCAATCACACAGGTAACGTGTCCTGAAATTTGAAGTAAAGCAGATTTTCGTAAGTGGAATTGTGGTCTAAAAGCTGATGTGCTATAATGGATAGAGTATTCAGACAAACCTGCATCGACAGCCACTAATGTTTTCATGAGTTGAGTAAGTCTCTGGATTGAAATCCTAGACATTTGAATTGTTGTCCTTACCTGAGATGAGCAGGTGAGTTGCACTGTTACACCTTATTGCAATGATTGTCTCTTTGTCAGAGGAGCTCATCATCCCACAAGGGAAGCAGGATGTTTTCTGGACTGGGTCCATAACTATGCCACAACCTATAACCCAAACCCAGTAGCAGCAGCCTCTTGACCACGTGTTGAATGTAACCTGAGTGCAGAAATATGTTTCTTGGGCACAGATTCCCATTCCTCACAGCTTCAGAGCAACTGTAAAACAGAATTTTGTTTAACACACTCTGTTTCTCCTCCACTTTCAAGGATGGAAACCTAACACCGCAGATGTCTAGGCCCAACCCTCCAAATTTTGGTCCTGGTTTTGTAAGTAAGTATATAACTCTCATAAACTGATATTAGACTTTGAAGCCAACTCCATGGGCACATATTATATTTCAGAATACACACAGCTTATTTACAAGCCTTTTCAAAGACAATAATTGAATTATGACACAATTAATTGAAATATTCTGAGCCAGTGCATAGTAAGCTTTGAAATGTGACAACCACCGAACTTATAAAAAGTGGAAAAACCAGTTGCAGAAGCATCTCAGAAGAATTAGCATTGCTTAAATGATAATAATATTAGGGTAATAATGACTAACCTGACATTCATTTTCATATGTATTTTATGTAAACCTATTTTTAAAAGGGGGAGGAGAGATTTTATAGCCCCATTGTCAGTTTCAAAGGGGTAGCATGTGATTCCTTGGTTAGGGTAAGAAAAGACTGGCCTTAAATTCTGCCTTGAAAGATGTTAATGCATACTTGCATGCTCCATAATTTGTTGATGCTTTACATCCTCTTTTCTTATTTTATTCAAAATAATTTATTTTTTCTCTATTACAAAAAGAGAAGGGTGTTAATACTTGGTGTGGGGGGCTGATATGAAATAAAATCCCTTCTTTTTGAAATCAGTTTGAAAATGAGATTTGTGAAAGTTTGCAAAACCCATGGTAAGAAAATTGATTTGTTGTGTTTTATCCTTAGATGATTCACACAGAAAGCAATATGAAGAATGGCTACAAGAAACACAGCAGCTTCTTCAGATGCAACAGAAATTCCTTGAAGAACAAATTGGAGCACACAGAAAATCAAAAAAGGCACTATCTGCAAAACAGCGCACTGCAAAGAAAGCTGGTCGAGAATTCCCAGAGGAAGATGCAGAGCAGCTCAAGCATGTTACTGAGCAGCAGAGTATGGTTCAAAAACAGCTTGAACAGGTGAGAGTTTATCAATAACTAAATTGCAAGTGTTCCAACAGCAACAATTTTAAAACTTGCAAAAGAGGTGGTAGCAAATTTTTACAAAGAAACAAAAATATAAGATTCAGAGCCACATAAGTATTTTTAGATTTTCACATACTCCTGAATTATTGTCCCCTGTCAAAGCTATCATTTTTGAACAGGTTAGAGCAGGTTGTGGTATTCCCAAAATTTAAACCTGGTCTAGTCTAACCTTTGACTTGATTTTGGGACAAAAATGGTCTTGGCTGCCCACGTGCCTGGCCTGTGCCACAGAGAAGACAGAACAAATGCAACCATGTTGTTTCTCCTGGACATCTCAGCAACATTTGACACCATCATCTATAGTACTCTTCTGGTAGGCTCTCTGGAATGAACTTGAAGATATGGTGGACTGGGCCTTTTCTGGAGAGGCGGATCCAGCAGGTGCTGCTGAAAGACTTCTGTTTCCCTGTGCTTTTAACATTCACATGGAGTCAGTGAGAGAGGTTATCCAGAAGTTTGGGATGAGTGTAAATAGGTAAATATGAATACATGGGTATAGAGAAAAGCATAGCACACAGCTTTACCTTGCATTCCCATTTACTACCTGGGAAGTGGTAGAAATCCTGAACAGGTGTCTGCAGGCAGTTCTGGGATGGCAAACAAGCTGAAACATAATCCAGCTAAGATGGTACATTGATCCGGATGGTGGTTTTTAACTGTCTATGAATGGAGTTGCACTCTTTCTGAAGAGTCAGGTCTGCAGTTCAGGGGTTTTCTTGAACCCACTTTAGGTGTTCATAATGGGGCTTAAATAACCACACATAGTAGGGAGAGCATGAATAAACACAATAACTCTGTCCCCATCTCCGTTGCCCTCCACATGTTCATGGTAACTATCTTTAGCAGTGAACCCTCCCTTACTTGTGGAGACTCCTACTCATTTTGGAACCCTGATTTTCTAGTTGCCCATGAGCTGGGAGCAGAGGGAGTGGAGCTACATTAATGTAATATAATAATAATAATAATAATAATAAATTTTATTTATATCCCGCCCTCCCCAGCCGAGCCGGGCTCAGGGCGGCTAACAACAGTCAAATAACAATCAAATAATAGCACATTCTAAAAATATTTCGTTATAAAAATTAGTTAAAATCGAATTGATGGCAACCGATTAAACAAAATTCTGTGCAGGTTGCCGGAGGAGGGAGTCAGGCTGCGCCCTGACCAAAAAGCTTGGCGGAACAACTCTGTCTTGCAGGCCCTGCGGAAAGATGTCAGATCCCGCAGGGCCCTAGTCTCTTGTGACAGAGCATTCCACCAGGTTGGAGCTGCAGCCGAGAAGGCCCTGGCTCTAGTTGAGGCCAGCCTAACCTCTCTGAGGCCTGGGACCTTGAGGGTGTTATTATTTGTAGACCGTAGGTTTCTCTGTGGGGCATACCAGGAGAGGCGGTCCCGTAGGTACGAAGTATAATATAGTATAATACATGCCAAATTAACAGAGTTAAAGTCAATCAAATTTATTGTGGCATAAGGTTTCATGGACTAGAGTTCACTTTATCACAGGCATGAAGTGTTAGCCTCAGTTGATAGTAGGCAAAGGTGAATACATGGGTATAGAGAAAAGCATATTTATATTTCCTCTTGGTTAGCAGGGCTTGTATGTTGGGTTATGGCTCTACCTAACATACCATCCCTTCTAAGCCACAGGAAATCTATACTTCAGGCGGGTCAGTTGTTCTGTTTTCCTTCAGCTAGCAGGGATGGTATGTTAGGTTAGGTAGAGCCATAACCCAACATATCAGCCCTGCTAAGCTGAAAGAAATCTACCCTTCAGGTGCGCCAGTCATTCTTTTCTTTGCAGCTCAAATGTAGACAATATAAGGAAAAAGAGTGAATTTTTATATCACAGAAATGAGTATCAGTTAACTAATATAAAAAAAAGAAAATTTGTAAAATGACGTGACCAGTATTTTCTTAAATATTTTTTCATTGCTTATATGTATTAAGATTTGTTTTTTCGCAGAAGTCTCCAGCTTAAGAAACAGAAAATGTACTTTTATGGGACATCACTTAATAACATGCTTACATTGTAGATACGAAAGCAACAGAAAGAGCATGCAGAACTCATTGAAGAATATCGGATTAAACAGCAACAATGTGGAATGGGACCCCATGCAATGATGCCAGGTATGCCTGCTCAGCCTGCAATGGTCACAGGAGGATCTCCACCAGCAGTGGGTCAGCAGAATTTCCCAATGGTATCTCAACAGCTTCAGCATCAACAGCATGCCATAGTTGTTCCTGGACAACCCAATCCACCCAGAATGCCAAGTTTGCCTGGATGGCAACCGCCCAGTGCTGCTTCAGCACACATCCCACACAATGTACCAAGGATGCAGCCGCCAATGGCACAGTTGCCGGTGAATCCTGTTACTCCCACTTCTGTGTCAGCTCCTAGCTCAAATGTGCAGTCAGGGCCACCACCACGTGTAGAATTCGATGACAACAACCCATTTAGTGAAAGCTTTCAAGAGCGTGAGCGAAAGGAGCGTTTGCGAGAGCAGCAGGAAAGGCAACGAATTCAGCTTATGCAGGAGGTGGATCGGCAGAGAGCTCTGCAGCAGAAAATGGAAATGGAACAGCACAGTGCAATGGGCTCAGAATTAAATGCCAGAACTTCTTTGCCTCAAATACCGTTCTTCAATTCAGACCTACCTAGTGATTTCATGCGGCCTCCACGGCCTCCTCAGCAATCTCCACAGCATCAACAGCAGCAGATGGGACCCATTATGCAGCAAGGACCTCTAAACTCCCCACCTCCTTCCAGCTTTCCGCAGTGTGGTGAGCGGCAGCCAGTGGGATCTTCCTCCTTTGTACCCGATCCTCCCCCACTTCCAGACGGAAGTCCCCCTTTCCATTCTGTGAAGCAGCCGCGTGGAAGCTTTTCACAGTACCAGGTTCGGCCTCAGTTTGCCACTGGTCTCCCTGGAGTTTCTCCTGGAACTGGCAGTGGTCCCCCCTGTGGTCAGGACGCCATGCCCCATGGAACAAACTTTCCTGGAACAAGTCAGTCTCTCATCCAGTTGTATTCTGATATCATTCCAGAGGAGAAGGGCAAAAAGAAAAGAACCCGAAAGAAGAAGAAAGAGGACGATGCTGAGTCAGTAAATACCCCATCAACCCCACATTCAGATATAACTGCACCCCCAACTCCAGTTGTTTCAGACGCTGTCTCCACCCCAACAGTTAGCACGCCTGGTGAACTTCCACGGCATCCAGGAGAATCGGAGGCAGAGGAGCTGCCAGGCTCATCACCTCCAGATGCTGCAGAGAGTCAGTCTTCCTTAGAATTGAAAAGTCAGCTCTCCAGTACTGATTTGCCACAAAACATATTGCCTGAGCAGCCAGGCATGAACCAGGAGACAGACAAGGACAAGACAGAGGCTTCTATGAGCATTCAGGAAATTAATCAGGAAAAGACAAGCGCTGATCAATGCCCTAGTGAGGCTGAGCCTAAGATGGAGAATGAAAATGGCATTAAAGTGGAAGAGGAGAAAGCTACTGTGCAGCCTTCCCCTTCTTTGCAGAATCAGGCACAACCTGACAGCATTCCAGCAGCAAAAGGGGAATCAGGGAACGAACTCCTCAAACACTTGCTTAAGAACAAAAAATCTGCCTCTCTTTTCAAGCAGAAAGCAGAAAGCAGCTTACAGTCAGAAGAGAGCGCTAAGGAGAGCAAATTCGTGGGGAAACGGGATCCGATGGAAGGCAGCATGGTAACCAATTTTTATTATTAACATCCAAACTTAGGGAGTATTGGAAATGATGCAGCATTGTGTATTTATTGTAAATTTGTTGTAAATTTAAAATAGCCCAGCCGCTAAGGATATGCCCTTAAAAACAAAACAAAGGCAGTACTGGTTGAACATGTTCCTCCTTCACAATGTTCTGTATATGGGCTTTCACCCCCTCTAGAGGTCATCAAGTAAAGCAGGAAATGGAGAAGCATGATTCAAAGGCAAACTCCACAGCCTTTGAATATATAATTGCAGCATCCCAGCCTTTACGCGTGACAAATATACAGAGCTACTCGCAAGCAACTGTTTTAGTGAATATCCAGTTTAGATGTGAGGAGAAGCTTAAGATTGTATGGAAAATTATAAACCTCAGTTTTCCTTTGATGTGCTGGATTATGGTCCCTGAACAGATACTATCATAAAGCAGTCATTTGTTTATATTAGATAAGGAACGGCAAAAGTTCTTGTATTTTTGATTTTAAGGGTTTTTTTAGCACTTGAGTCACACACTTACTCAAAATAAGTTAGTTTGAGCACAGTAATAAACTAGTGATATTCATTGATGAAGATATTCTGCATCTTAGAAAGAATAACTGTAGTCATGCTGAACACTGAATAATATATTTTGACAGCCAATTTAGTAATTCATAGCTAACATATCTTCCAGGGAGTCACTCTTGTACATTCATAAACTCTTGCGCCTCCCAGAGGGAAACCTGCTGTTGTGAACTGATAATTGCACAATATTCTTGAAAACTGGATAAAACCAGTGCTTGGAAGGTTTTGCTGCCATTAGCACTCTGTTTGTATGTAAATAAATTATACTGATAATTTTAAAATGGCTTTTGTATTCAAACTTAAAAGCTATAATTTTTAATGACAGTGATTCTTGGTTTGACATTATTGGAATCTTAGATCAGAGAGCTTATTTGTGTCTGTGAAATATCACTGTAGAATGCTGGAGTTCTGATTTCATTAGGTGTGTATGCTTTGTCATTATTGCAGCCTGTCAAGAGACTCTGGACATTGTTAAGCAAAACAACATGTTAACAAAAATACTAGGGCAGGAAGGAGTCACATTGAAGGGGTGGCACTTCTCTAGCATGGGTGCAATTATATACTTCTAAACTTCAGTTTCTCTTCACCCTCCTAAAATCATTAATGTCACTGGTAATTGTAGTGCTTTCTTTTTTATTGTTGTTTAGCTTTTTCTAAAAGTGAGGGGGTTGTCTGTACCTCAAAGAGTTATGATTTCTGCATGTTTTCTATATATTTATCATTTAAATTTGGGCAGTAACAAAAAAGCATTCAAACCTATACATAAAATAGGAAGAAAAATATCTGCAACATCTGTGAGTCTCTTTCCACCTTCTCCTTCAGTACTGCTTTTTAAAGAGCCAGGGTAGGATGGGTATTGCCAAAAGGAAAGGGAGATCTGGAATTGATAAGCAATGTTTCAGGAGCCTGTAACCTTGCACCTGGGACAAAGATCCCCACCAATATTCCCACTAGGAACTACTGTAAGCAGAGCTACAGCAAGGCTATATGAGTATGCAGATTTAAGTGATTGTGCGACATTGGCATCCAATAGACCAGTCTTCTCCCTTTCCTCATATCAGACCCCTTCTTGAAGGCTGAAGGGAAGCAGGCTGGGTGCCTGATTAAAGAGTGCTGAGGAGATAGCAAAGATATATGGAGGCAGAAAAAAGCAGGAGGTTTGGAAAGTCACTTTAGAGTAAGCAGGAGCTAAAGTAATGAAAGGTGTAGCAATATCAGCTTGGGGCCCAGGAAACGAGGAAGGAAGGCAGTGTTTAAAGGGAGTAGCTGAGGTGACAAAGCATAAGGCAAAGGGGCAGGTAAGGCAGCAGACAGTGTTAAGGATATGGTGAAAGCTTGGGATTTTGGAGACAGTGGCAAAACCTCCTTAGAACAGGGGAGGAAAGATGCACTTTCCTCCATGCTCATCTTCATAGTCATGTTCTTACCATTTGGTGGGTGTCTTGCTTGTTACAGATAATAAACTAGTAAAGTAATGCCACATGTATAGCAGCATTATATGTTGCTTTATACGAATACAAAACAAAATGTTAAACTAAGTGATTTGAACTGATATATCTTTATCATTTCCCTCCCGCCCCCCATAAGCAATCATTAGGGAATCCATTGCAGGGTACATTTGGATGTGGTAACAGCCAGCTTCAGAGAGCAGATTTAGGACATGAAATGAAAAAACAACGAAATAAACGAACTCAGAGGGCGGGTGAGAAGGCAGCACCTCGATCTAAGAAGAGAAAAAAAGAGGAAGAGGAAAAGCATGCTATTTATCCTAACACCGAAACATTTATGCAGTTAAAACAGGTGAGCACTGAAGGGGTAAAGAGCTTAAAGACTGAAGATATATTATGTCACTGACTATACTGAGCACCGTAATGTTTAGGGGTTTTTTTAGTATGCTTGTTTATTCACAGTAGTTGATAACCTAGAAATACACGTATTTACATTTTTAAGTACACTTAATATTTGCCTACAATCCATATCTACATTTATTGTGATGCATGATGGTGCTGACATATTTGACTTGTTGTCCCCTGCAACATAATGTCAGTGTTTTAGGGATTGCTTATGCATATGGTCTCCATGTATACTTTCATGTCATATTTCAGAATGATGACTAGAAGCCCCAGAAGCATAAAAGACACTGAGGGAATGTTGACAGCATATATTTTTATTGTCTCTAAATGAGTGAGTCAGCACAGTTTTGATGCCCACATGCCCACTTAGATGTCTCTTCCAATGGTCCAGTTTTGTAATTCTCTCAAAAGGAACCCCCCAAGGGGGCTTCATGTATCAAAAACCAGGCAGCTCATGTTAGTTGATTTCAGATAACTCATCCAGCTGAGCAAAGTTAGGGTGAGTTTTCACAGTTGTTGGGAGTGTTGATGAAAGAATACAGCCAGGATCATGGAGAAGAAAGCAAGGAGACTAAGAAATGGCAAAGTGAAAGACACATGGTAAAGCCATAGGGCTAATGCATAAAAGACGAAGAAAGTGTCTGTTGGAAGGTAGGTAAAAATAATAAGGCTTGGAGGTGAGACAGAAGAGGCAGAACTATTGCAACTTTCCAAATCATCATGAAAACATCTTTTTTTTTTTAATTTTACGCAATAAGCTTTTAAAACAATGTGTGTGTTGTTCATTTATCATTAATAGAAGGTTGGAAAACAGTTGCTGTGCTCCACGGTTGGAGAGCCACTGTCCTGATGGTGTTAGTTTATTTTATTTGAGAGCAAAGTCTGTGATCAAAAATGTATTGGTAAAGCCCTCTTACCTCACAGGAAGAGTGCATGAAAGGATGTAATTCCATACCTTAACCTGAGACAGCAGTGTGATGCAGCAGCAAAAAAGCTAAAGGAATTCAGAAGTATAGTGTCTAGATCTAGGGAGGTAGTAGCACCAATTCTGCCTTGGTCAGCCCCCCAGTTCTGGATGCCACAATTTAAGAAGGATATTGACAATCTGGAATGTGTGCAGGACAACCAAAATTATCAAGGGTCTGGGAACCAAGCCTTATGATGAACAGTTGAAGGAGTTGGGTGTGTTTAGCTTGGAGGAGACTAAAAGGAGATATGATAGTCATCTTCAAATATCAGAAGGGCTGTCACAGGGAAGGTGGAGCAAGCTTGTTTTCTTCTCCTTTGAAGGGTAGGAGACAAATCAGTGCTTGAACTACTGCAGTGCGCTCTACGTTGCGCTACCTTTGAAGGTGACTCGGAAACTGCAGTTAATCCAGAATGCGGCAGCCATACTGGTGACTGGGAGTGGCCGCCGAGACCATATAACACCATTCCCGAGAGATCTGCATTGGCTCCCAGTACATTTCCGAGCACGATTCAAATTGTTGGTGCTGACCTTTAAAGCCCTAAATGGCCTCAGCCCAGTATACCTGAAGGAGCATCTCCACCCCCATCATTCAACCCGGACACTGAGGTCCAGCTCCGAGGGCCTTCTGGCGGTTCCCTCACTGCGAGAAGTGAGGTTACAAGGAACCAGGCAGAGGGCCTTTTCGGTAGTGGCGCCTGCCCTGTGAAACACCCTCCCATCAGATGTCAAGGCAATAAGCAGCTATCTTACTTTTAAAAGACATCTGAAGGCAGCCCTGCTTAGGGAAGTCTTTAATGTTTAATGCTGTACTGTGTTTTTAATATTCGGTTGGGAGGCGCCCAGAGTAGCTGGGGAAACTCAGCCACATGGGTGGAGTATAAATAAATTATTATTATTATTATTATTATTATTATTATTATTATTATTATTATTGTTATTGTTTCAAATTACAAGAAAAGAGATTCTGACTAAGCATTAGGAAGAACTCTGTTCAACCATGGAACGGAGACTACCTTGGAAGGTGGTGGACTCTCCTTCATTGGAGGTTTTTAAATAGAGGTTTTAAATAGAGGTTGGGTGGCAGTCTATCAAGGATTCCTTTAGCTGTGATTCCTGTATTGAAGGAAGTTGGTCTAGGTGACCTTTGAGTTCCTTCCAACGCTACATTTCTGTGATTCTGTCTGAAGTCCTTTATGTAAAGTGCTTGAAGGACTATCCTCAAGGCTAGTGTTCAATAAATGAGGTTTAAAAAACCTTGGGCTTCTAATGGTTACAGTCATCTTAGTGTAATTGAGTGGAAATTTACAGTTCATTGTTGCATATTGCTAGTGAAAAATAATTACTACTCATCTTTTCCTACAGCAACTCTCTTTGCTGCCTCTAATGGAGCCGATAATTGGAGTGAGTTTTGCCCACTTTCTTCCTTATGGCAGTGGCCATCTGAATAGTGGAAATCGCCTTTTGGGAAGCTTTGGTAGTGCAACGCTTGACGGGGTATCAGATTACTATTCTCAGCTAATCTACAAGGTGTATTTTTTTTCTACATAGATTCTCCAAATGTTCTATACGAAACAAAACATTGGGATCCAGCAGTAGTTATACCATGGTGTTTCATGAGACATGCTGGATTTTAAAAGATTTCATTTTTCTTGTTCTCCCATTGCCAACTTTATTATTGTTCTTCTTCACTGGAAAGTGGTGAGGCATATTTAAAACAGAATTCTGCTTGTGCAACAGGACTTCCCCTCCCATACTGGCAGACACGGGGTGGGGGGTGGGGGGCGCAGTTCTGATGCACAAGTGGAAGTCTAATGCCATAGTGGAACCACAGCATTGGATATGACCCATTACTCACACTGTAAATATTTTTTATTCTATATCTTTTCAAACTGATGCAATTGTGAAGGTTGTAATCCTAACCTTTAAAGATACTTTTTAAACAAAATTCCCAGCGCAATGCAAACACAAAATAATTTGAAGTCATAAAGGACTGCTTAATTTGAAGGATAGTGACTGTCCTTTCTTTCTCGTATGTATCACTCCATTTATTAGAGGCAGAAAACTGCTTTATACTGAGTCAGACCATTGGTCCATCTAGCTCAGCATTGTATACACTGAGTGGCAAAGGCGCTCCTGGGTTTCAGACAGGGGACTTTCCCAGAGAGGGGATGCCATAAATTGAAATGTAAAGCAGATGCTCTACCACAGGCTTCCTCAAACTCGGCCCTCCAGATGTTTTCGGCCTATAACTCCCATGATCCCTAGCTAGCAGGACCAGTGGTCAGGATGATGGGAATTGTAGTCTCAAAACATCTGGAGGGCCGAGTTTGAGGAAGCCTTTAGATAGGTGGTGACTGATGAGAGGATCTCCTTGGCTATGGTGCATCAGCTTAGCACAAACATATGAGCATGTGGGCTCACATAGAGGGGATTGTGGTTTCTTTGCTCCCCACTGGTCCTTCTGTTGTTCTGCTGCCCTGCACTGAACTAAGGCCTGGCTTTACTTAGTGTGTCATCCAAACCCAGGCTTGTGGGTGAGCCATAAACCATGGAGCAAAAATTGCTTACTGCTTGTAGTTAGTCTGGAGAGAGATAAACCACAAGCCCAGCTGCAAATGACAGGCTAAGGCCAAGCCATGGCTTAGCTCATTGCAGTGCTGCAGCAGAATGAGGTTTTTTTTGTTCCTCCCCAGCCAATCTTCTTGTCCAGAACCCACACACATGTGTTTATGCTGAGCCGTGGTTCGGCTTAGTGTGATGTGTGAACCAAGCCAGCCACCTCAGTTCAGGCATAACTCCAAACGTGACTTGCAAATTATGGCTTGCATTTGCCATGCAAAATCGAAGTTGATCAAAGCTTGCAGTCCTGGTTTGCAGGTCAAATGCTTCGATATAATAGTAAGCTGTGGTTTACCCCCAAACCCAGCAAGTAACTTCTTATTCTGAGTATATTATCCTTCCAGATTTATTCTCATAGCACCAAACCAGGCTTTGTGTTGCATCTGAACCAAGCCAGTGTGACTGGTAAATAAACGGGTGCATTATGTATGTGCAGTTGTAAAATAAAAATTATGTGCATTCTGTTGGACCTTTTGTATGTAAGATACATAACTTATGTACCAGATAAACTTGCCGAAAGCTAACTTTAAATTATTTCCTCTTTTGCAGCAGAATAACTTGAGTAACCCTCCCACTCCTCCGGCCTCCCTCCCTCCTACGCCTCCACCTGTGACTTGCCAAAAAATGGTAAATGGATTTGCAACCACTGAAGAACTTGCTACAAAGGCTGGAATGCTTGGAGGGCATGATGGTAAGTTTTCACATGTATGCCAGAGTATGCATTTTCAGTTTTCAGATTGTCTATAATGAAACATGGGGCTTAGTTTTTTCAGATTTGAAATCCACTTTACAGCAGAATGTTTTGACTTTTTGTTATCATTCCTCACAAAATTTATAGGAACAACTTTGATGAACATTTTGTGCATATTCTGTGCTTACATAATGTATATATGGCCAGTATAGATAGCTATATTGTTGGTCCTGGAATGCTGTACATCTAAACATTTTTTGAAGATTTTGGAAGTTGTTGCAGGATGCTTACACACCATTTTTGTACATGAAAGAACAGCTTTAAGTTATAGGGCTTGTTTGGGTGCTAGCTAACCTGTATGTTGCCTCTCTGGCAGCATCTAGCCCCTCTGCCACTGATGTCGCCTACCCTGTGGCTTCCATCCTACCCAGCTCCTCATAAAGTGGGCATGAGCTTTCCTCATCCTTTCATTTGTATGAGAATGCTGCAGATTTTCACAGCTTAGGCTACTGACTGAAAGTCTAATTAAATGTAAAACAAAAGAAGTCTAGGTTGAAGTTAGGATCCATTTTTTTGACACCCCCCCCCCTTTTATAGGTCACTGAATATTTGGGTCATTTGTTTTGTCTGTTCTTGCTGCATTTCAGTTACCAAAGCTCTGGGACCGAAGCAGTTTCAGCTGCCTTTCAGACCACAGGATGATCTGTTAGCCAGAGCCATGGCTCAGGGTCCTAAAAGTGTGGATGTTCCTGCTTCTCTTCCAACCCCGCCTCATAACAATCATGAAGAGCTGAGGTAGATATTTTCTCTAATTATTTTTTGTTTTGTTTTGTGTTGGGTATCTGTTATCTTAGGTGCTCCATAATGCTGCTAAACTCTAAATAACCATGTTACTGAGAAGTAAGTCCTATTGAATTCAGCTAAATTGGATCATACATGGCAGATGGTCATCCAACCTCTGCTTAAAAACTTCAAACGATGGAGAGGTCTCCACCTTCCAAGGGAGTCCATTCCACTGTCAAACAGCTCTTACTGTCAGAACGTTCTTACTGAGGGTTAGTCGGAATATCGTTCCTTGTAACTTTTGGATCCATTGGATGGGTGCAGAAGAAAACAAGAAGCTTGCTCCACCCTCCATGTGACAGTCCTTGAAATATTTGAAGGTGGCTATCATATCTCCTCTCAGTCTCCTCTTTACCAGGCTAAACATACCCATTTCCACTTTACACATCTATATGTGAAAAACATTTCCAATTATTTTCCCTCTCAGGGTTCAGGATCCTTGTGATGACAGAGACACTCCTGACAGCTTCGTTCCTTCCTCCTCTCCCGAGAGCGTAATGGGCATGGAAATAAGTAGATACCCTGATCTGTCAGCAGTAAAGGAAGAGATGCCCGAACCTGTTCCATCCCCCATCATTCCAATTCTGCCTGCCAGTACTGGAAAAGGTATTGCCAAAATATTTTCTAGATGTTTGGATTAATTCCCCACCAGCATGTTCACTTGCCTCAGTTCCATGCATATTTAATTTTGTATCTCTTCCTTTAATTGAAGGTTCAGAAGAAAAAAGGAATTATATCAAAACAGAGCCTGGTTCTGGCTTCTTTGGCTCTCAGCTTGGTCCTTCTCAAAATGGTCCAAAATCTGGCCTTGTATCCATAGCAATTACTTTACATCCCACAGCTGCAGAGGTAAGGAAATTTCCAGTGAGCTGCATGTATCTGTGACAATGTTGTGCCCCATGTCCTGCAGACGTTATGGCTATTTTATTTGTGTTGCAGTGCAACAGTTGTTGTAAACTCTGGTTATTAGTTTCAGTGCCGTTTCTTTAAATTGTAAATCTGCACTGAAATACTTCCCACAAACAGTTTTTCGAAGAAAAAGACAGGTAGATTGCGGAGGGCTGGATTCACAAATTCCCCATTTCCTTGTTTTATCACATGCTCTTTGAAGCAGCTGCTTTCCTTGATTTAATAATAATAATAATAATAATAATAATAATAATAATAATAATAATAATAATAATAATAATAGCTTAGGTGCCTTCTTAAAAAAAAGAAAACAAGGGCATCTTACTAATGTAATCCTGGCCAATCAGGGATCACGTAGCTAGTGTGTTGATGTTGCATCATCAGGCAATCAGTCAAATTTACTGTCATTAAGCTGAACAGTGAGCCCAGGAAGCATTGCCCTCAGTCTGCCATTTGGAGTGTGTGCAAATGTGTGACCTGTTTTACATCCCTCCCACCCCAAAACTGGGCAAGAGCATTCAGGGGAGGGGGGAGGTTGTTCTGCGAAGCATCCATTTCAGTGCAGTCCTCTTTTAAGTATGTGATGAAGAAAAAAGATGGTATGCACTTGTCCATTTTCCTTTTCCCACTCTAGAATATTGGCAGTGTGGTGGCTGCATTTTCCAATCTTCTGCATGTCAGAATTCCAAACAGTTATGAAGTGAGCAGTGCACCAGATGTTCCATCCTCTCTGGGAATCATGAACTCTCACAGAGCAAATGTAGCCTTTGAGTACAGGCAGCACTTGTTACTTCACGGTCCTCAGGCAGGCACTGTAGGGCCTCCTGGACTAACAGGGCCTTACGGACTCAAACAACATAATATGCCATTTCCCCCAAGTGGTAACGGTGAGTAAGGATATATCTTTTTTTGGTTTTGTTAATTGTAGGGGTTTTTTTTAGAAAAGGTGGCAATGAGTTTAATCCATGGTGAGAAAATGACACTGTGCTTCATTTTTCTGTCTCCCAGTAATACGAATTGTGTTCTGGTGAGAGTGACTAGGCAAAACCCATACTTGTGGAAGATTATTCAGGGGCAGATATTTTGTCACATTAAACTGCAGTGTAAAAATGTGTAAACAGAAGCACTGTAAAAAGAATAGGGTGGTGTGAAGGGCAAAGTAGGTCCACAGTGGTGGAAGGTGTGTTGCTGTGCAACAGTTGTAGGGAAATTGTGCTTTAAAATGAAAGCAGGATAAATTATTTGGAGGAACATGCCCTCCCATGTTAATACTTACACTGAAATAATGCATATGTTCTATTCAAAATGGCACTTTGTAACTTGTTGGTTTTCTTGTTAAGTCTTGGCAGGCTATAAGGCACACAGTCCACATGTTGCAGATGGTTCAGGGTTGAGGTCACAGTGGTGCTCTCATTGTAAAGTCGTAGTTCTGGGCAGTGGAGTACGGAAATCCTTCAGTGATCTACCTTTCCTGAAACAGGTACCACTGTGATACCCGTTTGTCTATTATTGTTTTTTGCTTTATAAGGTTAAACTACCAAAAGAGGGGGTCAGGTTGATTCCTACAGTTCATATACTTCACATTGTACAGCTATTTAATTATTACTGTTTTGCGTTTTGGAGGTTGGTAGAATTCAGTAGAGATTTCTCTTTCATTAACAAGTGGTCTCTGGCAAGTTAGAAATAACTCAAAAAGCTATTGCAGAGTAATAAGGTTTTATCAGTTGCAGAAGAGAGTTCATAATTTTAAAAAATCTTGCTCTCATTTTATTTCTGCTGTTTCAACAGTTCTATAAAAATAAAGATCCCTAGGGATTCTCTAGCCTGTGAATAAATACCAGAGTGCTTCAAAATGGAAATTTCAGAAGTCTCCATGCCTCCATACTAGCACCACCAGCCAATTTATCTTTCCTTGAAATTGTTTTCACTACCAAGTAGTTTCGTACAATCAAAATCATATGTAAAATAATAGTAGTTTTAGTATGCAACTACAAGCCAACACGCCAGCATTTCTTGCTACAAATAGTTTATAGTGAAAGGGCTGTGTGTCTTAAATTAACATTCTGAGGTGCAGTGTGAACTATTTTTTACATCAAGAAACAAATGTACCATATTTTTCTGTGTGTAAGACGATGTTTTTACCTGATTTTTCCCCCAGTCAAAATTTGGGGGATGTCTTATAAACGGAATGTGAATTGGGGTGGGGGTGGGGAGCTTTGCTGCTGTCAAGTGACATGGCAGAAAAAGAAAGGCGCTTTGCTCATGCTCAAAGTCACTCTTTCCCCCTCTGGCAGGAGTGAGCCTGATGCATGGAGCCTAAGCTTCATGAGGCATCCTGTAGAAGCTCCTCTAGTGCAATGCTGAAGAGGACGCCTCATCACCCTGCGCAGAAGGCTCTGCTCTGCTGCCCCTCCCACCTTCCAAAACTTTCGCCCAACCTTTTCTGCCAAAGTTCCAAAGTTTGGTGATGTCAGCAGTACGCTGAAGGTGTTATTTGGGAGGGGAGCAGGCGGCTCCTCCAGTTCTGGCACCCGCCTGCTTCACCTTGCCTAGTCCACGGAGAGGTGATCGGCACGTGAGAGCCCCTGGATCCACTCCCAGCTCCAGTGGCTCTGATCCTGGAACCTGGGCATTGCTGCTGCTGCTGCCACGGTCTCTAGGCAGAGCAGGATTGGGCAGGTTGTGGCTTAGGTTGCGAAGAGGTTGACCGCAACAGACTGGCCCCCTCTCTTCTACGCGCCAGCTCATTTTGATCCTGCACACTTTTTGTCTGGGCTTGAAGGTGATCTCCCCGCAAAAGCTCCCCCTGTCACTCTAACTGAAAGAAAGTATCTGAAGAAGTGTGCATGCACATGAAAGCTTATACCCAGAACAAACTTAGTTGGTCTCTATGGTGCTACTGGACAATTTCCTTATTATTTTATTTTATTTTGAAAGAAAGTTGTTTTGTTTGATGTTTCAAATACTGATTTTTTAAATTTTGGGTTAAAAAAATAGGGGTCGTCTTATTCATGGGGGGTGTCTTATACACAGAAAAATACGGTATTTCATCAACTCACATTTATGTAATTAGCAAAGTCTTGAGTTATAAACACATTGACATTACTAGCAACATAAGGGAATGCTTTTCCTAGTTCATTCTGAATAATATTTGTTCTCTAAGATTTTGTATTAACATAAGAAAAGGTTTCTACAAGTAATGGGCAGCTTGGTTTTTCTAATTTACTATATGTATTAAAAATGAAATTCCCTGAAGTTCATGTTTACGCTCTTTGACTTATTATTTCCAGGATTCTAGAGAGAAGTCTGAAAGAATGGAGAAAGACATTGTCTTCTGTAGCAACAACTGCTTTGTTCTTTATTCAGCATCCATGCAAGCAAAAAGCTCAGAAAGCAAGGTAATTCCCTGTGCTGCTGCATTAATAAAATACACAATAAATATTAATTGAAATATATACAGTGATTCAGTTTCAAAATTCTGAAGCTAGATGAAATACTGTATTCTGATTTTTTTTAAAAAAAGTTTGCAAGATCCATCTCTAGTGTAAACGAAGAGTAGCTTTCATCTCAGTTAACTGCAGAAGATTAAATCAGTACCTGTCCCAAAAATTTCAGTTTTGTTGCAATAGAGGGTACAATCTATTAAGTGTTTTTCCTGTGCTGGCATCATTGAAGCAGCATGCAGCAGATATTCCCAGTGCATTCTAGCCATCATTCAGTGACATACATATGCATGATACGTCCCATGATACATTCAGAATATTTGGTGCCATCAGAATCTTATCTTGGGTGGTGTTTTATGATATCATTTTCAGGTTGTCTCCCTGGAGTATCAATAACTCACTAACTTTGATTCAGGTATCCTAGGTAACTTTGTTCTGTTAAAACTTTCTGCTTAAAATTGCAATCTGATGTGCCTGCCCATGAATAAATTTGCTTGTAAGTGGAGAAGTATATCATTGCAAACATCAAGCCGGCATACTTACCTGCAAGTAAATCAGCCTTAAGTTTATAAATTCCTAGCACATGTCTTCTAAGCATTTACTGTTATTATTAGTGTTACTGGTCTACCACACTGCCTGGGAAGACACAGTACCAGGAAGATAATAAGGTTTCCTCTGCAAGTAAAATAGGATGTTGCTGGTTCATGCATTCGTAACTACCATAATACATCATAGACATCTGACTTTGAAATAATATTGAACAAACATGTTTTCCTTGATTCCATATCTAATTGCTTTATTATTTCTCAGGAATCAATTCCTACCTTGCCACAGTTTCCATTGAAGGAGGCAGCCCCGAAAGTGTTCCATCAGTATAACAACAACATCTCTACGTTAGATGTGCACTGCCTCCCTCAGCTACAGGAAAAGATTTCTCCGCCTTCCTCGCCCCTTATCACCTTCCCTCCTGCTTTTGAAGCAGCCAGAGTCGAGCCAAAACCAGATGAGCTTAAGGTAACAGTGAAGCTAAAACCCCGCCTGAGAACTATACCGAATGGTCTGGATGACTGTCGACCAGTAAGTAAGAAATGGAAAGGAATGAAGTGGAAAAAGTGGAACATACAGATTGTGATTCCTAAAGGAACATTCAAACCTCCTTGTGATGAGGAGATAGATGAATTCCTCAAAAAGCTGGGCACAACCATTAAACCTGATCCAGTGCCGAAGGACTACCGAAAGTGTTGTTTCTGTCATGAGGAGGGCGATGGGCTAACAGATGGACCAGCAAGACTTCTAAACCTTGACTTAGATGTTTGGGTCCACTTGAACTGTGCTCTTTGGTCTACTGAGGTCTATGAGACACAAGCTGGTGCCTTAATCAACGTGGAGCTCGCCCTGCGAAGGGGCTTGCAGATGAAATGCATGTTCTGTCACAAAATGGGCGCCACCAGCGGCTGTCACAGGTTAAGGTGCACCAATATTTATCACTTTACCTGTGCCATTAAAGCACAATGCATGTTTTTTAAAGACAAAACTATGCTTTGCCCTATGCACAAACCAAAGGGCGCTCACGAGCAAGAACTCAGCTATTTTGCAGTCTTCAGGCGGGTATACGTCCAGCGGGATGAAGTCCGACAAATTGCCAGCATAGTCCAACGGGGGGATCGCGAGCACACCTTCCGGGTGGGGAGCCTCATCTTCCACACGATTGGCCAGCTGCTGCCACACCAGATGCAGGCCTTCCATTCTTCAAAGGTGCTCTACCCTGTGGGTTACGAGGCCAGCCGGTTGTATTGGAGCACACGCTATGCCAACCGCAGGTGTCGCTACCTGTGTTCCATTGAAGAGAAGGATGGTCTTCCCCTCTTTGTGATCAGGATCATTGAGCAAGGCCATGAAGACCTGGTTCTTACTGACTCAACCCCTAAAGGTAACACGGAATCTTGTGAAAGTCTTTGGCCTAAGTGCTAGATGCGCATTTCATTGTTTACGTTCATTTGATATTTCTGACTGGTTACTGGAAGCCATTAGGCCTATTGCATTGCTAACTCGTCAATGCACAAATGACTTCTTTGTAGCAAATGGTGAGTACCAATGTCAGTATTGTATGTGATGATCTCCATGCTATTTTGCCATGTGTGTGTGCTGTGTTCATCATATAGGACAGTCAATATACAAAGTATAGATGGTTTTCCATGCAGAAGTGATATTGATGTAAAGAATTCATCTTGGGAGCAGGAGAATCCTAAAAACACAATCTGCCCCTTAGTATTTTAGAGCAATTCTAGTGTTACATCCGAAGTAGATATGGCTTTAAACAAGTTTATTGTGGTGATTTTTTTCCCTTGCATTTATTTTGTGATTCACTGTAATTTTTATCCTATGCAGGTGTTTGGGATAAAATCCTAGAGCCTGTTGCTTCAGTAAGGAGGAGTTCTGAAATGCTGCAGCTATTCCCTGCATATCTAAAGGGTGAAGACCTCTTTGGTTTGACTGTCTCTGCAGTGGCTAGGATTGCTGAATCGGTAAGAGGTCATGCGGCTGTACTAGGCCAGTTCTGGGCTTGTTACTCTTTAGTAGTAAATTATTGTCTGTCTTAGACACGGCACTTTTTTATGCAATGCGTGTAACATGTGTCCAGGCTCTTACCTACCTATTGAAAATTTGTCATAGAGTCTGAAGGAAGAAATGGTTCTGGTATAGAATGCTGTGCCATAAATAGCATTAAAATTTAGTCAGTGGAAAGCCCTGAAGCAGGCCTTTTGGCCAGGGTTATAGGCTCACTTTCAGAGGTTTAGAAACAGGAAACAATGGTTTGATGTGGGGTATTGTAATTGCCTGCCTGCCCACCCACCCCACCTCTTTCTCTTCTCTTCAACACTTATGGCAGCAGGTTTTGCAGGTAGAAGTATGCATTAGTAGATACCATGTGAGTGGCCAAAGCACCCAAGGGCTTATTGAGCATTGCAGGCTAGGATAGAAAAGGCAGGGTTGAGTCTGTACACTCGGTTTTAGGATTTGTGCTCTTAAAGAAAAGCAAGAAGGAAAAAGAAGGCACTTTTGTAAAGCACTTTACTGAGTGCTGTCTCTCTCTGTGTGTGCTATTCTAATTCCTAAACCTATTCCTGAATCAGAGAACATTTCTTTGGCTGTTCTGCAACTGCATTGACATGTGACTCCTTGGTGTGTTTACAGCTTCCTGGGGTTGAGGCTTGTGAACATTACACCTTCCGGTATGGCCGAAACCCCCTCATGGAACTTCCTCTTGCCATCAACCCCACAGGCTGCGCCCGCTCTGAGCCAAAAATGAGCAGCCATGTCAAGAGGTTTGTGTTAAGGTATTTTCTTTTAAATTCACATAGTACAGCCCAGGGTTTATAGGCTGCGTAGGATACCTGTGCTTCTGTGTGCTGCTTACAAACCCTGTTGTTGTTGGCTGTGTATGTGCATGTCTGAGCCAGGGGAGCTGCTTTGTTGTCTCTGCTAGCTGGCTTTGAATGTCTGTCTGTCTTTTGAGTTTGTTTTTTAAAAAAACAACCTCTAAATGTCATAAAATTCAGAGAGATCTTCAGTTTTCCTTCTTTGTCTCTTCTGTTATATGACCCACTACTGCAGGCCTCATACCTTAAATAGCACCAGCACTTCAAAGTCATTTCAGAGCACAGTTACAGGAGAACTGAATGCACCTTACAGTAAACAGTTTGTTCATTCAAAGTCCTCTCAGTACCGAAAAATGAAGACCGAATGGAAATCCAACGTCTATTTGGCACGCTCACGTATTCAGGTCAGTTGCAACAACTTTGCTGTGCAATGAATTCATTCTTTCAAAATTTTGCCACTGTCTCTTCCAATCAACCATGAAAACAATATGAAGTCGTGGTCCAGCTCAGATTAAAATCAGGCTCAATGTAAGTTGTATAGCATACTTTGGTGTTCTGTACTGGACTAGGGGGAAATTCTCTGTGGGAGGAGGAGCTAGTAATGGCTTCATTGTCATGAACTGATCATTACTTGATTAAATTTGACCTTCAGGCTTCTTGTAACCTTCACAGTGGTGGAGGGTCAACACTAATGGTCTGCTTCCAGAGGATGATGAATCCAGACGGTTTTCTAATATCTTCGGGGAAAATGTGTGCTGCTTGGAAAATAGTTTCCCCAAGTCAGCCATCTTGGTCTCAAGACAACAAACATCTGTCCAATATGCAGATAAGCTGTACATGTGACAGTCTATAAAATACACTATCACCACCACTACTGGCCTTCTACCTGCATATTTGCTGTTGATGTGTTAGTTAATTTGGGAGTTGGGGGTTTGTTAGGTCACAATAGGGGTGGACATAGTAGTCTGCCTTGCTCATCTCGGCTTGCTACTAAACTTACTTGGCCGGTAGATGATTGGCTCCACAAGAGAGGAGCCCCAATTATGTAGACAGTGGACCTGACTTCTGCTATTCATGAACTAGTGACATTCTGACTTTGCTATTGCATATAGGGCTGCCTTTGAAGATTGCTAGAACATTTCCATTAGTGGAAAATGTATCTATCAATGTGGGCCAGATGGCTGGTAAAATATGTAACATCAATAAATTTCATATACTGGTGTTGATCTTTAAAGGAGAAAGGAGCCCTTCATACTTGCCTGGGCCCAGAGATCAACTGGGAGACCCTGTTGTAAGGCCTGCCTGTAAGATCAATCAGATTGGTGGACATAAAGAATAGGGCCTTTATGGTGCTAGCCCTGCACTCATGGAACTTCATCCCAATGGCTCCTTTCCAACTGCAGGCCTTCAAAAGGGCTTTAAAAGCTCATTAATTTCAAGCCACTTATTCTTAAAGATGTTATGGTCCCACTGATTTGAAATTGTTTAAAAGTTTTAGCTGATATTAATCATATGATGCTTGCCTGTTGCTGGACATGCAGCTGTTTTTCAGGGCTGTTTTATATATGTGATATATTTGTGATCCTGTATTTTATTAATATATTGTATTGTGGCTTATGTAAGCCACTTGTGAGGTTTCTTGCCTAAAAGACTACATGCAATTTACATTAAGGTCTGAATAGTACTTGTGTACTGGTGGGCTATGTTAGTTTTATTTTTCCCCTTGCTGATTTGAGCTGCACTCTAAACACCCTTAAATGGGAGTAAACTCCATTGAACACAGAGGGACATACTTCTGAGTAAACATGTATTGACTGTAAGTTTGCTAAAAACATCAGTTCTGTCGCGTAAGTTCTTGTACCCTAATGCTAAACCACACCAACATAGTGTTCAGGTTGTGCACTCTGGTACTAAGATATTCCTAAAGCATCTACTATTAACTACTATTCTTTGTAGGGCCTGGGCTTATATGCTGCTAGAGACATTGAAAAGCACACCATGGTCATTGAATATATTGGAACCATCATCCGCAATGAGGTAGCCAACAGGAAAGAGAAGCTTTATGAATCTCAGGTATTACATAAGGCAACTTAACCTGTTTCAAGAACTCATGTAAGATAGTCAAAAATGTGTGAGCTCTTCTCCAGAGCAAACAGCTATAGTGTTGTGAATGCTGACATGTATTACAGCTTGGATGTGAAGCACTCAGAACTGTGTCTCCAGATAGCGGGAGCACCTGGTGTTTCTGGAGAATTTTAAAAAATGGCTCAAAGTATTAACAGATGTTCATTGTGCTTCATAAACATTGTGTGTGAAAAATGTATGAACCGAGATCTGGGCCCATATATGTAGAGATCTGTGCAACACAGAGACTATGATACACACCAATCATTCAGAGCAACATCCATGTCCCCACTACCATCCAGTGACTATAGGTATAGATTGTGTGAGACTGTGAATTCATTTAGAGCAGGCATGTCCAACAGGTCAATTGCAATCTACCGGTCGATCACTGGGCGTCCCTGGTCAATCTCTCCCCCCCGCCCCCCCCCAAAAAAACTCAACAACTTTCGCTCATCAAAAAAAGCTTAACAACTTTTGCTTTCCTAAAAGAAGTTCAACAACTTTGGTCAATCCAATGGGTAGATCGTAGATCACTGCCAGTTTTTTTTATAGTGGGAGTAGATCACAGTCTCTTGGAAGTTGGACATGCCTGATTTAGACTGACTGAGACTATTAGTTTGTGGCCGTGTCTGAGCCTGTCTCTAAAGGATCTTCTAGGTTGCCTTTTCTATTCAATACATCTAGTCACAAAATACTAGTAAGCATGCTCTGCTTTCTGTGTTGGGTATAAATATACCCAAGTCTCCCATAGTTTGCTAATGGGTTGTCTCATTATGAATCTGAAAAACACTTTGAACCGTGTGTCACTCCTTTTGTTTGAATGATTGACTCTTCTTGTACAGATCCGACAGCATTTTCTCTCTGCTTCCCTCCTCACAGAATCGCGGCGTGTACATGTTCCGCATTGACAATGACCATGTCATTGATGCCACATTGACAGGAGGTCCTGCAAGGTGGGTGGCTCTTGAGAGGAATGGTGATCTCATTTTTGGATGCCAGCCATGTTCTCTTTGCCGGCTCTATCCTGAGGAGTTCTACTGGAAGTGTTTTTCCGCAATTGCCTTTATTCTCTAAGTTAGCGCATTCAACTGTCATACTCCCAGTAAACTCTAAAGCTGCCTTATTAATTTACTGTAGGCTTGATTTGTGCTCTCAAAGCAGATGTCCAGCAATAGAGCAGTTTTTGAACTTTGTTTTTTCCTGGGCAAAGGTCAGAAGTTGTATATATATTTTACAGTAAAATCAGTTTGCTTCCTCAACACTTTAAAACATGTGCCTGGATTTCTTCTGCTTTCCCCCCCCACCCCTTGTAGGTATATTAACCATTCCTGTGCACCAAACTGTGTGGCTGAGGTGGTAACCTTTGAAAGGGGACATAAGATCATCATTAGCTCTAGCAGGAGAATCCAGAAGGGAGAAGAGGTAGGATTTGCATAGCTTCTAGTAGCTTAAACCTTTATTTGTAGAATATGCTCAAATTTCTTCTTTCTAAAATTCCTAGTTACAAAAATGTTTCAGCACTTGCTTCTTTTTTAAGTACAGTGATTTATTTATTTTCTGTTGACTCGTCAACTGGACAGCCTCACCCCTTTGTATTTTTTCCCATGCACTGCTTAGCATTTTAGGCGATCTATTAGAAGCCACTCTGAAGAATGCCTTGTTAAAGTTTGTTTATACTGTAAAGCTATTTAATATTTACCACTTTCCTGTACCCGCATACCTGGGAGTAACTTTCATTGAACTCAACAGGGCTTACTTCTGCAAGTACACATATAGAAGTGTGCAGTCAATGTAAAACATTGCTTTGTATGCTGAAACGTCACATTAAATAGGATATTGGAAAACTACTTAAAAAAATATTTCATTCTGGTGTAACTGTTTTGGAGCCCATTCATATGCACCCAGCAGTGTTGTAGAGTTATTGGGCAGCATGCAGACCATTTCATGTGGAGATGTATTTTCCCCCAATGTGGAAAGTTACTTTGATAGCAACAGATAAAGGCTTTTCAGGTGTATGCTTCCAAACACCTGGGGGAACATTCTTGCACCTCAATCAGCACATTTGATTCTGCACTATATTTTCAGTAGCAAGAACTCTGGCAAATAAAAACAGCCACAATGAGCTGGTTAGACTGATTACAGAAATGGGGTATCTCCTAAACAAACCCTTAATCTGCAACACCATTTCAGGATATTAATAATATAAGAATTTATTATTTATGCCCCAGCCATTCTGGGTGGCTACTCAGCCCATTATCACATTACAGATGAATTTGGCATTTACCACTATATTGATTCAACGAGGCTGAGCTTTAGCACCCTAGGCACAGTTCACCTTGCAAGAAGCTGCTTCTTCCATTCATAATCAATGTTAGCAACTTAAAATCCAACAACATATGATGAAATTGAGAAAGCGTCCATATATATATATGAGGTGAGTAGTTGCTCTTGATTTTGCAAACACCAAACCTAACTGGCAGTCCCTTTCTTTCAGCTCTGTTATGACTATAAGTTTGATTTTGAAGATGACCAGCACAAGATTCCATGTCACTGTGGAGCTGTAAACTGCCGAAAATGGATGAACTAGATGCATTCCTTGCTGTCTCCAGGGGTTGCTTGTCCCAAGGAAGAAGTGATTTTGATTTTTTTGATTTTTATGGGGTGGGTGTGGGTGGGTGTGAAAGCAATCACTTCTGAAAGTTGTATTCTACACCAGTGTGAAGCAAGCTGGCAGAATATGGAGTTGTTGCCTGATGTCCGAGGCACACAGAGGTGAAACTGATCTCCAAACCAGTCCAGCACTTTTGATTTTATGAACTCATAAGGAGAAATCGTTGAACTTGGGCAGAGAAGCTATGGCTGAACTGCAAAAGGGCAGTGGGGCATCAATGAATGTAGACTGAAATCACCAGCGAAAGGGAGACGTCCAAAGTGCTGGCCACAGCCTTACTTATTAAAGGGGCAGGCCCTCTAAATACAGAAAAATAAATAAATAAAAGTAGACACCACTGAACAAGGAATGTACTGAAACGACTTCCTTAGGGATAGAGCTAAGGGAAATAACTTGCACTAAAATACATTTAAAATACTTGATTCCATGAGTCAGTTTATTGTAGTTTTTGATTTCTGTAAAATAAGAGAAACTTTTTGTATTTATTATTGAAATAAGTGAATGAAGCTATTTTTAAAAGGAAAAGTTAGAAGCCAAGCTGCTGCTGTTACCTGCAGAACTAACAAACCCTGTTACTTTGTACAAAAGTGTAAATATTTTGAGGAATAAAGTACAGTATAAAAAAATAGTAATTGACCAAATGCTACCAGACTTTGCAGCAGTTCGGGTGCTTATTATAAAACTTTGATAGGGATGTTACAATATGATCTCTTGTATTAAAAATGCCATTACAATTGTTATGGAATAACCAAAATCTCAATTTAAAGAGAGGTTTTACTTTATTTTTTTAATCTTTAAAGCAGGCTCAACTGTGCTCTATTAATAACTTTTTTAAGTAACCGTTAAGACTGGTAGAGAGCATGTATATTACAACTATGACTTTTGTAGATGTCTGAGGAAATTTAGACCGATTTATTTTATTTGTATTATATTGTTACATCCCTATTTCTTAAATCAGGTTTTTTTGTGCTTAGAATTTGTGATAACTGTGAATAACTGCTAAAACCACCCAAAATAGAAGCTGAACATTGATTTTCTTTTCCAGAAAAAGGTAGTGGGGATTACATGAACTGTTCAGCTTACACTAAATCATGTAATGAAAATAGAAATGTGTAGTGAGAGCGTAAGTCTAATACAATAGCTGCCTTCTTTCAAAGTAAAAACAAAGAAAAAATTAGGTGTAATTGTGCTTTCAGCTGCAGGACTCTGGCAATAGGGTTTTGGAAAATGTAATTTAAAAAATGTGTTTGTATGGATTGTTTTGTTTACATTTCTTTAAAAAAAATAAAACACTGTTTGTGTTTGCTTGTAGAAACCTAATCAACATTTTGAAGCAGCTTAGTTTTTTTATTTTGTACTTTAAATTCTGGTACTGACACTTCACAGTCTAAATATTAAAAAATGAAGTTTTTTGTGTGCACAGCGAAAGTGGACTGTAAAACTGTTGATATATTCAGTGCTACAGTTCTGAACTTGTAATGTATATGGCATGATGTATTTTTATCTTACAGAATAAATCAATTGTATATATTTTTCTCTTGATAAATAGCTGTATGAAATTTGTTTCTCGAATATTTTTCTTCTCTTGTACAATATTCCAACATCCTACCAGTATTTGTCCTACAGGTTTTTTCTGTTCTGTATAATAGTTATCTAATGTTGGCAAAAAATGAATTTTTGAAGTATACAGAGTGTTATGGGCTTTGAAATTTGTGGAAACAGATTTAGAAGATCAGCATTTACAAATAAAATATTTTACATCTATAAATATTACCTCTATATTTTCATTTGGAAATGTTTCTTATTTTACCAGAATGTTCCTAGATGGTTTTCTTAGGAGCCTCAAGATTTGGTATAGCACTGCACTGCCATTCAAAGAGAGAAGCAGCCATAATAATATAAAAATAAATCCATCACCTTTACTCCAAACTAGAGCAGATACACAGTGCTAGTTCATATAATCTGAATGCTTCCCAGACTATTTATAGTATATGGCTTTTGAATGATCTGCAGAGTAAAATCACTGCCCACAAGAACTCCACCCAATTTTCTATTCTGGATACCATAGCCTTCTACATCTGGATACAATCTGCTCAATTCTTTGAAAATAAGGTACAGTAAATATTAGGACAGATTCAAATTCCTTGAATTGGCGCTGCAGCTTCCACCCACAGCTTTCTTTCTGTATGAACACAGTGCAGGCTAATAGCCATTGTTTTGTTGGATTATATACTTCATGAGGGCTGTTTCCTAACAAGGGCTTTCTTCCCCATACTTACAGAGCTGCTAGCTTCACTGAAATGAAAGTGCAGTCTATGTTAAGTGTTCATAGTGTGCTGTGTTATGTGCTGGGGCTGCAGGCCTAACTAGACGACTTGTTAAAATAAGACAGGTGGCACACACTAGCTGGTATTCCATTTGTATGTTGAGCAGCATACAGTCCACAAATCAGTAAAAATTAACTCTGTGGCAAATTAAAACTTAAATTCTTATAAGGTACAGATCTCCCCCACTCCCTTTGGACAAGGTCTTAAGCATATTGCTCGATTTCAGAGAAAGACAGAAAATGTTTCAAACATTGTTAACCCTGAAGTATTTTCACAAGTTTATTATGCAACTGCATTTTAAACCAGTGCTGAATGAACCAATAAAGGAAAAATCAGCAATTAATGCTTTCAATCCAGAGGAAGAAATTAAAAAGTCCACACAAGTGTATTGAGATACATACATCTTGCACCATAATCATTTCTGTTGACCTCTTCACTCAGAAACTGATTATAACAGAAAAAGTACCATACTTGCTCTTAAAATGCCAATTTCATATGGTGGCACCTGAAGATTTGCAAGCAGAAAGGCACTTCTGCTATTGCAAGTCAGCCCCTACTTGAATTCCAGTAATTGTTCCCGACTGCTGCAGCCCCCATTCCCATACCTCCCTAAGGATTCCCAGATCGTCAGGGGAGGCTTTTGGGATACAGGAGGGCAGCAGGCAGAAGGCATGAGACCCACTGCATAAACATATTTCCACTTCATGATTCTGGATGCTGGCCAGAGTCATCAAAATCTGTAATTACTTATTTTAAATGCTGTGACATAAAATGTTAACAATGTAACATGTTAAAATTAATGAATTAAAATTAAATACTGAGATTTGTTTAAAAATGAATATTCTTTTTCCAGATCAGTTAAAATAATTCATCATCCAAACAAAGAAAATAATAGTACAGTAATACTTGTGCATGAAGTACTGGCAAGACAAGGTAGTCATCTGACTATTGGAAATATTCAATATTAATTTTCTTTCCTAATTAAATACAATGGTCTAACTATTTAGAGTATCTACATTTGCCAGGGAAGTGCAAAAAACTTACATGAATTGCACTTCTATGTGTGCAGAGATTGAAACGTGGCTGCCACAGCTCCTATTCCGCTTGCTTCTAAAAGCTTCCCAAACTGTTCCGTTTCAGAAATAGCAGCAGGGACTGCAGGCTCTATAAGGTCAACTATGGGCTACTGTGGAAATGGGCCTTCGCTGTCACTCAGCTTTCAAAGCGCCACTGCTGAGGGAGGGAGCCGTCACAAATTGCCATGGTCACATATCCTTTGAGGCTAAGCGGATCAGCTACCTTCATGCATTGCCCGACGGACACCTGATAGAGTCGATTATGTTTCTGGAGACAGAAAAATAAAACGCAACAGTTGAGGCAAAGCAGCTCAAAACCTGCTTCTGAATGAGATTATTGTCTTTGCTGGGGTGAGAAGAGCTGACCTTACTATGTTAAAATGTTGCCCTGATTCAGTCACGAGGACAGGAACTAATGTTTGAAGCTTGATGCTGCAGTGATCTGTTTGGATCACTTTTCTTAGCCAAATCTATGTACAGTGGTACCTCGGGTTACATACGTTTCAGGTTACAGACTCCGCTAACCCAGAAATAGACCTCGGGTTAAGAACTTTGCTTCAGCATGAGAACAGAAATTGTGCTCCGGTGGCACGGCAGCAGCAGGAGGCCCCATTAGCTAAAGTGGTGCTTCTGGTTAAGAACAGTTTCAGGTTAAGATCGGACCTCCAGAACGAATTAAGTACTTAACCCGAGGTACCACTGTATTGCAAAGCTGGGGAACTCTGCAAACATTACAATACGTTACCACTGTAGACAAAAACAGTGAGATTATTGTTTCCATGAAGCTAATCCCGGAGAGCTCATCTCATGGGATATTGCTATAGGTCAGCCTTCTCCAGCCTAGTGCCCTCTAGATGATTTGGACTGCAGAACAGACTTTCATTTCAAAATAACCAGACATGGTAGTAAAGAGGCACATTTTCAAAATGCAATGCACTACCCTGGCGTCATTTCTTATTGGTTAGGAGGGAGAGAGAGCAAGCAAAGCTGGAGACACCATGCCTGCAATGCAAAGTGTCCTTCAGCTGAGCTACCCCCTGGGAAGCTGTTAAGTCTCCATTTTTTGCTTAGCGGCATATTGCCTTGTGGAAACACTTATCACAATGTTATTTCAATACAGTACCGATATTCAACAATATGGCAATTTATTGCACAGCTCTCCTGCAGACATGCCCTCCAGTATGTGGAGAGTATTGAGGGGCTGGTGTTGAGAGTGCATGGCTCCATTCTCCTCCCTCTTGCAACAATCTTTGTGTAGTTCTGAATACCCAATTAGATCTACAGTCAACCCATATATAGCCAGGTTTTTGCAAATCGGACTCTGGATTAAATGTTTCCAGCATGGCTACTCCCCGGTAGATAAATGTCTTCCATTGTTAAGCTTGTCAGGTTATTTCATGCAACCTCAAAAGGAGGTATTTGGATTTTTATTCCAACAATGGCCCATTTACATAATAGTTCACTCCTCCACCGATCTCCACATAATTTAGATGAGCACATACATCATTTAATAGGAAACCTGTACTGAAAAACATTACTGCGGAATTGTTAACCCATATGTGATTTTCAGAATTAGAAAATCACATACTTACCCACAAAAAGACACACACAGAAAGAGATCTGAAATAATCCACTCTTGTCCGCAACTCACCCCAAGCACCCATTGCTGAGATCCTCCTGATCCATGGCATTTCATAAGGCGTGGTGGGTCAGAAGTGCGAGATTCAGACACATCCAAGCATAGGAGATTGTTTAGGATCAGCTCATGATCTTCATTGTAAAGCCATACCTAATAGTGGAATAATGTATTTATTTATTTAAAAGCATTTCTAAATCTCTTAAGTATTGTACAAAAATACAAGCAGTAAAATAGTAACATAAAAACAACCACAAATCACTTTACAAATCACAGTGTAAAATCTCAGCTTTCTAAAGTATTTTAAAGCAGATTAATTTCCTATTAATTGCATTTAAGTAAGATTCCTGTCAGGGAACTGCCATCGGCTCAGGGGGGAGAGGGGAAAAGCTGGATGGATTACAGAGAGCCCCCAAAGATCGTGGGAAGCAGCTCCTCCTCAGCGGAGGAGAGTAACTACGCTTCCAGTGGAGAGGAGCTTCAGGGCTCGGAGGAGGCGAGATGGTGCCAGGACACCTTGCCTGGGCAAAGCGGGGAGGAGAGAGGTCCTCCATTACCCATGCCCTTCTTGCGCAGTAAGCTTCCACGACGAGAGGGGAGGCGCAGACTGGGCGTCAAGAAACTACTCTGCTGGGGAAGGTTTAAAGACTGCCCACTCACAGATTCTGCCAGTGAATGAGCCAGCCATGGGAGAGTGGCGCTCTGGACAGATAAAGTTTATTTTGGCATCAAAAGCAAGCCTTCACAGCCGAGCAGGGAGGCATTTGCCTGCTTGCTCTCGAGCAACCCCTTGGAACCATAACAATTCCCTTTTCAAATTAGGCATTGAGTGAAAAAAAATCTGTTTACCTTAAGCAGAAAAAACTACCACAGAGACTTATTTTCTGTGAACAAGTATGAGCTGAGCTTTAAAAAGGAAATATATTAGACCAATCTGAACATGTGGAGAGGTGCTAGCAATGGAAAACTCCCAGTTTTCTCTCCCCGCCCTTTTTTTTTTTTTTTTTGGTTCTCTAAAATTACCTAAAAGTAGGGAGGATGCCAAATGTTTGCTTTAATTCTGAAACCCTCTAACAGCTGTGCATTTTTGGATCAGATATAATTTCTCTGGCTATTTTAAATCCACATTCATATGGGCATGTAACTCTATTGAACTTATTTCCAGGACATGAGGCCTCTCCTTAAGGCACATTTTGAAGCAGATCTGTTCTTGTGCCCTGGAAAGTCCCTGGAATGGACCTCAAGCACTGAGCAGAATTCTGAATGTATCACCTAGTGTAGTGAGGTACTTAAGAAATCCACAAAGCCTCCTTTTAGTAAGTGATTTTGAAGCAGACAACAGTGGTAAAAATTTGTAAAAGTAGCTAATAGATACTGATGTATTTATCTGCGTGATCAGTCCTGAAATAATGGAAAGGGAATTGATACAAACAGAAAGCTTTGTGTGACGCAAGGGTCAAAAGATATAGATGACCAGAGCATACAGTGAGAGGATATCAAGTGAGAGACCCTTTTCGTGTCTATAGAGGAAGGAATTTGGGTGGGTGTGTTTTTTTAATGTTATGAAGGAGTGATCAAAATAAAGCAACACTGTGGAGACTATAAAAATGAACAATGCTAGGGAAAGAAACGCAAGTAGAAAGTAAGTTCTGTCTTCGGGCACTTACCTGATTTTGATCATTGTAATCACACTCTCTGACTACAACAAGTCCTCCTTTTTGACTTGGGTGGCCTTGGGCAACAAGACATTTATTTGTCTGAAGATGAAGCAGCTGCAAAAGAAACACACACATAAGACAACTGGAAAATGTCTGCAATCACAATACTATTCATTCTTGCCGTATTATATAAGGGAGAGGATGGGGGAGAGCATTATGGAAAAAATGGGAGACGTTTGGAGGAAAGAGGCAGAAGGTTCTTTTATGTGCTCTCTATAGAATTTCCCCTAACAACATAGGCGCAGCCAAGGGGGGGCAGGGGGCAGCTCCCCCCCATCAAGTGAAACAATAGAAATACTTAACTGACCAATCATATCTGTTCTGCCCCCCTAACAAAAGTCCTGGCTCCACCCATGCCTATTTCTAGAATAATTTTCATAGATCAAGGTATTGTTGCAATCACAGAAGCAACACTGTTGACAGATTTCTAGGAGATATGCATGGTAGAGACTAGTAAGGACACAAAACTTTTCAGCACACACACAGTAAACTATAAGCTCTTCAGCCTATCTTTTTTTCAAAACAAAACAAAACACCACTTTGGGTGCTGATAAGGTAACCTCAGAGGCAGCGACTTTGCCCAAAGCTACCTGATGCAGCCTCAAGGCTAAGCAGAGATAAAAGAGAAAGTTGCATGCACCTATGCAAATTTTAATGTTGCAAAACAGGCTAACTTAGGAGTAATTACATCATCCACAATTCTTTGGAAAGGTAAGGTTGTTTATCTCCTTCCACTGTAAAGTCATTTCCAATGTATGTGTTCCTAAAGAAGGGTTGTTCAACATGCGACACACAAGCCACTTGTGGTCCTCAAGGCCTTTCTTGGTGGCCCTTGCTATGTATTGACGCTGCAGGGAACTGGAAGCGACAACATGAAAGCCTTGCCCTACTTTGTGACCAGCACAAGCCACTCATCCCAGCTGTGGCCGAGAATCCACCTTGGGAGCAGGATGAGTAGAGAGCAAGAAGGATGTGGGAGAAAAAAGGAAAGGAGGGGAGTGAAAGGCAGTTTCTTCAGCCAAGCAAGCAATGTCTTCCTTGCAGAAAATTCTCTCATCCGGAGAGAATCCCTAACTTGAACTAGAGTGTGCACACACGTGTGTGCATGTGTTGAATATTTTGGTCGTGGTGGCAGGGCTGGAAGTGGGAGTGGCAAAGGAGGAGAGACGGGGAAAAGGGGCAAGAAAGCAATAAAAGCAAAATGGCAGAGCTGCAGTGAGTTGCTCATTTTCGCACTCTTTTCCTCTCTCTGCCTTGCCCCACCAAGAGCTGGTAATAACTCCCTTGGCTCCTCCCTCTCCCTTCCTCTTTCCTGTCTGGAGTCCTGCCTGCATCCAGCAATTTCCCTCACACCAGGCAGCCTCCATGATTTTTGGTCACTTTTTAGGTAGGTAGATAAATGTGTGTATAATAAATATTAAATATATTGCAAACACTTTCTGATATGGAAATTTAATTCATTGTGTGGCCCCCCAGGTTCTGTGTCGAAGTACTTTTGTGGCCTACTTTGTTTGAGAGCTTGGACCACCCTGTCCTAAAGCAAGAGGGCTTCTGATCAGACAAGAGATTATAGTGGCCTACAAATGTGAAAGGCATTCATCCATAACGAAGGTTGTTAACCTGCACAGGAAGCAAGGCAAGTAAGACTGATATGATACCTTTAGCATATTTGATCTAAAAACTACAGTGCATAGTTACAGATTTTCAAAGCTACTCTTATTGCGAAGCTGCACTATTTTACAGCTAGAAAGTAACAATACTGTTTCTTTTAATTCAGATGCCATCTTTTGTGATCTTTATAACTACATTTTTCAGAGTATGATTTTAAAGAACCTGAAGAGTTAGAACAGCATCTTACCCGTCCACGTTGCAATGTTTTTGGTCGTTTTTGCCCTTTGTTGAAAAAGAGTGGCGGCGGTACTTTGGCATTAGAACCAGAAATTTGCATCTCTGGGTATATATTGTCTAAATACCACTTAAACGATTTGCAGTTCAACTTTCTTCTCAACTCCACACGATCAGTAATATTCCCATAGTTCCTTGTCCGTAATTCTGGTCGCAGAGCAAAATACTGTTCCTATGTCATAGAGAGGAAAGTGTGGTAGGAAGAATTACAGTTCAGAACAATGATTCTATTTTGAAGTGAGGATGAATACACAGGACTGAAAACAAAACAAGCAAAAAGCCAATTTCTCTGAACTGTAAACCAATGCGGTTTGTACATGCTATAAAGCTACACTTTGAAACTACTGTGCCTATCCAGCCAATAATGACCAAGGGCAGAACCACACATTATGGGACCTATGGGACCATTGCCAAAACAGCATTCCCCCATCTGCTTTGTCTCTCATTCCTGGATTCATGACAATCACACTGTGAATGTCCCACTCCCTCAACCAACCAACGAAGTGGTGCAGGAGTGGGAAACCAATGAGATACAACATCATCATCATCATCATCACACCCTCATTTCCATAGGTTGACAAGGGGTTAACTGGGTTGGGACAGGTCTCAATCACATGACAAAGGCAGGAGCAATGATTTGTGGGGGGTCAGCTCGCTCTATTCAGTTTTTCATAGCAGCTGCAAACTGTGTCCATTTAAAAAAAATCTGAACATAATTGCCTATCTCCTACCCTGGCTCAAAACGTGCATGTAAGTAAGAATGCGAAGATAAATAATGAACATATAACCTAAGTTAGAAAACATAACTGCAGACCCCAAAGGTTGGGCCCCAGTTAGCCCCTCGTAACCTACGAAACCTATGCTTCAGGTAGGACCAATTTTGTTCTGATTTACTGTTTTACTACATGTCACCAAGGAAAGAATAGCAGAAGATGTGGGACTGCTGGTTTCTGCAGAGATCATCCAACAGCATTTGGTGAAATCAGGATGGAATTCCACCAGTTTCCTTTCAGTAAAATTGAGAATGTTTAGTGTTTTATATTTCATTTCTATCACTTACGCCTCTGGACTGCATTTCTTTAATCTTCCCTACTGCAATTATCAATGCAAATTTCTAAATTTTTGTTACAACTCAGAACCTATATTGAAAGGTTCTGATACCACACAAAAAGTAGAAGATGAAAAAGCTACCACTTTTCAGGAATGGGACCAGAGTTTCTGAATATCCATCCCTGCTGTGACCACCAAGGCACCCAGATACATCCACCTTTTGCTATGGCTTGTAATTCTACAGTAGTGGCCATCTTGCCTTATATTCATCCATCCACACATGAGCTAGCCGTAGAGAGTTGTGCGCCATGGTGTCCTGCCCGCCTGGGGAGCCATAAGGTCGCCTTTTACGAAAGATGTGTCCGACTCTGGAGCATGGGATGATGAGAAGTTTGCCACCACACATCCAGATCTGCTCAGAAACAGAAGTAATTAATAAAACAAAGGATTATTACTTAAGGAAGATCATATTAAGCATAGGTGTGGTTTCTGATGTTGGTCTATTTAACATAGTTAGAAAGGATTACAGCTGATAGAAGCTATAACTTCTAGATCAGGGTTTCCCAAACTTTGGTCTTCAGCTCTTTTGGGACTACAATTCCCATCATGCCTGACCACTGGGCCTGCTAGCTGGAGGTGATGGGAGTTGTGATATGAAAAAGGAAATTTATTTTTAAGAAAAATTAACTATCTGGTCTGACCAGAAAAGATTCCCGACACCTAGTTTAGAAGAACTTTCAACATTCACAGAACTGCTCTGCAAAATGAAATAAAATTACTGCACAACCATAGTGTGTAAAGAACTGTGGTTCAATCAGGGTCCTCATCCAAGAAAAAAGGTTATAGTCTGCAAAAATAGCATACATACCCGAAATGATATTTCCAGGTTTTCCCCTCCCCAGATGTCCATGCCGCTATCATATTGTCCGAGTTCATTGAAATATTCTCTGTCCATTGCAAACAAGCCTCCTGCCATTGTAGGTGACCTAAAAGAAAATGAGTGTTTTCCAAAACCATACCTACCAATGATGGGAGATGGGGGGGGGCTGAAGTCACACAAAATTTACAGAGGATTGATGTGAGGTATGTATGGTTATGCATCAAATGTGGAAGTCCAGCAACGGGGGGGGGGGGGATTGGAATACTCTCCAATCAGTAAGATATTTAAGACTAAGCAAGTGGGAATAGAATATGATCCAAACACCTGGCCCTAATGTAAAAAAAATAAAAATGGTGACAATGTGGTGTCGAACATGATTTCTACTCAAGGAAACTTTGAAAACCTGCAGAAAGACAGTGCATACCACTCATTAGGTAGGTAATGGTTTTTAGGAAGTTATTCTGTATCCCCAATTCTGATATTTTAGCCCGTGATTTTTATTAATTTTAAGTTTACTGATTGTTTTATTGTTGTGCGCCATCCTGAGAGACCTTTATGGCTATAGGGAAGAGCATAGATGTAATGAAGTAATTGAAGGATTCAGCCACTTTTTCTATTGTATAATGAACATTGTTTTTCCCTTACCTTCCTTATTTGTGACACATCTCTTAGGCTTTTGTACAAGGTCTTAAGAACCTTTACTTACCAACTGTTCCCATGACAGGTTACAAATTAAAGCAGGAGTCACCAACTTGGTGCAGAAGGTTGCTCACTGTGACAATACAGTTCGAACATATAATGCCAATCCTTGCCCGATTGCACTGGCTGCCCATTAGCTTCTTGGCTCAATTCAAAGTGCTGGTTTTGACCTCTAATTTTGTGTTATGGCACACTTCCTGGGTCAGCCACCAGCATTCTAAATGTACCCACTAGTCCAAAACATTTGGCAACCCTTGAATTAAAGGCTTGCCAAACTTGGAATGAACAGCATTTATGGATAAGTTATTTATTATATGTTGATATAAACTCATTAACAGCTTTGCTGAAATTCTGGTTTCAACTTTCCTGTTAAAAATTAGATGTTGAAAGAGATTTCTCCAAAGAAAATTATTGACATTTGCTAGTACAGCTCATTGCATCTATTGGCTATCCCTTTTCTTCATTCTTCTTTTCAGTTTAAGTGTTCAGTCCTAAAGATGAGTACTGAAGCAGTTGTACCCCCCTTTTTTATCTTCCCCTTCCTTGAAGGAGCACATGGTTGCATACACGGTACTCCCTTCATAATATGGTATGTTCTTTAGCATATGGTACTTAGAGAAGGTATCTTACTACATAGCATATTATGTAGCAGCTTTGCTGATAGCTTATTGTCTTTGTTTACATCAAGTTGTCTTTAAATGAAATATTGTTTTATTGTATTTTAATGTTTCTCACTCTGTGTGAACAATGCAGTGTGGGTTATAATATAAATAAATAAATAAATAAATCGTACTTGATTGGAGATGTGGCTCCCTCAGGGCCTTCCAGTTCTGACAAAGGAACAAGATCCCATTTAAAGTGCAGACCCCAGTTGAACCCTCCACGGACAACTGGGGAAGAGCTGTAGGTAAGTGTGTCAGCGCTAATTATATCGATGACAGGACAAACCACTGTTTTCCGTGATTCCTGGATGGGTGTCAGCAAAGGTTGCAACCACAGCTCATTCACCTCACAGTGACTGTCCAGAAACACAAGTACCTTCCCTGAGAAAAGAGAAGCACAATAAGAACAGAGAACAAAAAGCAAGGCAGTCAGAGTTACATATTTTCATTATTCTAGACATGTTCCACTCTAGCAGAGAGAGGGGAACAATATGAAACACAGCAGCCTGATGGGGAAATCTCAAGTACTTGCTAAATCCAGGTAATTCCACTTTTCTTTCTTTTAAAAAGGCAGAACTCTATCACACTACAGTTGGGATGGATTATCTCATGATTACATTTTGTGGGATTCCCCCATCTATGTGGCTATATACAAGAATTGGACCTTTCAAACTTCAGTGGGAAGGGGTGTGTGTGATTCTTTACTTATTCTATTAACAAACCGCAACTTCCACTCCAATGGTTTTCCTAAACTCGCACTGCAACCACCATATAATATCACTTATCCCGTTTGAACCCTTAACTTATCAACAGCCCTGGTAATTGGGATATAGACATGGTGCAAAGCCTGACAGATATAACTACAATATTTAAGAAAACTATTAATGTTTATTTACTACAAGAGTATGTAGTGCACAAGCTTATGTGGTTGCTTTAGCACAGTACTCTCTCTTTAAATAAGTATGCATTTGCTAAGTTGTTACTGCCACTTTAAATATCAACTGCTTATTTTACACTACCGTTATTAAACCATGGCAGCTCTGAGGAAGCAGTTAGGTTACCCTGTTAAAACCCTTTTGCCACACTGCCCTTGTATCTACACCATCCTGCTTAACCCTCACAAATACTCCAAGTGAGGACTGAAGTGCAGGTCTATTTTTGCTGTCCTGTCCTGGAATCTTCACCCGGACTCTCCACCCGGAGTCCACCTGGACTCTCTACCCGGAAACCAGAGCCTACCATTCCAAACTGCTTCTCACTTCTTCTGCCTCAGTGCTGTAGACAGATCCCACCCCTCTCACTCATTCAGCTAAGCCCAGTGACTCACCTACCTCAGCAAGTCTTTGGCCACCAAACTATGCTGCCTTCCTCTCAGCTCCTCCTCTATTGTCTTCTTCTATGGGCTGTTCCCTATGAACATCAAGCGCCAACCAACATGGGCTGACTCCTGCCCCACCCCAGGTCTGGCCTTAGCCAATCACATGTCTAACTAGGAATTATACACCTGCAGCCAGCAGTTAGATAATGCATATATTCTACCCTTCTATGCATAATGAGCGTTTTATCTCCACCCCCTCTTCAGGTGTCAGTTAAGATCCCCCATGACATTTAAATCAATTTTCACCTGATCAGACATAAGACACCCCCAAACACATTATAATACAAATGTCAGAACACATTATAATACTCAATAAAACTTGCCTCAAACAGGATTTCTTCCTGTTCAAGAAATCAATTTTAGAATAACTACAAACACACAACTCAAATTGCCACAGACCTTGTCTTGTTGGAAAACACATGGAGTGAGAGAGTGGTGACCTAAATTGTAGCAATTATCTGGATACTAATAATGTAATAATAAGTGGGCTAATAGTTTCATTTCTTATATCAAGTACTTTTTCTAGGGAAATTAAGTTACAGCATCCTTCAGATTTTGGGGGCGGGGCAGGTGTGGAATCGCCAAGAGTATTATTTATATAACTTGTATCCCACAGCCTTCATCATGAATGCTCTCAGGAGGCTAAAATGATAAAAACTATACTAATGATCATAAGAGTCATCCATTACAATTATGAGTCATAAAGCCAGTAAAAATTATGCAATTATGAGTTTTAAAAAGCCCAATAAAAACTTAGAAGTTATTCCTAAATGAAAGCCCAGGTTGGAAACCAGAAACTCAGGAAATTCCATTCTAAAAAGGCAGTTAGGTGTTCCAATTATAGCTGTAAAATTTTCCTACTTCACTGGGTATAGCTTAGGGAAGCTATTCACAAGCTGCAGCACTGAGCTCAAATAGTAAAGCTGAACAAGTACTGCTGCATGTTCGGAACTTCAATGTAATTATACTGCATTAATGTAGATGATTAACACGCATTAATTAGGAGGAGCTTAGATCATCATTACAAATTATAACACAAGCTTTCCTGATTCAACACTGATTATTGTTCATGCACAATGCAGGCTGATTATAAAGATTATCAAAAAGATACTTTAACCTAATTAAATGTTATAGCCACAACAAATCTCTCTGGGGAGATGACTGTGAATCAGTATGAATGGGGTATTTGTAAACAGCTTTAATAAGATGCCTTGTCATAATGGAAACAATTTAACTGCCAACCTACATGTAGTGAGCTAGGGCCAGATAAGTTAGTCCCTTTTGGGGAAAGAAAGACAAGCCACAGTTGTTTTACTGCATTTCACAAACCCTGGTTTTCACAACTGGTACATATTATGGTGAAATAAAAACCTTTTATAACAAGGGGATCGTTATGACATTACTTCCCAGGCTTAATACACTCAAGATTAGAAGCCAACCTCAGATTTGCCCCTTCCCTGCTTTCCTCACCATGAGCAGAAGTGGGATGATCCTGGACAGCAAGAGAGATTCCATATTTAAGTAAGTTAAAATAGAGAAGAGATAGCCAACTACACTATTCTTGAGGGTCCACCCTATTTTCCAAATGGTGGTTCACTATAGTCTGACCCCATCACAAGTATTCAGGTTCTATACTGATGCTGACAACTGCCTACAGAATATTTAACCATCAGGAAATAACAGGAAGAAGCATACATATTAAAATTTGAGACAGTGAGAGAGTTATATTTCTTATATACTAACTGTGGCTAACAGTGGTCTTCTCAGCAACAGACGTTTATTTGCTTTTGAATCCAGGGATGTTCTATGTATTTTGCTAACTTATTTTTTGTTCATTTTAATGATGTATTTTTAAAAGACATCTGAAGGCTGCCCTGTTTAGGCAAGTTTTCAATGTTTAATGCTGCATTGTGTTTTTAATACAGCGGTACCTAGGGTTAAGAACTTAATTCATTCTGGAGGTCCGTTCTTAAACTGAAACTGTTCTTAACGTAAAGCACCACTTTAGCTAATGGGGCCTCCTGCTGCCACTGCGCCGCCGGAGCACGATTTCTGTTCTCATCCTGAAGCAAAGTTCTTAACCCGAGGTACTATTTCTGGGTTAGCGGAGTCTGTAACCTGAAGCGTCTGTAACCCGAGGTACCACTGTATTCGGCTGGAAGCTGCCCAGAGTGGCTGGGGAAACCCAGCCAGATGGGAAGAGTATAAATTATAAATTATTATTATTATTATTATTAGTAGTAGTAGTAGTAGTAGTAGTAGTAGTAGTGGTAGTAGTAGTAGTATTGTTTTGCTTGAAAGCTGATCAAGGAGCATTTACTATGAGAAGTTTCATATTTTTCTTTATTCTTCATTAACTGTATTAAAGTCATAAGCAATTTGGACAAACCATCATAATTTAGAAGTACTGAACAAACAAAGGGACTACTTGAATTCATAGATATGAAGGACATTACCTGTAGCATGGGAAGCTCCAATCATTCTCCCACGAATTAGCCCTTCTCGCTTCTCATTTCTGACTAGCTTTATATTGTTCGGAAGATTTTTTGTTAGATAAGCATCCAATTCTTCTTTCAGATCAGCTAAAGTAAGAAAAGGCAAGGGGAATAAGTTGGCATTTAGTAATCTGTCAGTAGTCCAAGTATCCTTAAACTACACTGCACAAAATTAACATATAATGTAAGAGTCTTTCACCTAATTCACTACTGTCATCCACCAAGATAATTTCATGGAGAAGATTAGATGGTGTGCGGTCCAAAACACTATGCACTGTCCGAAGCAAGGCAGAGAATGCTTCATTATAGAAACAAATTATAATGCTAGCGTAGGGCAGATCATGAGGATAACTTTTTTCTTTACACCTGCAAGAAAGAAAAAGCACATATTATAACACATGGTTTTCAAAGAATGTTGCTAATATTTCACGAACACCCCATATAATACCAAAATAGAAGCTGCACCCTCCCTTTTATAATAACCATGCAATATGCGTGTAGCTGTTTTCCCCACAGAATCTCTTTTACTCATGAGTTTAAGAAACCATATGCCCTGTGAATCATTGGCACCTAAAAAAGGAATCTGGCAATTCAGTTGCTGAGGAATACAGGATTTTGTTTTCTGTAGAGGATGCAGATTTATCCTTCTACTGTGCGTGCTTGTTGTTTGAAGAATCTGAAATCTGCATATTTTACATTTCTTCCTCTGCATTACATTTGTCCACTAACTTTTTTTTTAAGATAATGAAAACAGGAAATTTGGAGAACACAGTCATCCTATCTCTAATGCCTCCACAGATAAGTTATTCAAAATCCAGTCCTTTCCCCACCCCCCTCATTTTCTTCCTCTGCTCCTTCCATTCATAGCCTTTCTTCACCTTACACTTCGTTCATCCTCCTCCTTTCCCCATTTAATTTTTCTTTCAGCACTGCAATACCTTTCTAATCCTGAAATCCTTCTAACAAACACATGAAGCTGCTTTATACAGAGTCAGACCACTGATCCATCTCATTCAATATACTCCACACCAACTACAGCAGCATCTCAGACAGGGATGTTCCCCAGTGCTACCTAGAGGTGGCAGTACTTGATTCAGAGATTTTCAGCATGCAAATAATATATGCTCTTTCCCCTTTTAGTTCCCCACTTCCCTACTTCCCTGTTCCTTAAAACTTTAAACACTGTTCTTTACATTTCTCCACAGCTTTTTCCCTGTCTTTCTAAGACCCAAGTATCTTTCACTTTCTATTCCATTCTTTTCCCCTTCTTCAAGCTATTCCTCATATTCAGCAATTTCCACGGCTCATTTTTACTTTTACTGACCCCTGTACGTACAAGTAGGGCTTCCTATATTACAGAACCTCTTACAATTCTATAGCTTAGAGAAAATATGTTACAGTATTGATGCAAAAAATAAATAAATAAATGATTGTATATCTAATTTCCAGTCAAGCTTGAGTCCTACGAATTCTCAATTAAACACTGAATCAAAGGAAAGCAGGAAAGGGAGCTGTATTTTTCCTTCCTTCTCTCCAATATTGCTTCTAGAAAATTATACAGGTTACTAAGTTTTGCAAAGTATCTTGCAGCCCTGTTCACAACCATACTTAAAACACAGAATGATGTCAAGAATGAACTCAATGTTCACTCTATCCTAATAAGGAGATAAAGGCCTTTTAATGAGATCTTTGAACCTACACATTACAACAGGATCATGACAAAGCCAAAATCAAAGCTCAAAAAACAAAATATTCAGTGATATGCAACTATTAGGGCTGTTTTACAAATCTGGATATTTAATTTGAAATTAAAAGATTGGTTTCTCAAGGTACACAATATATAGCTGCATTACAAGAGAAAGGAATACAGCCTTTTGTGCATGCATATGTTAAAAGTTGGTTCTGAAATTTTAAATTCTATATGGATAGCAATGCCATAGTGATTACTAGATTTTACATTGCAAAGAACTTCACACACAAAGGGCACAATCCAGCCAAAGTTAAGCACTTTAAGCAACAGAAAAATACATATTTGTCTTGCATACTGCACAGCAAGAACCGTCAAGCAATTCTACACGTTATGCATATTTTGCCAATGTAAATACAAAAAGGAACTTATTTTCAAAACCATGTTATTTCTGAATCACTCCCTTTCTTAATATAATTTCTGGTATGGTCTGAATTTCTTACTTCTCATCCTCTCTCATTTCCATCAGCTCTCTATTTGGGGGGAAATATGCTCATTCGACAACTCTGAGGAGACCTTAAATCTGTAGAGGACTGGAAGAAAAATGTTTACTTTATGAAAAAACTACAATGTCACATGTATATCCTTTTTCTTTCTTTAGCATGGCTAAGAAATAGAACCCAGGACAGGGCTATGAAATAGACAATTTTCAAAGAGTCAAGTTCTATTGGGTGGAGGGAATAAATCAGCTGCCAAATTTTGGGGGAAGGGCCAAAGCTGCTCTCCCCCCATGAAGAAAATATTGGGGGGGGGGAATCCTATGGGAGAAAGTAAAGTAATACACTTAAAACTGTTGATGTTCCAGGTGTATAGCATGTACTCCACTCACAATATGAAGTGCCCTGGACTCCATCTCAGAGGAGCCATACAGGAATGCAAAAAGTGCCTCCCCTGTGGTTGTTCTGATTAAAATTTAAATCAACCATATGCATGCCTACAAACACTGTAAAATGCTTGATGCTCCCATGCTTGATCTTCCGACTTTTCCCTTCTGCAGGACTAAGCCATTTTTGCAAAGCACAGAGCCCTTTCTTTAGGTGCTATTTCCTTCCCTGTTCACCTTCTCAAACAGCTCCCAATGGAATCTCCCCCCCCCTCCCAAGTATATGTAGGAATATATATAGGCACAGTGCCAAAGGCATCGCTGCAACATACAAGCCCCATCCTTCCCACTGCCCATCATTCTGTTGGCCTTTTTTGCTAGATCTTCACCACTGGGCTCTTGAAACAAAGCATTCACTTTATCGAGAACATGCAGAAACATACTTTGCATCTCTTGTGTCTGGCACATCTCTGTGATATCCCAACCGGTTACTGATGAGCATATTGAAAGCATGCTTTTGATAGCCCAAGTCTCTCACTTCCTGGTCTTGTTCATTAAAAATCATACCTGCAACGGAGAATGTGCCAAAATCAATTTACTGTCTAATGTATGTATTGCCAATGATCAACTTCTTAAACTTATGTGTTCAGCTAATGATATATTCCAATTCAAATTACTGCCCCATACTCATTTCCTGGCCCAGGGAAAGACTAATGAGGAGGTTTCACTGCTAAACAGGATGGCCTATCTAAGCTCAAGGCATTTATAGCAATATTTGTGCAGTATTTACCATACTACTATGGTACTAATGAAGCTCTCTTTTCAAGTCTTAAGAGAGCCAGAAGAGGTAGCTGGAATACAGTAGTACCTTGGGTTACATACGCTTCAGGTTACATATGCTTCAGGTTACAGACTCCGCTAACCCAGAAATAGTACCTTGGGTTAAGAACTTTGCTTCAGAATGAGAACAGAAATCATGCTCCGGCGGCGCGGCGGAAGCAGGAGGCCCCATTAGCTAAAGTGGTCTTCAGGTTAAGAACAGTTTCAGGTTAAGAACGGACCTCCAGAATGAATTAAGTACTTAACCCGAGGTACCACTGTATTGCTCTTTGGGGCAGGAGGGAGTGGGGGAGAAGGACGGCAAGAATGTAGGAGGCAGAAGGCTAAAATACACACACAATTTGCAAAGCTGGTCTCAATAATTTTAAGTAGTCCCCAGTGATATAGCTGCATGGGATTTCAGAGGAGGAGACATGGCTGTGTTTGCACGTTGATTCAATACACCTAGTCCACGCTAACCGCTCGTTAACTTCACTTGCCCATATGACAGGCAGGAGCATAGTAGGCAAAGAACAGAATGCACACTGCAAAGAGGACAAAATGGCATCAAGGGGCATAGAATACTCCACACCACTTTTCTTTTCTTTTCTTTTCTTTTCTAAACTTGCTCCTTCTAGATCTTCCAGTTGTGCAGAAAACACATCTACGTGTACATCCTTAACAACACTTGTCCATAATATACAAGCCATACTGCGGTTAAAATTTTCAGGCCAGAAGACTACAGCTAGTTTGTTTTATTTTTCACTAAACATATTGAAACCGGTGGATCATGCAGCACAAAAAAGAAAAATCAAATCAAACCAGTGGGAGGCATAGTACAAAGGTTTAGAAAGCAGCATGCAATGAGTTCAAATTCTTTATTATTTTTGTGACCTCTTACCTATTCTTGCACATCTGAGGACTAGAAACAAACACCTTTAGTTTGAAAACTCTGGAGAATGAACCTGGGCCCTGCCTATTTTTTTCTAGAATAGCCAGGGCCCAGGTTCATTCTCCACTCTTTTTAAAGGAGGGAATGCATCTTGGAAATGATTCTAAGCTTTCCTCCCTATTTTACAAAGCATATTCTCTCCTTACTGCAACTAAAATTGCATACAGCTTATGGGTCATGTAACCTAATCTTCTTAACAGTCAAAGCCAATAGGCATCTTCAGTTCATTCACTATGAAGCAAGCATTCAGGGAAAGCGTGATCAAAAAAGTAAATAAGAATTTTTAGCTTCTCCAATTTCATGAAGAAAAACCTACTGGACAAAAATATGTTTCTGAGAGCTACATGCAGTAATAGCATTCTACATGCATTGGTTAATGATGAATAGGTTCCTCACCCTGAGGAAATAAGAAGGAAATTGAGGCTGGGACCCGGGTGCAGAGTACAACTGGCTCTGTGAAGAAAAGGTGCTATTGTACAAGACACCAGACAGAGGCTGCACAATTCTGTAGTCGTGACTGCTAAGCCTCTTCCTCATTCTCAGTTGGGTCTTATTCCAGGGACTACACTCATTTCCCCTTATCATAGGTGGAACTACAGTAAAGAGACCATAAGTGGCTACATGAGCCACTGTAGGGGTTCACTGTTGCCAGTTCTGGGCTTCCAGATTGGCCCACCACCACCTTCAATTATGAGAGAAAGAGGGGGGCAGAGAATGTGGGGGCACTTAGTTCCTTGGCTGGGATGTTTTTTTTGAGGCTGGCAGATTCTGCAAGCCCTCAAAGATTGTGGGTTCCTCAAGGTTCCTGTTCCCCTATAATACCAAGACTCCTACAGAATCTTGCTCTTCCAAAGGTCTCCTCAGAGTCCAGACATTTCAGACCAAGCTGTACCCCTAATACTGTAGAATGTGATTCATAATGAACACTATGCTGAATGTCTGGCTTTCATATCATAAATAAAGCAAGTCTGATTACCTTATCAGATGATAATTTCTTTGCAGATGGCAAAACATCCCTAGCATATTTTGGCACTAAACTAGACAAAGATCTATTTGTATTTTAATGGTTTATTAAAATAGCAGATCTAATTGAATTGCCTCTGCATTTTTCATTAGTAATATATATGTCTGGCAATTACTAATCTGGGTAAACCACTGTGCTTCAAGAGCAAGCACTTTTCTAATTTAGGGCTCCCATTCATTTCCTGTCTGAAACTACATAGGAAGACAGAAGCACTTCACATCTGGTTTTCACAATATGAGTTTCAATGCAGTCAATTACTATTCACTTACCCATTTCAGGAGACATCTCAGTATCCCCCTTGATGGGATCCTGTGCAGCATTTCCCAATGGATTCCTGTTCTTACTGTATCTGTGGTTAGCTTCAGGTATGTGTACTGGCCCATGGACAAAACGGGGATAGATCTTTTTAGGAAATGGCTTCTGAGGTTCAAGCCCCTTGATGGGCACATTCTTGAAAGACTGGGTCTCTTCGCTGAAGTTGAAATAAATAAAGAGTAGAAGTGTCCAGGTCACAGATGTGAAGAGGCAGCCATAGCAGAAATAGCGAAGTGTGACACTTCCCATTGTAATCCTAGCATTGTTGTTAGCACATTCTCAATCCCCTAAAAAAATATAAAAGGGAAAAGGGTAAGATTTCCAATTACAAGCCTCTTCCTGAAAGCTGGCCTTTCAGAAAATGATCTATTTTAAATTAACCGTAGACTGTAATAATGTCTTGGGAATGATAATTTTTCATCCTATACAAAAACATCAAATCATACATCAACTTATCAGTATGCCAAGTTACCATAAAACTAAGGAACAGCAATGGATACAGAAATTTTAATTGAAGCATTAACAGCATTTTTACACAACTGATCATTGCAAATATTCTACAAAGAAAGCACCACATAATGAGATTACATTCTCAAATGCCTTGTGGGCATCTCAATAAAATGTCTCTATCTTGGATAAACTGCTGGCTTCCTGTTTCTAAATCAAGAATCACTCTCAGAAACAAATACTCCCTCCCCTCTCCTTTAAAAATCCTACTGCCCTTGACTTAACAAGCACTTTGTGTTGTATTTGCTTCAGCACTAACAGCGGTTAATGATAACTAAATTCCCTCTCAGGACTTGCAAAATCTGCTTCAGAACCTGATTAAAATAGGTATTCAGTCAGTGAGTCCTTCCTTTTTTAAAACTAACAAGCTACTTGCAAATTCAACTGTTAGAAACAGACTGATCTTCATCTCCAATCCTGGCCCTCAGCATTTGGAGCAAAGAGTGTGAGACGCAAAGAAAGAATGGAACAAATACCATGTTAAGCAAGTAAAGTTCATTTATTACTGGAAATGTCAGGTTGAGACACATTAACAGCAAATATAATCTGAACTTTAAACATTTACAGCCTAACTGCTTAAAATATTTGCAGGACAACAACTAATTTTTAACAGGAACCATGTTTTGAACTGAGCAAAGGCTGAAAAGTCAGCAACTTTAGCTCTATTTTCTTTTCAACTTTAGCTCTATTTTCTTTTCTCCTACAGAAGAAAAGACATGGGTTCTCAAGCTTTGTTCTCTTAAACATACAGAAACTCTGGTTCTTCACTTGAGTGCTGCACCACTTCACTCTTGTTTACCCATGTCAGAAAGAACTACTGCAACACCATGTCAATGCAACAAGGGATTGCTGCAGGTGAGGTGGGAAGACCCTGGATCATACCAAGCTCTGGGTCACCAGTCTCTGTTACTAACTTATTGTGTAGTTGCAACTACAGAAAATATTTTTCTAGACCCAGGACACAATTGGTAATCAGCTTCCTCTTTCCCCTCCCCTTCAATTACACAAGGAATTACATACACCTGGCTGTTTTTCTCCCTCTGCAATCCACAACACTTGCACCTCAAACTCAAGATTTGGCACCGGATTAAGAGTTTCTGCAACTAGCCATATAGTAATTAATTACCAAGGCCAAGAAATCCATGACTGAAAATACTTACGCACAAACATGATGGCCTCTCTATGTTGGCCACTCAGTAGAATTCTCAAACAAGGAACAGTATATTTCCTATGAGAATGTCATAAACAGTTCAGAAACATGTTCAGTTCCTGCCCCTTCCTACTTAATTTTGAAATTTATTCTTAATTTTGCTTATAGGCCTTGCTGCAAAGAGCAGTGGCAATGATGCTTCAGCCTCCCACAAATTTTAATTTGCCCACAAACCTGCACTGGCATATATACATGTACATGCTGCAATATTACAAATAATATATGCTATTACCTCTGAATTTAGGTCCTCTGAACAGAAGAGAGCTAAGGCTGCAATCCTATACCCCATCAATTTAGGACTAAGCCCCTTTAAACTAAATTCAATGAACAGACATGCACAGGAGCACACACTAAATTTCCAGTATTAGCTGCTGGTCATTAACAGTGAGACACTTTGTCCTCACCAGTACTGTAGTACAAGAAGGGACTGCAAGGTCAATTTCCTAGATACAAGTAATCCAGTGTATCTATAAAAATTAAGTCATCTTCAGAGTTTCTTCAAACTGTATCCATAGCACTTGGTTAAATGAGCTGTAAAGGAATGCTGCAGATACACACATCTCAGCTGGACAGTTTTAAGATTCGCTTTCTGAATAATAAAGTGAAAAAAACAAGTATTGACCTTTCTCTATTAAAGTGCACGCTAGCAGAGGACAACGTTATGTAGTAAAAGCATGTGCCCTGTAGTTACAGCATAATCTAGTTGGTGTTTTCATACCAATAATTATAATAAAAAGCACAGCAGCCCTTTAATTAAAACCAGTCCATTCCCAAAAGGATTCAAATCCCCACTCAATCCACTGGGTGACCTTGGGACAGTCACTATCTTAGGAATGACCTACCTGACAAGGGTGTTGGCAAGGATAAAATGGAGAGAGAAAGAAGCGTGTAAACCACCTTGAGTTCCTTGGAGTAATGGTGGATTATAAATATAATAAAAATGGTTTAAAAGGAGGGGGGCAATTTGTGTGCCACTCTGGAAAAATACAGCTACTCTTAAAATTTGATTGTATATATAATTCTACAAATCACAATGACATATCACAATCGACACAGGAGACAGTTATAAGCAAGCTAGTCAAAACATGAAGTCCAAGAAGTAATGCTGATATCTTCAAAACAGATGCATTTCTTTCAACCTGCCTATTTTATTTCAGCTTCAATGTTCCCTTTCCAAAGGTAGTATCCTTCTTGTTTGCCATATTACTCTAATTCTACTTGATGCTATTTCTCCTGGGAGACGCAGAGGTCTGAAATATCTCTTTCCTCCTTTATGTTGCTCAAGAAAAACAGATACAAGAAAATAGTGTTTGCAGCATCCAAACCAAATTGCTCAGACCATCTCAGTTAAACAGTACTATTTAAAGAACAAAATAGCATCAGGCATCTCTACACAAGACACCACTTTTATGGCAGAAGACACAATAACAGAAGACACCTCTTACACGACAGTCTCTAAACTGAAAAGTCCCAAATGCTGTAGCCTTTCCTCATACAGGACTTGCTGCCCCATCATTGTGGCTGCCCTTTTCCAAACCTGTTCTCTTCAATACCCTTTTTACAGTGAGAAGATCAGAACTATACTCCAATTGTAGTCATTCCCACAGGAAGTAGTGATGGTCCCCAGCCTGGATGGTCTTAAAAAGGATTAGAAAAATTCATGGAGGATAAGCCTATCAGTGCTCTGCCATCATGGCTGTGTTCTGCCATCATGGTGGTATGCTTCTGATCACCAGATGCTGGTAACTGCGGGACAGAGGAGTGCTCTTATCCTCATATCCTGCTTGCAAGTTTCCAACAGGCATCTGGATGGCCACTGACAGAACAGGATGCTGGACTAGATATGCCTTTTGTCTGATTCAGCATCCTCTTCTTCTGTTCTTATGAAGATCAAGCAAGTCTACTGTCACATTCTTAAAGGGGTCTAATAATAATAATAATAATAATAATAATAATAATAATAATTTATGCCCTGTCCATCTGGCTGAGTTTCCCCAGCCACTCTTGGCGGCTCCCAATCGAATATTAAAAACACAATACCGCATTCAACATTAAAAGTTTCCCTAAACAGGGCTGTCTTCAGAAGTAGGATAGTTGCTTATTTCCTTGACATCTGATGGGAAGGCGTTCCACAGGGCAGGCACCGCTACCAAGTGAAGACTGAGATGCTTAGGAATCCAGGTCCCATGTCCAGCACTGACTTCCACACTTGTATGGTACAAATAGATTTATACCATGTTGCATATAGTCTTTGCTCCATGCCACAAGCCATGCTTTATTTGCCCTATACAACTCAAGTAAAAAATATTACCAACGTGAAATACAAATTTCACAACCCATAATTAATTCCCTGAGTGCAAAAATTGAGTTTGGCATCAGAATGTTGCCATGTTTTCTTTCTTTTTTAGCTGAAAGATACTGCCAATTCTGACTACGGTGAAATGGCTATATTCCATCATTGCTTCCACAGAGTTTTAACTAGTTCTAGCTTTTCTAAAACTTTCACTGATTTTGCAGACATGAGGATAAATTGAGGAAAACATTCTGTCAACATTTCCCCCCAAATATGAGACAAACGGAAAGGCGGTTCATTATTAATCCTGACTAATAAAAATCTGAACAGTTCTATATTCCAAAGAGCCGTAATATGTTATAGTCTGGTTACAAAGTAACTGCAAGTTCCCAAATAGTTGAAAGCTGTAGGTACCTAGATTGGGGCAAATAGCCTCGGTTTACATTAGCACTTTGATTAGCCTTAAAAGAATAACAGCTTAAGGTTTGTAGAAAACAAAGGTGCTCATGGCTTAAATGATGATAACAAGGATGTCTGTTATCCTACCAAAAATATCAAACTTAAATCTAAACACTTTTATGCAATCCATGCATGCTTTTAGGAAATGTAACGTTCTCAAGAGAGTTAGGAAGAAACAGAAAATTAAAGCTGTCTATAGAAATGTGAAACAGATATTCAGGCAACCTTATAATATATTAAGATAGCCTACTATAGCTACTGCTAAATTTTTCTAAGTATCTATAGTATTTTTTCCACAACAATAGCTAAGAATACTTGGCTACCATCACTGATCAGACCGAATAAGCTACTAAAAGTTTCATGACCAAGCTGCTGGATTGAAATATAATAGATTGGTTAAATGTCATCTAACAGGATCACATGTCTCAATGAGAGGCAGATAGACCTTTTTCTTGGCACACATAAAAGATTTCACGGTTGATAGACCAGGCCTAGAGGACCATGAACTGGTCAAGGTGAGGGAAAGTGGAACCACTTCCAAAAGCTGCATCAAGACAGGTTTGTCTCTTAAAACACCACTAAAACCATTCACAGCAGAAGAAACACCTAGCCAGAACCAAAAGCTGAAGTGAAAGCTTCTAAACCCTTCCAAGCAGAGTTACCAACTGGGAGATACAGAAGGTACAGGTGCACTGGGCACCATGCCAGCAGAGGTCATAGAATTTTAGCTTTCTTTGTATTTAAAAAAAGGGCAGCAGTCAATCAGATATATCAAAAGAAAGTTAGAAAACAAAACACAAAAACAATGTTAAACCAAAGAGGTTTTCCTCCACAAAGTGGAGGGAGCATGTGCGAGCTTAATCCAGCCCTCAATATTTTATTCAAGTTGGTGCCCCTGATTTACAGGTTTTGAACTCAACAAAGGAACTGACTAGGTATGATACCACTACTGCGAAAGGCAGGTCATGTTCATTTTCCATCTAGCACCATAGAAGGGGAATCTGAGCAATACTCCAATCTAGTTGAAACGCATCAATAGAGTTGTGAAATATAGACTAGCTTACTGTGACATCATCCTCACTGAGTGAAAGACAGGAAAACAAAGGCTTTCTGCTTCTTCCGCATTCTGAAAGCTGAAAAACTGGAACGGTCATAAAAAATGCAATCAATAAATCAAGTTCTAAGATTGTTACCTAAGGTGAACTATCAATCTTAGCTTAAATCTATGCATATACCAGCCTTCAAATAACTTAAGAACTGCACTCTTTTTTTACCCCTCTCAGATCGGAATTGTTTCAGCAACAGCATCTTTGGAGAGAATGCACTTCCCAATTCTATAACTTTGGCAAGCTGATGGAAATGAAGAAACTGTAGAGGCAATACAATCGCTTCCTTCACTTTTTTAAATTCTCCTTTTTAAAAAAAGAAATGGTTGCATACTACTTTTGTCTTGCTAAAATTGTTTCATCTTAAGCCTCTTTAAAACTGTACTATTGGTTTCCAACATCCAATTGAAATAACAAATGGGTTATTGAGGAAGGCAGAAGCCTAAACATTTAACAAAGCAGCTGTAAACCACTCTATTTGTTTATTCAGTTATTTATTTGTGTATCTACTGTAACTATACACATGCACACACATTAAAAAAAGACTGGCAATCACATCCACCGCTAAACCCAATATGTTTTGACTATACACAATTTTGGCTTTAGGCACAATCTCTAGAACGTAGCCCCCACATAAGTTTTCCTACGTCAGTTCTGTAATTTTCCCTATATTATCCCCTGCTTCAATAACTAGTACTTAATCAACATGGTACTAAACCCATCTCTGCCAGAAGATTAGACTTTGTAGGGTTTAGCTGGATTACTGCAGCAATCAGAGGCTGAAGAATGGTTCTCCTTTCCATATCCTACTTTATCCTTCTATACACTCTCCACAACAATTGTTCAGTCATGAACAATACTTCAGTTATAAGAATACCACCCAAAAATAATAAAAGGGCACTACCTATGCAACACATCACTAGTAGTGATAGTGAAGATAAAAATAATAATACATTGTTCTCACCTACATGCACGCTGGGGCTGTAAAATCCACATTTTACAAATGTCTGCAATATAATAACAGGATGCAATTGCAACATATTAAGGAAACAAATGAAAGTTTTTTTTCTGATTCACTGTTGATATCCTAATCATCTGCCAATTCTCAACACTGTAACTGTGATAATAGTAAGGATTGTTGTTGCTTAACCTAGTCAACAGCAGTAGTAATTAAATTCCTGAGCAAAGTAAAGCAACTCCCTGTCCTGCACTAACTTGTGCCAAGGAAAACGCAAGGATTATTGAAGCACAGAAATCCAGGTCATGTGATATGTTAAGAATGGAGCTATTCTGTCTCCTACCTCACACTGTTGCTATTTTCCAGCCAACAAGATTCAGGAGTTAGGGCATTCCATAGCAGATATAACATGACACAATGGGAGTTTTTAAAACATTTCCAATGTTATTTTAACTTGAACTTTCCACAAGAGAAAGATGCCTAAGGTGACAATCCTATATACATTTATCTGAGAGTAAGTGTCACTAAAGTCAATGGGATTCAGTTTTCAGTAGACATGCATAAGGCTACAGTGAATAGGAATATTTTGATCAATAAACTGAATATTTTTCTGTAGCTACTAAAAGTAAGCATGCAATAACCCATAGCTATACAAAACTTCTAACCAGGGCTTAGAGAAACTCTTACCAATTAAAAAAAAGTGTGAAAACTTACTTCAGATACTTCTACTCAGTGCTATTTTTCTAGAAGAAGAGATGCCAGAACTCACCATAAACGCCTCCCTTGTTCTCTTATAATAGCAATGGTGCCCTGCCACCTCAGAGGTGCTGGAACTGAACTCCGGTGAGTTCTGGCTGAAAAAAGCCCTGCTTATACTTAAAAAAAAACACTACCACATATCATTCCTATATAAGCAGGGATGAAATTCTAAACATCAAAACCTGTACAAATATGAAGAGAGCTTCCACCATGACATTCGCTTCTGCCTTACAATGGTAGAGAATCTATGATGTGGTCATCATAATAGAATGCTATACATTTCAGTATACAGAAAATTCTGGCTCACACCAGTTTCTCCTTTTCTACAACTCATGTTAGAAATGCCTGTTCCACTTTCTTCACTACAGTACGATCAGCAAACAAATAAAATTCTAACGGTTGCTCAGTGGCAAGTCTGACTGAATTAATTGGGTCTTACTCCCGGAAAAAGTGTGTTTTGGACTGAGGCTTTATCTCAGCTGCCGATTTATTGACTGCCACATTCTGACCAGGGCTGAAAGCATTCATTAGGTAGCACAAAAGAGCATCTCAAAGGAGCAAAACCATCTTGCTCATTGGTTGCAAGAACTTGTAAGCAGCTGGTTGTATATACAAAAAAAACAACAACAACAAAAAACACCCACAAGTCTTTCAACTCCAGTTTCCCAATATCCTACAAAGGTGGGAGGGAAAGGAACACAACCATGACAACAACCCCACACTTCTGCATACTGTACATACTGATCTTCCACCTCCCCGATCGCACAGTGCGTACAAAAGAGGGACCTACCTAACCTGCATGTGGAGATCTCGAAAAGGTACCTCCTGGCACTGCGGCAAGCAGGAGAGGAAAAGGAAGGCAACAACTGGCCTGCGAAAACTGCTCATATTTTTACTCACCTGATGCACTGTTGCCTCAGGTGCACGTCCCCCCGATTGATTGATTGATTGATTGATTGATTGACTGGTTGATTTGTCCTCTCCAAAACGGGAGGAAAGAACCGATTCCCTCCTTCGTCTATCCCCACTTTCGGAATTTAGATTATCAGGCTCCCGAGCCAGCGGTCTGTCTCTCCCTGGCCCCTCCCTGCCAAGTTTCTCCTCGCTCACCGAGATTCAGCGCAATTCCTTGCACGTCTTACAAACGCGCAGGTCCCACCGGCGCTGACTCCCAGGTTAGCAGGACACAAGAGCGCGCGCGCGCGCACCCCAAACCGTCCTTCGTTTCCTAAGTTAGGTATGTTCCGTAAAAGAACGTTGGAGGATGCCGTTAACATTTAAACACCGACAACGGCGGGGAGGGGGCGGGGAGAAGCAGGACGTTAATTCACGGGCTGACTGACTTTGCAGCGAGCGTGGCACGGAAGAGGAGACTCCGGACGAATGCTGCTGGCGGGGGTAGGAGAAAGGCGAGAGGGGCCGACGCGGCTCCCCCATTCAATCGGCGCCCCGGGAGCAGGCCTGGCGTCCGCACCAAAACCGCAGCCGGGCGCCTCAGGGCGCTTTCCTGAGGCGGGGAGGAGGTCTCTGCTGCCGCAGCCGGTACCTCAGACTCACCCGCGTTGTGGCCACCGTGCGACGCGGCTGCTGGAGGGCGGCGGGGCTCCGGAGCGCGACTCGGCGGAACCGCCACCATCCTCTTCACCTGAGGGACAGAGAGAGAGGCGCTGGCGGCAACGGCTCTCTGAGGGGAGCGCGCGAGGGGGGTGGGCGGCAGCGGCGCGAGGCACCAACCGTCAGCGGGAAGGTGGGAGGGAGCAAGAGGAGCGGGGAAGCGGGTGAGGGGGGGGGAGACAAACCGCTCCTCCGCGAGCCGCCTCGCCGCGGCCGCTTAGTGGGCACGGTCGGCCACGTGACGTCCCGCTCGCTTGTTCGCAGGCGCGAGCGTGCGTGCGTGCAGTGCGCGTCGCCATGACACGAGAGGCAGGGCTGTTTGCTGCCTTCCTCCCCTCCCCCGCCGCGCTCTCTCTCGGGCGGCGGGACAGGCAAGTTTTAAGGCAGGCGGGCGGGAGATCCGGCCCAGCCCCACGGCTTTGGTTCCAATCCAAGGGTGCCTTTGAAAATGTGGCTGATGCACAGCACGTGAAGTAATAACGCAAAAGAAACTCTCCCAGAGGTCTTGCATGAATTGAAATAGAGAAAGAAAGAAATATCCACTCTTGTTTATTTTGCTACATTTTAAAGAGGTCAAGTAAAACAGTTTATAATGCTGTTTTAGATATCGTCTTTTTGGCTGTTTGTACCTTTATGCCTCCGGCCCTGAGGTGAAAAATAGCTTTCCTCCTTGGGGGCCAGATTCCCTCATAATGACAGCTTTGGGGGACGGATTCTGACAGGGGAGGGCAGCAACTCTTTGTTTATTTATTTCTATGCCACCAACACAAAGAGAGAGAAAGTGACTGTGAACAGCATAAAACCAACTTCAATTGCATCGGTAAAAATGACTTCAAAGGCTTGAGGAGACTATAGTGGTTGCTGGGTGTGGCATTCATCTTCCTTTGCAGCAACCCCTAATCTCCAGTTCTGTGCTCTCTTCCCTAGTGTGATAGATGTGGTTTCTTTCTTGTGGTGAGACTTCCTGTATCAGGTTGATGGTGATGCCAATTTCCCACATGCACTGTGTCAGGAAGATTTTGGGCATCACATGGCAGGAGAGAATCTCAAAGATGTGCTCTCCCAGCCACATTCCCAGCTTGTTCACACTCCTGTCTCAGAATGGCAGGATCCCCAAGGACATACTTTATAGCAAGCTGGCTTCAGTCATCAGGCCCATTGGCAGACCAACTCTGCATTACAAAGATGTATGCAAATGTGACATGAAGGCTGGCAACATCCCCCACCCTGTGGGAATCCCTTGCAGGATGATCACAGCGCCTGGAGACAATTGGTCAGGTCATGTATCCACAGCAATGACCAGAGGAGGAGCACAGAAAGAAGAAATGCCTGGGCATACTGTATCTGCACCAGCACTTTCATCTGCCCCACCTGCAACAAAACATGTCTCTTCCATATCGGTCTCAATAGCCACAGCAGGTGCTGTAACTCTCGAACTTCACCCCTGAAGGCACACTTTTCCACTGTCTCCCAAGATAGACATATCCCAACCATGTTGGTCTCATCTAAGAAGACTGTGGTCAATGTAAGTTTTTCATTCGTAAGGATGAAAAATAAAATTTAAGGGTCTGCGAATGGGATCAGCTATTGATCTACATCATGTGGAGGCAGAGTTTTAATCAACAAAAAGTACTCCTCCATTCTCACAACTTTAGAAAACACTCGCCTTAAATGTTGTGAATGTTTTTGGGGGTGGATGCCTTTGTGGCATAGGTTATTTGAAAGACCATAATTATTTTTTCATAATGATAATTAGTAAACCTAAGAAGCGAATCTGTTGTTGTGAAAAAAGTACTAAATGTAAAGCAGTTTAAACATTTCATAAGATTCCATAGCAGAGAGGCTGTTCTCCACATGGCTTAATCTAGCTTGGCTTGACAGCACCCACATTAATTGGGTGTTGCAGGGACCCTAATCTTCTTCAGAAGGCAGTGTTTGCTCAAAGGAATGCATGCTTTTAATGCTCTTATGCTCAGGCAGCTTAGGAACACATGCAATTCAAGAAACTGTATTAATTAATGGGAATAAAGAGCCACTCCCCCCACTAATCTCTTACACTTAACCTCCTGCACAGTTTCTAGAGGGCAGAACATTTCAGTGTTTCCATCTGTTAACTGTTCAGCACCTCGAGGGCAATGTGTGTTAGAAAGGTTGCTAAGGCACAAACAGCTTCTAATATGCTCAGAGCCTTTTAGAAAGAAAGCAATAATATAAAGCATGTACAATTTGTCCTTAATAACCACAACATTCTCTCTGTTGGAAGCCACCTTTTGCTTTGCTGGACTGTTTTCCTGGTACAAAAGCAAGAAAACAGCATTTTTGAAGGAGTTGCGTCATGGGTACGGTATTCTTAATCCATCTTTCCTGGTTCAGAGGCTTGGGGCCTGGTATTGCATATCTGAGGACCATAGGAAGCTGCCACGTGCTGAGTTGGACCACTGGTCGGTCTATCTCAGTACCATCAATGCTGCCTAGCAGCAGCTCTCAAGGCTTTCAGATAGGGATATTTTCATCCTGGTTAGATATGACAGAGATTAGACCCAGGACCTTCTGCATGCAAGGCAGAATGCTGTCCCAATGAACTAAGAAAGGGTGAGTGGGACCATGTCCCCCCCAGCCCTTACCCTTGGTAGGGCTTGAAGTCCCACCTGTTTCTTCCTAACCCCATCCCCTATGCAGAATCAAGCATAAATAAGAATAAAATGATCTTGAACCATCTAGCATTGGCTTAACTCAGAAAGCTGAGATCTGTTCCGTCCAGATTTAGCCCTCTGGTGGATTTGTGTACATGTATTACTTTATTTTAGGGACGCGGGTGGCGCTGTGGGTAAAAGCCTCAGTGCCTAGGACTTGCCGATCGAAAGGTCGGCGGTTCGAATCCCCGCGGCGGGGTGCGCTCCCGTTGCTCGATCCCAGCGCCTGCCAACCTAGCAGTTTGAAAGCACCCCTGGGTGCAAGTAGATAAATAGGGACTGCTTACTAGCGGGAAGGTAAATGGCGTTTCCGTGTGCTGCGCTGGCTCGCCAGATGCAGCTTTGTCACGCTGGCCACGTGACCTGGAAGTGTCTCCGGACAGCGCTGGCCCCCGGCCTCTTAAGTGAGATGGGCACACAACCCTAGAGTCGGACACGACTGGCCCGTACGGGCAGGGGTACCTTTACCTTTACCTATTACTTTATTTTATAGCCTGCCTTTTAGTATTTTGACTCCCAGAGCAGCTTGCAAACAATCAAAGCGACTGAAAACTTTAACAATACACAATATAGATACCGTATTACAATTGACAACACCCAAAGGCTCAACAGAGGCAGGACTCTGCCCCCAATCCAGATGGTATCAAAAGTTTCAAAAAGTAAGTATGGCACCAAGAGGGCCTCCCTGGGAAGTGCATTCCAAAGGCAGGATGCCATTCAGTCAGGGTTGTGGGTTTGAGCCCCATGTTGGGTGAAAGATTCCCTCATTGTAGGGAGTTGGACTAGATGCCCCCTGTGGTCCCTTCCACCTCTACAATTCTATGTTTACAGAAAATGACTTCTCTCCAGTCTGCAGCTAGCTGGCTTCAGGAGACTGGGGAACCCAGAGAAGGGCCTTTCATAGAATCATAGAGTTGGAATAGACCACAAGGGCCATCGAGTCCAACCCCCTGCCAAGCAGGAAACACCATCAGAGCACTCCTGACATATGGTTGTCAAGCCTCTGCTTAAAGACCTCCAAAGAAGGAGACTCCACCACTCCTTGGCAGCAAATTCCACTGTCGAACAGCTCTTACTGTCTTTGAAGATTTATTTGTTATTTTATTTTTTCACAAAATTTGTATACCGCTTGATTGTAAAAAAAACCTTTAAAGCAGTTTACAAAGATGGAATTTATGTACAGGAAGGAAGGCAGTCCTTAAGAGACTTGGATCTCAAGCCATGTAATGAAAGCGCAGGCAATTAAGGGAACTATATAAGGGCTGCCCGATTAAGAGGACTACATAAAGGCAGGATTTCTTTGCCATCATTGCTTCCTCAGTGAACTGCCCTGCAGAGCTGTTTTGGATGGTGCGTTGACTAGTTAGATTCAGTCTAGAAATTGGAACAATGTGCCCCTCTAATAAATGCAAGTCATTTGTGAGTTATTTTTAGGATACACCTGCTTGCATCCATGCTGCCTTTGATGCCACAGTTGCAATGGATACAGTGAAGGTGTTCAGAGTGCCAGCTGCTCATGAGCTGTGGGGCCACTTTCAATTGGTGCAACCTGAAGATGTGGACAGGATTCTTGCAGGAATGAGGTGGTCCCAATGTCCTCTTGCTCCTTACCCCTCTTGGATTGTGATGAAGACGATTTTAAGGGAGCGTGCCCAGTTTGGGCACTGGGCACCACGCTGCAGGAGGTGCCACAACAATGGTGTAGAATTTGAGAGCCCAAAGTTCGCCACTGCTTGTGAGAGTAAACAAAGACCAGCTAACATGACCAACAGTCAAGGATGATGAGTGCATCAACATCCAAAGGGTCCCACATTGACTATCCCTGTGTCACAAACTTGCAGTATTACTTTCCTGTTGTTATGAGGTTTTGCACTTCAAAAATTTGCCACTGCTCTGCCGATCTCACATGCAATAAATATTCTTCTCTTCCATTTTGGTAAGATGCCACCCCTGATATATCCACTAGGTGGACCTCCAAAGCAATGCAGCACAGAAGCAGCCTGATCATGAGCTAAGAGAAAGTTCTGCGCTGATAGCTCTTATTGTCCCGTTAATGCCTGGAGTTCCTCTGCAACTACATAATCACAGCTTTAAAAATGATTCTGGAAACTTTGTGGTTTCCTCCTAAGGTTGCATTTTAGTGTGTGTGTTTTTTCCATACTGTCTGCAGCACTCCAGCTTTATTCAGGGCCGTAGCTAGGGTGTAGTGAGGGGCCCCCCTGCCAGGGGCGCAGGTGGGGGGGGCAAAATTGGCTACAAAATATGTCCATAAATATGTCTATAAATAAAAATATTGATTATTGCCTCATAAGAAAAGGTTTTAAATAGAGGGCGAATTGAATGGGGGGGGGGGTTGGAGGAGAGGCAGAAGGAAGAGCTAATTTGTCTGTGGCTAGGTGGTGCAATCTGGACGGTTCTGCCAGGGGCACAATATCAGCAACGGCTCTGGTCTTACTAGGTGCATGTTAAGTGAGATCCACTCAAGCTGAAGTACTAATGGGT